AATGATAGCCCCTAGCAACCTATGCTTGTGATACTGTACCGTGGGTATTCCGTGTTATCATGGGTCCCTAGCAACCTTTGCTTGTGATACTGTACCGTGGGTATTCCGTGTTATCATGGGTCCCTATCAACCTTTGCTTGTGATACTGTACCGAGGGTATTCCGTGTTATGATGGGTCCCTAGCAACATTTCCTTGTGGTACCGGGGGTATTCTGTGTTATGATAGCCCCTAACAACCTTTGCTTGTGATACTGTACCGTGGGTATTCCGTGTTATGATGGGTCCCTAGCAACCTTTGCTTGTGATACTGTACCGTGGGTATTCCGTGTTATAATGGGTCCCTAGCAACCTTTGCTTGTGGTACCGGGGGTATTCCGTGTTATGATAGCCCCTAGCAACCTTTGCTTGTGATACTGTACCGGCGTTATTCCGTGTTATGATAGCCCCTTAGCAACCTATGCTTGTGATACTGTACCGTGGGTATTCCGTGTTATCATGGGTCCCTAGCAACCTTTGCTTGTGGTACCGTGGGTATTCCGTGTTATGATAGCCCCTAACACTTTTGCTTGTGATACCGACCGAGGGTATTCCGTGTTATCATGGGTCCTTAGCAACCTTTGCTTGTGGTACTGTACCGAGGGTATTCCTAGTAATACCGCCCCCTTCAAGGTGTCAGCGTAATCAGTGTTATGCTTTAAAATGTATTTTCATGCACTATTATGAACTAAACGCTATTTAAAAAGCTCACATGAGCATATTCCCATGCATAAATTATGATTGCATTTTGTGCTGTGCTTTTGTTTTTATAATCGGTACGCCGGTGTCGTTCACAATCTCAACACACGCACACTTTTCTGTAAAGGGTCAACTCGAATAATTTAGTTTTAGGGCACCTTTTTCCTGGCCATGCAGCTGCATGTCCCGTGAGTAATTGTTTTATAGGCAAAACCTGCGAGCAACTTTTTCCATTATAATTTATCAAATAAACTTATTTATTTTATGATGTTTCTGTATCTTAACAATGCATCTATTCATGTATAATAGAACCCTTTCTGGTGAAATCGTCGAGAAGATGACAGATTGCTCAAAGTAATGGTTGTCAACACGTACTTTAAGGAATCACCCATCCATTCCCGCATGGGATTATTGAGGAGCATGACGTCTTTCGTGCCGAAAATAACGCGCTATGAATATATTTATTGTTGCTGTGGGCACAATCGGAAGAGCTCGGGAGTGCTCTGAGGACGTTAACATTAAAGTGACTGTGTTACCTGTCAGTACAATCAGAATAGCCCTTATGTTTACCTCGGAAGTATAGATCAAGTTCATAGTTAAATGGGAAGCTAGACTAGTACAGTTGTTTATAGGGGAGGTTTATAGGTGTGGTATATAGGTGAGGTTACATGGGGATAAATGTGGCGATATAGTTTATTGTGCTTATATAACGACGATATGTTCATGTGTGTCTTGCGTGTGTCGGTGTTTGGTTGTGTGTCTTTGTATGTGTCTGTGTTTGTGTGTGTGTCTGTGAGCCTTTACTCGAGTCTGATTGTGTTTGTGTGTCTGTATGTGTGCCTTTACTCAAGTCTGATTGTGTTTGTGTGTCTGTCTGTGTGCCTTTACTGAAGTCTGATTGTGTTTGTGTGTCTGTTTGTGTGCCTTTATTCGAGTCTGACTGTGTTAGTGTGTCTGTTTGTGTGCCTTTACTCGAGTCTGATTGTGTTTGTGTGTCTGTCTGTGTGCCTTAACTCGAGTCTGATTGTGTTTGTGTCTGTCTGTGTGCCTTTACTCGTTAGTGTGTCTGACTGTGTTACTCGAGTGTGTGTCTGTTTGTGTGCCTTTACTCGAGTCTGATTGTTTGTGTGTCTGTCTGTGTGCCTTTACTCAAGTCTGATTGTGTTTGTGTGTCTGTTTCTGTGTGCCTTTACTCGAGTCTGACTGTGTTAGTGTGTCTGTTTGTGTGCCTTTACTCGAGTCTGATTGTTTGTGTGTCTGTCTGTGTGCCTTTACTCAAGTCTGATTGTGTTTGTGTGTCTGTTTGTGTGCCTTTACTCAAGTCTGATTGTCTTTGTGTGTCTGTTTGTGTGCCTTTTCTCGAGTCTGATTGTGTTTGTGTGTCTGTCTGTGTGCCTTTACTCGAGTCTGATTGTGTTTGTGTGTCTGTCTGTGTGCCTTTACTCGAGTCTGATTGTGTTTGTGTCTGTCTGTGTGCCTTTACTCGAGTCTGATTGTTTGTGTGTCTGTTTGTGTGCCTTTACTCGAGTCTGACTGTGTTTGTGTCTGTTTGTGTGCCTTTACTCAAGTCTGATTGTGTTTGTGTCTGTCTGTGTGCCTTTACTCGAGTCTGATTGTGTTTGTGTCTGTCTGTGTGCCTTTTCTCAAGTCTGATTGTTTGTGTGTCTGTCTGTGTGCCTTTACTCGAGTCTGATTGTGTTTGTGTGTCTGTCTGTGTGCCTTTACTCGAGTCTGATTGTGTTTGTGTGTCTGTCTGTGTGCCTTTACTCGGAGTCTGATTGTGTGTTGTGTCTGTGTGTCTCGAGTCTGTGTGTTTGTGTTCTGTCTGTGTGCCTTAACTCGAGTCTGATTGTGTTGTGTGTCTGTCTGTGTGCCTTTACTCGAGTCTGATTGTTTGTGTGTCTGTGTGTGCCTTTACTCGAGTCTGTGTGTCTGTCTGTGTGCCTTTTCTGAGTCTGATTGTGTTTGTGTGTCTGTTTGTGTGCCTTTACTCTCGAGTCTGATTGTGTTTGTGTGTCTGTCTGTGTGCCTTTACGCAAGTCTGCCTGTACTGTGTGTCTGTTTCTGTGTGCCTTTACTCGAGTCTGATTGTTTGTGTGTCTGTCTGTGTGCCTTACGCAAGTCTGATTGTGTTTGTGTGTCTGTTTGTGTGCCTTTACTCAAGTCTGATTGTCTTTGTGTGTCTGTTTGTGTGCCTTTTCTCGAGTCTGATTGTGTTTGTGTGTCTGTCTGTGTGCCTTTACTCGAGTCTGATTGTGTTTGTGTGTCTGTTTGTGTGCCTTTACTCGAGTCTGACTGTGTTTGTGTCTGTCTGTGTGCCTTTACTCGAGTCTGATTGTTTGTGTGTCTGTTTGTGTGCCTTTACTCGAGTCTGACTGTGTTTGTGTCTGTCTGTGTGCCTTTACTCGAGTCTGACTGTGTTTGTGTCTGTTTGTGTGCCTTTACTCAAGTCTGATTGTGTTTGTGTCTGTCTGTGTGCCTTTACTCGAGTCTGATTGTGTTTGTGTCTGTCTGTGTGCCTTTTCTCAAGTCTGATTGTGTTTGTGTCTGTCTGTGTGCCTTTACTCGAGTCTGATTGTGTTTGTGTGTCTGTCTGTGTGCCTTTACTCGAGTCTGATTGTGTTTGTGTCTGTCTGTGTGCCTTTACTCGAGTCTGATTGTGTTTGTGTGTCTGTCTGTGTGCCTATACTCGAGTCTGATTGTGTTTGTGTCTGTCTGTGTGCCTTTACTCGAGTCTGATTGTGTTTGTGTGTCTGTCTGTGTGCCTTTACTCGAGTCTGATTGTGTTTGTGTGTCTGTCTGTGTGCCTTTACTCGAGTCTGATTGTGTTTGTGTGTCTGTCTGTGTGCCTTTACTCGAGTCTGATTGTCTTTGTGTGTGTGTTTGTGTGCCTTTACTCGAGTCTGATTGTGTTTGTGTCTGTCTGTGTGCCTTTACTCGAGTTTGATTGTGTTTGTGTGTGTGTTTGTGTGCCTATACTCGAGTCTGATTGTGTTTGTGTCTGTCTGTGTGCCTTTACTGAAGTCTGATTGTGTTTGTGTGTCTGTCTGTGTGCCTTTACTCGAGTCTGATTGTCTTTGTGTGTGTGTTTGTGTGCCTTTACTCGAGTCTGATTGTGTTTGTGTCTGTCTGTGTGCCTTTACTCGAGTTTGATTGTGTTTGTGTGTCTGTCTGTGTGCCTATACTCGAGTTTGATTGTGTTTGTGTCTGTCTGTGTGCCTTTACTCGAGTCTGATTGTGTTTGTGTGTCTGACTTTGTGCCTTTCCTCGAGTCTGATTGTGTTTGTGTGTCTGACTTTGTGCCTTTACTCGAGTCTGATTGTGTTTGTGTCTGACTGTGTGCCTTTGCTTGAGTCTCTGTGTGTTTACGTGTCTGACTGTGTGATTTTGTGTGTGTTTATCTCACACTGCGTGTGTTTGTCTGTCTGTCTGTCTTGGCGTATTTGTGTCTGATTTGGTGTCGGCGTTATTTTGCGTGCGTGTGTGTGTGCCTTGCCGGTGAAGTCCAAAGTTTAGGGGGTAGTGTTGGTAATGCTCATCAGGGCAAATTTTGTTTAGGGAAGGGAGGCAATTCCCCCTCCCTCCCCGGAGGATCCGCCCCTGACCATGGATATCCCACTACACAAACACTACACCCGTTTCCAAACTGATCAGCCTTTATGTCATCCTCTGTAGTCCGAGCACCAGGCAGGGCAACAACATGTACCTTACATTAAAGTTATTCGCAATAACACGGTGTGGGTTCTCCTACCGCCGACATTCACCCCTCCTTCCACACGTGAGTGAGTGACTTGGGTTTAACGCCGCTTTTAATAGTGGAAGGAAGGCCCAAGGTGTTCCATATCAGCCACAATACCAAGACAAAGTGTGTATTAGAGACATAATAATGTTTATTATGATTCAACGTTCGCTACAACATTGCGAACGTAATACACATGTACCATTATTGACGCAATACATGCAAACGTCATTGATAACGTCATGACGTCACAGATTGTCACTGACGTTCGAGGCAAACCGGATGGTATCATATTCCAACTGATTAGTTCCATATTCATGATGTCAATCACTGGATTATCTGGTCCAGACACATAATTGGAGTATTGCCGAGTTCCGCTTTAAGCAACATACATACAATAAAACCTTCGTATTCATGATTCGTTACTACCGAGATTTGGTAATCAAAACTATTTGACCGGGAACGGTACCGTCCGGATTAGCGGGGTTTCGTTGTTCAAGGAGTAGGTATAACCAAGTGTTTAGTATTCACTGCTGAAAGGTTTATTCAAGGCCATAAATGTTTGTATTTTGCACAGTCAGTATCTAACGTAAAAAGGATCAATATGGCAATATCTTTAGTCTTTTCACATCATATAGAATTCTATGAATTTGTTTATGTACGACGCTTCGTCACATCACACGCTTTTGCGGATCGAAGTCCCGACACTGGCAGGAAGCAGTGCAGGCGTTCACTGAAACCGTATGATCTCTGTGTCGCGGAGCTGTGGTACCATGTAGTCAATGTAGTTGCCGTCAACGATGTTGTCCCCGCCACGTCGCAGACGCCAGCAGGTCACATTTCTCCCCGTTCCGTGGTTCATACGCTCAGTCAGTGTGGCCATGCTGTAAGTTGGCGTGCTGTAAAAGGGGGAGACAACTGCGATTTTCCCCTTCATCTTCCCATTCTTAACTTGCATGTTGACGAGACGAACACTTTTGTGGACAAACTGGCCTGTTAAACAGAACAACGTATTTTTGTTATTCGACGAAAGAGATTTTTCAAAATCTTCTTCATGAAAGTTCGTTTCGTCACGTCAAACCGAACTCCAGGTTGCCGGGTTCGATTCTCCACCTGTATTAAGTACTCAGTTACGAGCTGAAAACCGACTACTTAGTGAATGCTGAATAGATCCATATGACCTTACTCAAGACCCGTAAAATATCGGGTAAGAATTGGTATTCCTGTCGTAACTGGCGACCAATGAGTGAGTGAATTTAGTTTTCCGCCGCTTTTAGCAATATTTCAGCAATATCACGGCGGGGGACACCAGAAATGTGGGGAATCAAACTCGGGTCTTCGGCGTGACGAGTGGACGCTTTAACCACTTGGCTACCCCATCGACCACCCGACCAATAGGATCGTGTGGTAAATACATGTAATCGAATCTCACTTTCGATCATAGTATACGATACCCCACTTTCGAATAATATGACGTCATCAAATTGTGGATGACGTGATTTTTCTTTCGCAGTGAAGACCGCCTCCGTGGTGTAGTGGTTAGAGCGTCCGCCCGGAGAGCGGAAGGTCGCGGGTTCGATCCCTGACCGCGTCATACCAAAAGACGTTAAAATATGGTACTTGTTGGTCCCTGCCTGGCATTAATGGGTACAACAAGGACTGGTCGGCTCGGAGTCAGTATAATGTGTCTGAGTGGGGTATTCATGCTTCACTGCGGCATGGTATCTCAGTGGGCTAGCACTATAAAACCAATTTCAGTCTGGGCTAGTACAAGCAGCCGCAAATACACATACACACGCATGCACGTCGTCATGTGAGCGAAATATTCTCAAGCACGACGTTAAACCCAATTTCACCTCACCTCACCTCTTTCGCAGTGAAAACATGGAGATTGATCGAAATTGAGACACATATATCATAGTTCATTTTTTAAAGAAATCACAAAATACGCATTACCCAAGAGTCCATGGCATGGCGTAGTGAGTCCCGTAGAATCCGCTATGTAAAACCCAAGGTAAGCGAAGTCCGTATTTTGTGACAGGACAGCGTGATTTCGGGACGTCACGTCGTGAGATGACGGCCTAATATGACCATGAACAATTTCTGACATGGATTCTCCGACGTTGTTTGATGGCTCCTCGAACGAGTCGTCATAGTCCACCGACATAACATGACGTCTAATGACCAACGTTACATTTTTGTTCCTGAAGGTGACGGCCAAGAGGTTTTGGCCCACGATGACCCGATTGCCGTACAAACGGAATGCCGCCATGCCGGACCAGCTGAACGTGTAGCGGTTGACCTGGACGTCTCTCCTTGTGGCGAGGATTCTCACATTATTACGTATAATGGCTACCGATCCAAGGTACGTCTTGCGTGTTTCGTTTCGTTCAATTATTTTGGCGTTGACGAAAAGAGCTGAAATGAAACAAAATCACAGTTAAACGCGCCTATAGTAGGTTCTGTTTTCGATCACTGTCTCACTGGCCATCGTTGTGAAGACTTGCACTCTCAAACCAGTGAAATGTATGTTCCTTTTGACAGCAGTGCGATTGGCAAGATTCGGTAAAAGCATTATAAATAGGCGGACTTTGAAATGTCTCGTTTGCATCCCAAGTACACTGTCGTCAGACTCCACATTGTTCACGGTGCCACCAGATCAGGTGAGTGCCCGGGCTCTCCACACAGCCCTTCTGACAATGGGTAATGGCTGCAACATAAACACCATAAGCGCGCATCTCCTACCTTCAGTACTTCGGGCGTTCCTCCTACATGAAGCTAAAAGCCCTGGTACAGATAAAGTATTGTCAGAGTCCAACTCACTCCGCCTTAGGAACCAACTCACACAGGTTTTGGTGCTGGAGGAGGCGGAGCACCTCTCCCTGTTGTCCGCCTACATGGAAGCACAGCGGGTACCTGTCCGTCCCATGCACGTCAACTATGAAGTCAGGGTCTCCATCTGCAAAGCAGTACAGGCAAGGTTTAACATCCATCCATCATCCATCCACACAAAACCCATTCATTTGTCCACCCATCCACCCATCCAAATCCCACCCACCCATACGCCAACACCAATCCACCAATCCACCCATCCAAAACCCACCCACCCATCCACCCATCGACCCACCTGTCCATCCATCATCCATCCCTCCATCCACCCACCCACCCACCCATCCATCGACCCACCCATCCAAAATCCACCCACTCATCCATCCATCGACCCACCAATCCATCCATCGACCCACCCACCCAGCCATCCATCCATCCACCCACTCACCCATCCATCAATCCATCGACCCACCCATCCAAAACCCACCCACCCACCCATCCATCCATCCATCCATCCACCCATCCATCCATCCATCCTTATATGCATTTTAGTAAAATATACAGCAGGTGGCCGTTACCACAAAACTGTTCGTTTTATCCGGCAGTTCGTTATACGCGGGTTCGTGATGAGCGTCATTTACGGTACGGAATACCTCTGATTTAGTTATATTAATTCATTGTGAATGGAGTTTGCAAAATGCAATCGAAAATGCATCAACAAGCGCTCTGCTGGAATTGCTTTAAAACTATACTGGATGAAACGTTCGCTAGCGTGTAGTAACTGTATATCCTTATGATAGAGAGGTTAAGGCAAGCGAACAAAGTGTCCTTATTATTCATATAATGTAGAAATTATTATTTAAAGTAACAATCAGTGCCTCAGAGGCTTCTGCACGTCTAGTTTTCTATGTTCAGTGTATGATCAATATCAGTCTCACTCAAAAACTTGATTGGCGCAGGGAATGGGAAATTGAAGTAGAATTTGTGCACATTTTGTTATGACAAAACAAGGGATTTGAAACGCCAGAAATACTCAATAACGGATGTCACCACCTTCTGCATCCTATCACCCCCTGATGAACATTTCTTCATCAAATGAAATGTCGCATCCAGACAAGCTGTACAGTCAACTGACACAAAATACACATATTGTAAATCTGCAATCTGTTTGCTTCAACGAATTAACACAAGCATACACAAGCATCTCCACATTGGCAGTGTGTGGTCGTTGGGTGTATTTTACAGCCGCTTGGATCAGTCTCAACAATTACCAAGAAATCATTATATTCGAACATCACTACGTCTTCTAATCTGATGGAGACTCAAACACCCACCCCTCTCCGCACACACACAGTACTGACACCAAGAATATATATTTATACCTTTTCAGGAGAGCTAAAGACATACATATCGTACCATCACAGTGGACAGAGTGACTGTCAGGGAACTACTTTCCAAGTGACAGAGAACCTGGCAGGACAAAGCTAAGTGACAGAAGACATGGCGGGACATGGTCAAGTGACAGAGAACCTGGCGGGACATGGCCAAAGGACAGAGAACCTGGCGGGACATGGCCAAATGACAGAGAACCTGGCAGGACATAGCCAAGTGACAGAGGGCCTAGCGGGACCTGACCAAGGGACAGAGAACCTGGTGGGACATGGCCAAGGGACAGAAAACCTGGTGGGACATGGCCAAGTGACAGATGACCTGGCAGGACAGGGCCAAGTGACAGAGGACCTGGCAGGACATGGCCAAGTGACAAAGAACCTGGTGGGACATAGCCAAGTGACAGAGAACCTGGCAGGACATGGCCAAGTGACAGAGGACCTGGCAGGACATGGCCAAGTGACAGAGAACCTGGTGGGACATGGCCAAGTGACAGAGAATCTTGCGGGACATGGCCAAATGAATGAGAACCTGGCGGGACATGGCCAAGTGACAGAGAATCTTGCGGGAAATAGCCAAGTGACAGAGAACCTGGCGGGACATGGCCAAGTGACAGAGAATCTCGCGGGACATAGCCAAGTGACAGAGAATTTTGCGGGACATAGCCAAGTGACAGATGACTTGGCGGGACATGGCCAAGTGACAAAGGACCTGGCGGGACATGGCCAAGTGACAGAGGACCTGGCGGGACATGGCCAAGTGACAGAGAACCTGGCGGGACATGGCCAAGGGACAGAGAACCTGGCAGGACATGGCCAAGTGACAGAGAACCTGGCAGGACATGGCCAAGTGACAGAGGACCTGTCAGGACATGGCCAAGTGACAGAGAACCTGGCGGGACATGGCCAAGTGACAGAGAACCTGGCGGGACGGCCAAGGGACAGAGGACCTGGCAGGACATGGCCAAGTGACAGAGAACCTGGCAGGACATGGCCAAGTGACAGAGAATCTTGCGGGACATAGCCAAGTGACAGAGAATCTTGCGGGAAATAGCCAAGTGACAGAGGACCTGGTGGGACATGGCCAAGTGACAGAGAACCTCGTGGGACATGGCCAAGTGACAGAGAATCTGGCGGGACATGACCAAGTGACAGAGAACCTGGCGGGACATGGCCAAGTGAATGAGAACCTGGCGGGACATGGCCAAGTGACAGAGAATCTCGCGGGACAAGGCCAAGTGACAGAGAATCTTGCGGGACATGGCCAAGTGACAGATGACTTGGCGGGACATGGCCAAGTGACAGAGGACCTGGCGGGACATGACCAAGTGACAGAGAACCTGGCGGGACATGGCCAAGTGACAGAGAACCTGGCGGGACATGGCCAAGGGACAGAGGACCTGGCAGGACATGGCCAAGTGACAGAGAACCTGGCAGGACATGGCCAAGTGACAGAGGACCTGGCAGGACATGGCCAAATGACAGAGACCTGGCGGGACATGGCCAAGTGACAGAGAACCTGGCGGGACATGGCCAAGTGACAGAGAACCTGGCGGGACATGGCCAAGGGACAGAGGACCTGGCAGGACATGGCCAAGTGACAGAGAACCTGGCAGGACATGGCCAAGTGACAGAGGACCTGTCAGGACATGGCCAAATGAAAGAGAACCTGGCGGGACATGGCCAAGTGACAGAGAAGCTGGCGGGACATGGCCAAGTGACAGAGAACCTGGCGGGACATGGCCAAGGGACAGAGGACCTGGCAGGGCATGGCCAAGTGACAGAGAACCTGGCAGGACATGGCCAAGTGACAGAGAATCTTGCGGGACATGGCCAAGTGACAGAGAATCTTGCGGGAAATAGCCAAGTGACAGAGGACCTGGTGGGACATGGCCAAGTGACAGAGAACCTGGTGGGACATGGCCAAGTGACAGAGAATCTTGCGGGACATGGCCAAGTGACAGAGGACCTGGCGGGACATGGCCAAGTGACAGAGGACCTGGCGGGACATGGCCAAGTGACAGAGAACCTGGCGGGACATGGCCAAGTGACAGAGAACCTGGCGGGACATGGCCAAGGGACAGAGAACCTGGCAGGACATGGCCAAGTGACAGAGAACCTGGCAGGACATGGCCAAGTGACAGAGGACCTGGCAGGACATGGCCAAATGACAGAGAACCTGGCGGGACATGGCCAAGTGACAGAGAACCTGGCGGGACATGGCCAAGTGACAGAGAACCTGGCGGGACATGGCCAAGGGACAGAGGACCTGGCAGGACATGGCCAAATGACAGAGAACCTGGCAGGAAATGGCCATGGCCAAGTGACAGAGGACCTTTCAGGACATGGCCAAATGACAGAGAACCTGGCGGGACATGGCCAAGTGACAGAGGACCTGTCAGGACATGGCCAAGTGATGGTATCGTGCAGTAGACCACACTTAATAAACAGAGAATGCTTTTTGTAAATCGATAGTGATTATATTTCAACTTACCTACACCATATCTCGTTGCGTTTTCCAGTCGCTTTATGTGCCGTTGAAATACTGCAAATTGTATTGTTGGACATATAAAACATGGTTAGAGCGGTGTAGCATTCATTATGCATTCTGCCAATGAGAGAGAGAGACTTTCACATGCGCACTCACAAGAGGTCACGGGACGGTGGGGTACGCTACTGGTTAAAGCGTCGGTTTGTCACGCCGAAGAACCGGGTTCGAATCCCCACATGGGTATAATGTGTGAAGCCCATCTCTGGTGTGTCCCGCCGTGATATTGCTGGAATATTGCTAAAACAGGCGTGAAACCACACTCACTCACTCACCCATTATTATTATATTTATTTATTATATATTATATATTATTATTATACTGATGTCAGCGTTTAATCAGGTTAAAGAATGTATTACCTTAGACCATATATGTCCTGCCCTGATAAGAGCAGTGGGGTTACTTTCAACTTCCACTGTACCGATCTAATCACAGATTGTTAGTGTTCAAATACGTCCAACAATATCCGCCGTTTAATGATATTGATACGTACTTCCTTGATAGAGTAATCCCCAGCAATCTTCGGCCATCCGTAGCATTTATGTGTTTCTCATTTTCAACCTCACTCAGCAAAAGCGCGTGTGGGCGAAGTAACTAATACATTTTAAAACAAATACAATTTTAAAGAATAATATTTTTCAATAATTGTGTAACTTATTTCATACAAAATGTAAAATTTAGATCACTTGCAGGTAGTCATTTAAATTCATTTTATAATGTAGATCAATTCTGTTTGGGTAAGTCTTTTGAAACCATTTTATGATAAATGTAGTTGAAGAAAAAATCAAGCTGACCTCTTGTGAGTGAGTGAGTGAGTGAGTATGGTTTCACGCCGCTTTTAGCAATATTGCACCAATATCACGGAGGGGACACCAGAGTGAGTAAGTGAGTTTGATTTGACGCCGCTTTTAGCAATATTCCAGCAATATCAAGGCGGGGGACACCAGAAAAGGGCTTCACACATTATGCCCATGTGGGGAATCGAACCCGGTTCTTCGGCGTGACGAACCAACGCTTTAACCAGTAGGCTACCCCACCGTCCCGTGACCTCTTGTGAGCGCGCATGGGAAAGTGTTTTGGGTTTCTTTCGGGGGTTTTCCCAATTTATCACATCAGACCATATATTCTTACAGGAGTTTGTGGGTTGAGATAAGTAAGTTGTCTATATTTGACGCAGGAATAAGATTAAATACGTAAGGGTGCCTGGGTGGATTGGGGGTAGGGAAAGATGGGAGATGAGCCAAAAACAAAATATAAAAGAGCATTTTTGTACGACTTGGTCGTTTGCGAGAATTATACCCCACAACCTATTCGGTTGCACATATGAATCACTGGTTTATCAGGTCTCAGCATATTATTATTATTATTTTCACATCACTGTTATCTTGCATACTGCGGGGTTAAATATAGACAGGCAAAATCACTAAAGTTCTATTATTATTGAAAGATACAATGTATCAATACAGGAACAGAAATGGGAACAGTATGTTTCGACTGATAACTTTCTAATCTTATCAGCTGTTTGAATTTCGGGTAATGCTCGTATATTATGTGGTGGCGATTTTACCTTTTCCACTCATTGGTGCTTGAAACTGAAAAGGGAAGGGGAATCCCCTCTTTTCCTCTGCATTTTCATTGGTCTGAAAGACGAAATACGTAACGAGGAAATCAATTCCGAAAGGATTGTAAAAAGAATATATAGGGTTATATTCCATATGTTTCAAGAAGTTAACTGTATACAATGTTGATATTTTCACGTAGGACGAAACACAGAAAACTGTAAGTTGCTTTGTGAATATGTTTGAACATATAATGTTTTAAAATCAGTTAGTCTCATTATGCGTATATTTATGCATAAATTTGATATAAGAACATTAAATTAAGTGTGTATCACTGTTTCGTTATGATATATTATATGACCTTGTATGATATGATACATAAATGTATTGGTTTAATGAATGCATTTCTGTTGCACTTTATATCAGTGTTATATCAACATGTAAAGAAAGGTGATTGGGGGAGTTTAGATTACCGCGCTTTGAACAGCAGATTTGTAACCGTGTGTGAGTCTGACGAGGTGATGAAGGTCTCAGATGTACTAAACTACCGTTATAAAGAAGTCACAAGGACGACTTATTCGAGTTCGTTATAACAGTAGTTCGTTATATGCATTTTGGGTAAAATAAACAAGTGTCCAGGACCCAAAATCCAGTTCGTTATAACCATCAGTTCGTTATAACCACCGGTTCGGTATAAACGTGGTTTGTTGTATCCCCAACTTTGAACCACGGGTTGTTGATAACAAGCCTAGACTCACACTCTGCGCGAGTCTACGATTCGAACCAATACCTTAATGATCATAGTATCTGTACAGTGAACTGCGAGGCCTAGAGTGTCTGAGCCACCCGTGCCCGCAAAGAAAATGCTAGTCTGCCTCACAGTCCCTCAACCACATTATTGTCCCCACTGCCCAACCCTCTCTGCAATGCTAAAACCCTAAGTGAAGCAAGGCTAGACTCCCTCGGGATCTGAATTTGTCATCGCACTGGGACTCCTTTTCAATTTAAATGGGTTAATTAGTAATCAAGTAAGTATCAAAATTATATATATTCATAAACAAAGCGTTAGTCTAAGGAAATATCTTTTTCAATATATGTGTATATGATAAACAGTCAATAGAAAACAGGGCCGTAGGTAGCCTCCCCCCCCCCCTAGAATGTTTTTACAGATTATTTTGTGTACATCAAAGTATTGATATAATTGATATAACACTCTTTAAAAGTGGACAGTCCCTCACCCCATTAAGAAAAGTTAACTACGGCCCTGCAAAGAAGGTCGTGAAGTCACCGTGCAAAGCTTAATAAGAAACACGAAGCTCTGACAATGTAGCAGCTGTGTCAAATTTGATGGAAAGAAACCAAATATTCTAAGAATATAATAATTCCACACAGACATTTACCACCTTGAAATTCATAGGAAGGTTCATTATTTTAATTAACTGTTGCATAAGACTGTACCCGCTTGCTGATAATTTGATATACACCTAACAAAAACCTCTCAGCACGAAGATTCATGTTCACGATAATTCACACACTTGTACCATAAATGTGTTTGCGCTACCACTAGACAGTTATACACACGAAATTTACTAGACATTGATCGGATAAAATACACATTATTCTTAAAAGCTTAATAATCAGCGTTATATTCAGATAACTGAGCAAAACATTAAAGATTTACCCGCCCTGTTGAGGAACAGACCGATCCGACAAGTAGGACGAAGCACATTAGTTTCCAGACCGCCATCTTGTCAATACAGGCGTTGTCGGTGTCTATTTCAGTGTTATCAGCATCCTCACTGTTGTCGATTTCACACGCCTCGGTGTCGATTTCAAAACATGATTTCCTCACAGAAGTGTAAATTGATGTCTAGACTGCATTCCCCAGGGCGAAAGACAGTATATAATTGAAGATTGGATTTGACCAAAGTAAAACCGCTGTGAAAACGTTACTTCGCTGAAAAGAGTCGCTCACCGCAAATGTATGGTGAAAGCATATCTGCGATATTTGTATCAATTACATCTTTATCGAACAACCCCATGTCTTTTTTGTTTGTAACCACCGCCAGACATGGGTGTTTACATTCTTTTGTACAGCAGTACATGTGTAGACATAAAAAAATATTTTTTTGTTTGTTGTTTAACGCCGCACTCAGCAATATTCCAGCTATATGGCGGCGGTCTGTGAATAATCGAGTCCAGACCAAACAATCCAGTGATCAAGAGCATGACCATCGATCTACGCAATTTGGATACGATGACATAATGTCAATCAAGTCAGCGAGCCTGACCCCATCCCGTTAGTCGCCTCTTGTGACAAGCATGGGTTACTGAAGACCAATTCTAACCCGAATCTTCGCGGGTCACATGAAGAAAGTGAATGAGTGAGTGAGTGTGTGACGGGTCACATGCAGAAAGTGAATGAGTAAGTGTGTGTTAGGTCTAATGCCTCTCTGAACAGTGGTTCGACTGAAACACCATGATAGTTTAAATAGAGAGAAACACCTAAGCTATGCATATCGTAATGTCGACGAAGAAATCATAATCATCAAACAAATTTTTGATTCGAACAAACGATTCGAGATATCCTGGAAGAAAGGGACGCAGCTCATCACAGACTAATGGATCACCATGTAATGCCCCCATTACATCAAACTGACAGATTGCCCTCAGTAACTGGGTAACGCGTAACGCACAGCCTTAACAGGGCCCCCCAAAACAAAAGACTAACCTGAGCAAATGATATCTCTTAATCACATTAAATCTTTGTGCTATCACAGCTGCTATAGTGTATTGTGCTTTGTTGTGTTGTAATAAAGTCAGTACGTAATTAAAAATGTAAAGTCTGAATTACACTGTCCGTCACCTTTCCACACACACAAGAGACCGCCCATGTGATGCAAGTCCGAAGATGATGACATATATGGTATATTGAGACTATTGCACTCGTCGGTTTTCTTTGATGATGCCGAGCTGAACAGTTTTCCAGGACCCACTTACACAAAAAAAATGTCAGCGCTACAATTATTGTGAATACTTAGGGATGTTTAGGGTTTGTCTGGAATTGTCATCCAGTTGCACAAAACGAATTTAGGCTAAGACCACCTACTATTTACAATTACAATCGGTCACAATTGGAACAAATTTATCCAGATTGTATACTTTGGAACAGGTTTATGCAGATTGCATACTTTGGAACACATTTATGCAGATTGCATACTTTGGAACAGGGTTCTGCAGACTGCATACTTCGGAACAGGTTTATGCAGAATGCATACTTTGGAACAAATTTATGCAGATTGCATACTTTGGAACAGGGTTCTGCAGACTGCATACTTTGGAACAGGTTTATGCAGACACTAAATGCTAATGATCTGCCTATGCACAAGGCGAATGTCAACAACACATGTCCAAGATCGACCATGACCATGTATGACATATTGGAACTGCTTATATCCAGCAACATAACATGACTTACAAAAGGTATTGATCAGAACATGATATAGTTTTGCGCATAATATTTTCTGACATGTATTCTTAACCAAAGGGGGTTTATATATATATAAGAAGTTTCTGAAATATTCACACGACACGGATCTTCTCCAACATGTTTCACTTTTATCTTCAGGGAGAAGTGATTACAGTTAAACGGATTATGTTATGACGTCACTTTGTCATGACGTCACAATGCAACTGTATACAAATTTTGTGACGCGGCGTTGCCATGACGTCACATTGGCGGCTTTAAAATTGACAGTACTAGTAGCACAATGAAAACAAGTATAATTCAGACACATTGCGTCTTTAGCTTTACGCTGCATGACGTCAGCAGTATTCATTTTATAGAAAGGGAATATTTCAAATTATATTTCCTTTCCTGCTGCGCATTTGTCGATGTGAGCGCTTAGGGGATGCACCTTGTTTTGGGGTCTTTAATCTGTTTATGGACGCGCATTCTGTCCCTCAAGCACTCTGTTTGTCCAATGTATTCTTCATGACACCCTTGGCATATAATAACATAAAATAATATGTTTTGCGGAGCAGTCCATGTTAGAGCGTACATGAAATAATTGTTTCCTGTTTTTGAACTTTATACATGAAGTTTCAAGTATATATTCACAAGTTCCATAAAATTTCCCCGTTTACATTTTGAGACAATTAATTCTGTAGGTTTAATACATGAGTCGAATTTGGCACGTGTCAATATGTGTTTTAAGTTACGGCTTTGGCGTTTACTCTTTATGATTATCATTGTTACATTAGCCATAATTCGATTCATTTTCATATCAGCATTTAAAATTGGAACATTTTGTCTTATGATATGAAAAAATTCCGGATTCTTGCGTTGAAACATAGGCCAGATTGACAGTGTTATTTATTTGTTTATCACGAACTTTCAACAGTGTCCTTCTGTCTGTGTTTATTGCTTTCTTTATTCCATCTTCCACAAGAAGAACTGGGTATCCACGGGACTGTAGATATGATTTTAGTTCTGCAAGTCGTATGTTTCTTGTCGGCATTTGTGACACAATCATGCAGATACGTCTTGCTAAATTATAGGGAATGCTTCTCTTTATATGACTCGGGTGGCAAGATGAAAAATGAAGGTTTTGTTTAGTATCTGTAGGTTTATAATATATATCTGTTTCTAGATTACGTTCACATAGTTTTACCATAATGTCCAAAAATGGAATTTCAGAATAATTTGAGTCCATGGTAAAATGTAAATGTTTGTTCAAGTTATTTAGGATGTTATAAAACAGAGTTAATTTTTCATCTCCAAAGGGCCATAACATGAAGCAATCGTCAAGAAAACGTCGCCAATTTGTTCTAAAGTATTCAGCGACTTCAGGTCCTAACTGTTCTTTCACTTTGGTTTCCGGAGTTCGTTCCAAATACCCTAAAACTAACGTAGCATACGTGGGTGCCATTTTAGTTCCCATTGTTGTACCCTTTATTTGCTTATAATGTTCCCCATCAAAATTAAATGTATTGTTATTCAATATGATATGATAATGATATAATAATAATAATAATAAGGGTACTTATACTGCGCAATACTCCATACCACAAAGGGGCATGCTCAAAGCGCGCACAAATGTTTAAAAACAAACACATCAAAAAGTCACATGAATCAGTATTGTAGTAAATATGAGCTTGGAAAATATGACATGTCTCTGTACCTCCGTACGTCGCCCCATGATTAAACACAATCAGAGTCAATTTAGGCTAGACTCTGTTGTTGTTATTGTTGTTCTGACATATTATATGTCAGAGATACATCTTGCTGTTGTGATGTTGACATAGGGCGTATTGTGCGGGGGCAGGTCATTATTGCAGTTTAATCCAGGAACCTCTCCTTTTTTCGGACTGTATACAATAACCGAATACGCTTAATCAATAGTCACGGACTATTCATCTTAGAAGGGCGGAATGCTATTATCGTTCACCTCATTTTACTATATATAGCAACAGTCTGTGATTGAAGGCAATGCGCTTATGTCCATATCGTGAGCTGGCAGTGGTTTGATGAAGTGTTCCGACTAATGAGATTTACACAGAACCTGCCCTCGTGTCATTGTAGGCGACATGCCCTGAAGTGACCAATATGTCAAACGGATGACAGGTCAGAGATCACCATTGTGTCATTTAGTACATTGTAGAACTAGGTACGGGCGTATACATACGCCAACAGTTGTAACCCGCATGCAGTCCAGCAGTGGTGACCGATGGTCTTGGCATGGTATATCAAGGTATTTGTGTATTCTGGCATGAGAACATAACACAAACACCCACAGATCCAGGTTAACTAGGCTTCAGCAATTCATGTCTGTCTTAAGAGGGATCGGGTGGTCGGTCGGCTCGCTGACTGGGCTAATGCACGTCATCACATTCCCATTGGGATGGTCGAATCTGATGACGTCAACGGATTGTCTGGCCCGGTTGTTTACAGACCGCCTTCATAATATTACAACTGGAATATTTCTGAGTGCGAAGTTTAACAATTAGCAAGCAAACAGTTTGTTGAATGATATGGGTTTTCAAGAATACAATCCGTTTAATAGTAATCTCCCGCCAGCAGTACATTGTAACATCCAGTTGCAGGTGAGTTAAAAGACTAAGTTCGTGTTAAAATAAATATATATAAAACAATATGAACAGTACAGGGCGGCTAAACTGTGTATTAAGAAATGCATGTGTTGCTTTCCATAAAACCGGAAGAAAAAGCAGGAAAGTGTTTCATTAGAATCTCTTTGGGCAGGGTACAGTGGTCCTCATACACAATACTCGGCATGTATTAACTTGAAATGTCATGTGTGATGAGAGGCGATATATCTATCTCTCCTTATATACTCAATAAAAAAAATATCTTTCTACAATACTCTCAGAGGCATTAGGACCAGCATGCAGTACTTTCCAGATATTTCCATACAGATATTCTGAATTTTCAAGGTAAGGTTTCAAGTCACAATATACATTTAGCCCTTACATGGGTTTGTTGAACGGGTCCCTGCTTTGGCTGAGGTCTGTCTAATGGTGTATCTAAACTGCGTCATATAATCACCTGATGAAGGGGCAAGTATTAGCCCAGAAACGTCGTGTGTAAATAATAAAGAAGTTGCACATCCATATCAAGTGTGTTGTATTACCATACCAACTTCTAAATGCCTATCAAACATCTGCGTCATATGATCTCAGTGGGCTTGCATTATGAAATCGGCATTAACATAAGGCCGTAAAATCACGCATGAATGCTAGTCCCCATATAACTATTATAGTCTTGAACGTGACGTCACCTCATTTTACCTTACAAACGTAACGTGTATATCGTGATCGGGAAGCTGGCAGTCAGCGATGACAGGGGGGTGACGTCGTAATAACTATTGTGACGTAATTTCATATGACGTCAAAATAGACTGATGGCTGATTAATATTATTATTCAGACATGGGAGATTACAAAAGAGCAATTATAGGTACATCTGTGGGCACATAAGGGGTAGCAAATCGTCTGTGACGATCTGTTTATATGTGATTTACAAATAACCGTTATGTTGTACATTCCAGTCCTATTTTTAACGAAACCCCTAAATTAAGAACAAAAGCGAGACGCTGAATTGTCTACCGCCATATTCCACTCGTTCCCAGTGGTGAATATACCTCGGGGAGGACAACATCGTATATGATACGGGGCAAATTAGACATTTTGAAACGTTAGCACATATGTACACTTGGAATGTTGCCTTACCCGAACCTTGCTTGCACCTGAGATCGCAAGAGAATCTACCAGCATTTAAGTCACAACCGAAAACTCATTTGTTCAGTGCTGCCTACCGAACTTGACCAATGTCTTTCCAGACTCATTTCCAGCGCTTTTGATTGGCACATGCCAGAAACTAGCGCTATATAAATATGTGTATGTATGTATGTATGTATGTATGTATGTATGTATGTATGTCTGTCTGTCTGTCTGTCTGTCTGTCTGTCTGTCTGTCTGTCTGTCTGTCTGTCTGTATGTATGTATGTATGTATGTATGTATGTATGTATGTATGTCTGTCTGTATGTATGTATGCTTGGGGCAGATGGGCTCAGCCTGCTAAACACTTTTCTCTGTGTTGATCTAACATTCTGAATAACTCTTTCTTGTCAACGTAATTTTTTCAGGTCACACAAAATTAAATTCCCGTCTACATAAAATAAAATAGAAATACAAACCATATAAATGCACGCACTGCAACGAAACAGAAACCCCTGAACACGTCCTACTACACTGCATACACTACCAACACAGAATAGTGCTCCAGAGTTCACTGAGCAGAAACACGACATACACCGCTGAGACCACCATCTAACACCAAAACCTTTAAAGCCTTAGGTACATTTCTAATCAAAATTGGCCTTTTAGATCGCATATAATCTCACATTAACCACATAACCTGAAAAACTTATACTAAAACAAAACAAGTACCAACCAAACCATCCCGTAGAACTTTCATTCTCCCTACAACTTCTGGGAATTTTCCAAATTGAAAATCAATACAAATTTTAATTATGCAACCCTAACGTCCACTTCAGGTCGCCATATCTTACGGTCAAATCACTTCAAATCAAACGCTAAATGGCCTGGCGGGCCCGTGGGCTAAATGTGCTAAATGTCAGATTCCATCATCGTCATACTCTGAAACGTCTTGTTCCTCAAATAAAGAAGTTGACATCCACAAATAAACGCCTTTAATTAAGTCTATCACTTCTGAATTGTTCGAAGACTCTATTTTTCTGGTATGCTTGTAATATTTAGTATTCTGAATATTTTAATTTAGTATTCACAGTCATATTCATGTTCCTACAAGGGAAGAGAGACTAGCAGAGAGGTGTGTTTCTGGGACTTAAGAGTAACAGATTAGAAATCTTTTTAAACAATTTTATTTTTTGCAAATCAAAATTTCAGTCTGTTATTTCATTAAGCTCACGATCATCTGAGCATCCTCAACTTATCCCTATTGTAATCATGCAAGAAAAAATTAAAATGCAGTCATGTCATTCACGACATTGGTTTCGCTTTCGGTACTCTACATTGCTACCTCCACGCGTAGAAGAGTCAATGCGGAAGTGGCTGCGACACCAACATGACGGCACGTCATTTGTAAACATAGCCAGTGCATCGTTCATTCAGAGTCGGGTAACCAGGACACAGTTTCATGTATTTTTGTTGTTTTACGTAGAAAGTAGTAATCTTTGTACCTGTTTAGTCGTTGCAGAGACTAACACTGGAATTATGTCGTTTGCGATTAATAATTGTATTTTCATTTTTCTATCTGTGACAGTGTGTCACATTTGGCATTTGACGATATGTGTAAATTTGTAACATTAAACGATTTAGTAGATGTAGTGTGCCATAGTGCATGCAAAATGATATCAAATTGTGTTTGCAATGTGCAAATGCTCATTCTGTTTGAAAATACCGCGAGAAGAAAAAAAATATGTTTATTCAGTATGATATTTTGACATTACTTTAATTTCAGAGACCATTTAAATTTAGTTTATTATGATGAGACAGGAATATTTCAGTGATGTCTCATTGGTGTTGCTGAAACTGTAACAGTAGTATAGGCAGTACCCTCGACCATTGGTGTATCCACATTTTGTCACTGACATCAAAATAAATAGCCAATCGAAATCTTTGGCATTGTGTATCTATATCAGCCACAAGTAGAAATGTTATTGATTAGAAATTGTTATTGATTTAGGAATTAAAGAATATAATTTACAATTAAAAAATATAACAATGTGTGTATTTGTAATTAAAGTATTCATTTTGGATATGTATAGATAATATATGTTAATCTTAGTGTTAGCAGTGAATATAGAATTTCTGGTATCAATACATAGTTGACAATACAAAATAATGGTTGTACGATAACATGACAAGGAAAATAATACAGGAATTGGATATAGTGTTTCATTAACCCTTGTAACAGTGTAAACCATCATTATTATGTTCTACAAGTTATTATGAAAGCATGTTAGACATACATTAATCTTATCTACAGTTCACTGTTTGTTACGAGGGAGGAGTGCAGAGAAAGGGACAGCCAGGTGTTCGAGAAGCACGTTCACAGACAAAGTTATTTATTCATTAACCTGTGCTGTGCCGTCTCCATCCGTTCTCAAACACCTGGCTGTCCCTTTCTCTGCACTCCTCCCTTGTAACAAATGATGAACTGTGTCAATATTTTAATGATAGATTGTTAAACAACTTTTTTATTTTTAGGACAAAAATTCTGTTGGTATGATGTTTTGATTATGATCAGCGTTTTATTGAGTATTTTATGTTTTATTAGTTTTCGAGTTAGATTGCAATTCATCGGTCCGCTTTTAAGCCAAACGGACTATAGGCTGTAGTCATGGTAACAGTTTTTACATTTGAATGGTCAGTTTGAATATTCCTGCAATGTTGAGTCTTCAGAAGTATCAGAAGGAAAGAGTGACATTTACTTAGTGTTTTAACACAACCCATGATTTTTATCTCACTTTTTCTCATATGTATTTTACTATATTTTATTCTGTTACAGTTAGCAGACGACTCAAGCTAATTTAGTTATGTGTTAAGTAATTTACTTCCCCTCTGTCTGGTCATGCGGGACCAAAGAAAAGTGTTTACTTTCATTGTAGGTCTTTACTTAGCACATTCTGTTACAGTTAGCAGAACTAAGCATGTGAAGTACTCCCCTCTGTCTGGCCAATCATTTATTGTAGAGCACACCCCATCATGTAGCAATAGCAAATCACATATTGTATTGTCTAAAGTTTAGTTAAATAGATGTTTGCATCTTGTTTGTGTTGTTTAATTGCCCTGATTTGTATTCAGAGTGCATTGATATAACCTTGAAAAAACATTGCATGTGATGAGGTTTACCTTCTAAAAGACCCAGGTACTTTCCATAGTCCCTACTAGGAGGTTATTCAAGGAAACACATAACCCTTTCCACAGCCATAAGAAATGTCTTCTAAAAACAAAGTTGATTGTACAATTCCAACTGCATCATGAGCATGTGTTAATGAATCACTATCACATAGTGATGATACCAGGGGTTCCTGACAAGGTGAGTATACCCTGCCCTACTAGTGGCAACTACACCATGAGCATGTGTTAATGAATCACTATCACATAGTGATGATACCAGGGGTTCCTGACAAGGTGAGTATACCCTGCCCTACTAGTGGCAACTACACCATGAGCATGTGTTAATGAATCACTATCACATAGTGATGATACCAGGGGTTCCTGACAAGGTGAGTATACCCTGCCCTACTAGTGGCAACTACACCATGAGCATGTGTTAATGAATCACTATCACATTGTGATGATACCAGGGGTTCCTGACAAGGTGAGTATACCCTGCCCTACTAGTGGCAACTACACCATGAGCATGTGTTAATGAATCACTATCACATTGTGATGATACCAGGGTTCTGACAAGGTGAGTATACCCTGCCCTACTAGTGGCAACTACACCATGAGCATGTGTTAATGAATCACTATCACATTGTGATGATACCAGGGGTTCCTGACAAGGTGAGTATACCCTGCCCTACTAGTGGCAACTACACCATGAGCATGTGTTAATGAATCACTATCACATTGTGATGATACCAGGGGTTCCTGACAAGGTGAGTATACCCTGCCCTACTAGTGGCAACTACACCATGAGCATGTGTTAATGAATCACTATCACATTGTGATGATACCAGGGGTTCCTGACAAGGTGAGTATACCCTGCCCTACTAGTGGCAACTACACCATGAGCATGTGTTAATGAATCACTATCACATTGTGATGATACCAGGGGTTCCTGACAAGGTGAGTATACCCTGCCCTACTAGTGGCAACTACACCATGAGCATGTGTTAATGAATCACTATCACATAGTGATGATACCAGGGGTTCCTGACAAGGTGAGTATACCCTGCCCTACTAGTGGCAACTACACCATGAGCATGTGTTAATGAATCACTATCACATTGTGATGATACCAGGGTTCCTGACAAGGTGAGTATACCCTGCCCTACTAGTGGCAACTACACCATGAGCATGTGTTAATGAATCACTATCACATTGTGATGATACCAGGGTTCCTGACAAGGTGAGTATACCCTGCCCTACTAGTGGCAACTACACCATGAGCATGTGTTAATGAATCACTATCACATTGTGATGATACCAGGGGTTCCTGACAAGGTGAGTATACCCTGCCCTACTAGTGGCAACTACACCATGAGCATGTGTTAATGAATCACTATCACATTGTGATGATACCAGGGGTTCCTGACAAGGTGAGTATACCCTGCCCTACTAGTGGCAACTACACCATGAGCATGTGTTAATGAATCACTATCACATTGTGATGATACCAGGGGTTCCTGACAAGGTGAGTATACCCTGCCCTACTAGTGGCAACTACACCATGAGCATGTGTTAATGAATCACTATCACATAGTGATGATACCAGGGGTTCCTGACAAGGTGAGTATACCCTGCCCTACTAGTGGCAACTACACCATGAGCATGTGTTAATGAATCACTATCACATAGTGATGATACCAGGGGTTCCTGACAAGGTGAGTATACCCTGCCCTACTAGTGGCAACTACACCATGAGCATGTGTTAATGAATCACTATCACATTGTGATGATACCAGGGGTTCCTGACAAGGTGAGTATACCCTGCCCTACTAGTGGCACCTATCAAAAGTTAAAAATGCAAAGACTAGTCAGATGTTCACCAGAAAAACATGGGAACTTATGGTACAGGTGAAAATAGGGAAATGCGTCGGACATAATTTTTATCACTCATGTGTTGCATTTTGAAATTTTGTATGCTCTACTGAGGCCTTAAATGTTATAATCTTGATCATGTAGTTTAGTATCAGTCAGTGAGGTTTTAGTTTCACGCCACCTTTAGCAATATTCCAGCAACATCATGGCAGGGGACACCAGAAATGGGCTTCACACGTTGTACCCATGTGGAGAAATGAACCCGGGTCTTTGGGACGAGCGAACACTTTAACCACAAGGCTACCCCACTGCCCCTATTGAGTTAGAGGCGTTTGGCATTTTTTGAGATCTTGAGAAAAAAATTCTGCTCATTTGTATCTAAAAACTATGAAATGTAAATGCCAAAGTCTGGAGCTGTTAGAATATTGCTTGAATAGTGGCAAAGTTGAGTATTGGATAGTTGGAGTCATCCCCCCTTGTCACACAGCCTTGTGGAGAGGTTTTGTCTCACAAAACAATATAATGATGTTTCTCGTAGTATATACTAAATGACATTACAATATTTAGTCCCTCTCTCTTGTCTCAGAAGCCTCACAGCAGGTGGTAGTCCGACAGCAGAAAGTGCCCCTTCTACTATGTTGCCAGTCATGTCCCTTGACCGACAGATCGTCACGGACCAACATGCCAAGTCTATTCTGACCACGATGAACAACCTCCGCAAGGCCAACACCCTGTGTGACATCACTCTCAGGGTCATGGGAGAGTCCTTCCCTGCACACAGGATCGTACTGGCAGCCTGCAGCGACTACTTCTGTGCAATGTTTACAAATGAGGTTTGTAAATGTATATTTATTTGTATCAACTTGCATTGGGGTTAAATGTGGTGAACAGACTGAGTATATAAGGCATACATTGATACAATTGATATGAGGTTAGAAATCTGACACTGTGACAAGTGTTGGTATATGTGATATCAAAACAGTCTTGGGATTGTATGAGATATATACAATGTAGTTCATATGCAATATTAAGAGGTGATTACATGACAGTTTCCCCTTCGCCAGTCATATCAGGCGGAAGGCCATATCATAACCTTTCTGTCATATACCACATTAAGGGACATAACTCTTTTATAAACTAGGCTCCGTCTTATTGACATTTCGAGCGTTTGCATGTATTCATTCCTTACCAGTTTAGTAGCCAGGCAATAGAACTGATATAGATTTTCGTCCCGAGGGCTGATATGGCTGATATGCATTTTCGTTTGCGTGTATTCATTCCTTACCAGTTTAGTAGCCAGCAAAAAAACTGATATAGATTTTCGTCCCTAGGGCTGGTATGGCTGATATGCATTTTCGGCCCGGGAGGTCAATAACGACATATGCTGACAGTCACTATTGTATGTGCAAAATGGTCCATATTATTCATAGGTATGGGATAAATATGTTTACAAATTACATTATTACCCACATGGTCAACGTATGGGTAGTTGCATACTTATCTCGTCACACGAGTGTCGTATCACGTTGACCTGTGTCGTAACGACTTTACCTGAGATTCTAACGATTTGATTGGATAACCGATGACCTCTCAAATAGGTCAAGTTGTGACGGAACAACTTTTCCATTCATAACAAACACGTGAATTCATTTGTTCTACAACTTATATGCATTGTGGGAATGTAAACATTGGGAACTTTGCCATATCGCTGTTTAATTGTGAGTCCAACTGAGACATTATAATAAAAAAAAGTATATGCGTCGAAAAACATAAGCGCAAAGTTTCCACCATTGATGTTAGCCCAGTGAAGCAACTGCAAACTAAGAAACAGGGTGCTACCGAGTAGTTTAATGTAGGAGGCTGTGTGAGGCGATGACAACTGACATGCATCATGACGTCGGTTACCATAATACCAAGGGGGCAGACGAGGAAGGCATCATCATCATCATATATACATTTGAAGGCATATCCAGCTCGTCAGCTGCTCAAAGTGTCCCGTCACTGGATGTCAATCTCAACAGCAAATATTGTCAACTACAGAACAACATTCTTCCATTCCAACCTCTTTATGAAACTGGGTTTCACAGGTTTGAAACCATACCGCAAAAATAACAAAAATGGCCACCATCTGGTCATATTTGTCGTGGGTTTTAAGGGTTGCATGTACTGTACATGTGGGTGATAAATGAAAATGCACACAAAGTTGACTCCAAGGTTTTACACCCGGTCACAGGTGGGCTCGATCCGTCACCTCAAGCTCGCTACCAAATTATAGTGGCGTCAAACAGTGTGGCGTCATGCAAAAAGTGTACTTCCAACATTCTTTGTGACCTCTTTATGAAACCGGTTTTGGTTTTCTCGGTCATTTAATACCATGGGTAATAAAAGGAAATACCACACTTTCGGTCTCATAACATTTGAATCATATGAAACTTCGTGACCTTCCTATGGTTTCTGACCTCAGATACCATAAGAAGAACACTCGTTCATTATAATTCGTATGTAATGCGACCTCGGGTAGTATTCTCGATGTATGTATGAGGTATACATTTTATAGTTCATATACTCAACAAAAGAAGAAACACATTTTTTGTAATAATTGTAAAGGGGTAATTCCTTTTAAGTTTTTGTTGTGCTATATACCCAACAATGACATGTTGGACGTCTGAACTTGGTCTTTGCAACAGATGTGAAAAATTAGAATATGAAACATGAAAAAGGACTGAAACACAAAATTAATGTCAGGTGGTCACCTTGGCGATCACACATGTATTGAAATGAAAATAAACAGATATTGCTAAACAGGAATCAAAATTGCAAGCTACAAAGTGAAACAGAGTCCACAGAATAAAGGTAGAATTGTTCCAGAAGGTGAATGGTGTTTTAGAAATCTCCTCTCCTTGTAGATGTCAGAGCGAGACAAGTCTATGATAGAGCTACATGAGATATCACCTGATGTGATGAGAGAGCTACTGGACTTTGTATACACAGAAACAGTGGACGTCAGTGTGGAGAATGTCCAGGAATTGTTGCCGGCTGCGTGTTTGTTGCAGCTGAATGGTAGGTAACAGTTGCCAGATGCATATTTGTTGCAGCTCCGTAGTAGGTAGCTGTATACAGCTGCATACTTGATGCAGTTCAGTGGTTGGTTTCCGTTGCCAGACACTTAAGAGCTTAAATGAGGATAGCACTATATTCAGTATTTCAGTATATACAAAACATATCATATATACAAGACAGACACTTAAGAGCTTAAATGAGGATAGCACTATATTCAGTATTTCAGTATATACAAAACATATCATATATACAAGACATTAATACTAGAGCAATTAAATCATAATATAAACAACTGTAGCAGTTTCCCGGCTTGTAAAGCTGCAATGTAGACAATATATTTGTGTGCTTGGGAACGTTTAAGCAATTTTCATGTTTAAAGTGAAAGGATAATTGTTTATATCCAGAAATTCAGACGTCAAATGAAATATTATCATGCATTAAATCCATGAACTGATTCTTTCATGCTCAAATTTATTTATCTGGTGCATTAGAAGTTTAGAAATGATTGTGTATGACATCGGTTCACAGGAGATGATCAGGGAAAGAATATGGCTGTCTGAGTATGGTTTATTGCTTGCATACTTCTTGCACTTTTTCAAACTGTTCCAATGGCTGGGTAACTAATTATTTGTCCGTACCAATTCTGTATCTCGATTGTCAAAAGGTAAATATTTGTTGTTTTGTTTCTTGCAGGTGTGAAAGAGGCATGTTGTTCTTTCTTAGAGAATCAGCTTGACTCCTCAAATTGCCTTGGAATCAAAATATTTGCTGAACAGCACAGCTGCAAGGCATTATGGGAAGCTTCAGAGTCATACAGTCTTCATCATTTCGAGGAGGTGGTTCAGCAGGAGGAGTTTAAGACTCTTCCTCTGGCGGAGATCGAGAGATTAATTAAAAGTGATGAACTTCAGGTAGATATGATGTCGATGAACCCTCATGAAATGCTTCATCCATCAAGTGCAGATTGTGTGGTGTATTAGGGCATGGTATTGGCACACATTGTACAGGAATATATTGTGATGCAAGCATCTGTTTTGTAATGTGTATTGCGGTTTCTTGGGAGCTCTAGTCTTTGAAACTGACTGGTAGTGATTGTACTTGCAGATCCTTTTGTCTACACTCTAAATTAAACATTACAATGTTAGAGGGAGCATGTTCAGTTGCTGCCATTTTGTATCCATGGATACAGGGGAGATAACTATGTGAGAGAACTGTCACATCCATGTTTCCAAGATATGGTCAGTCAGTCTGAAAGGAACACTTCATTTGTGAAAGAGTTTCTTTGTAAATGTTTGAAAAGTGTATAACTATAAGCTAATACAGCAGTAACACTGTGCTGTTCCAGTATGTATGATAAAGTCACTTTGATCACTATTTCAAATTATGCTTGTGGAAATACACGTCATGAGTTTCACGACCTGTCTCCTCTCCCACCTCCCCTCATCCCCCACCCCGATTATTGCTTCATAATCTATATTTCATCACTGTTTAGAAACTTTTGATCAGCTCAAATACCACGTTTTGCTCCGAAGTCAACCTTTTTATACATAGCTTTCGTTATTTGCCGACCCGTGAAGATCCGGGGTAGAATAGGTCTTCAGCAACCCATGCTTGCCACAAAAGGCGACTGTGATTGTCGTAAGAGGCAACTATTGGGATCGGGTGGTCAGACTCGCTGACTTGGTTGACACATGTCATCGGTACCCAATTGCGCAGATCGATGCTCATGCTGTTGATCACTGGATTGTCTGGTCCAGACTCGATTATTTACAGACCGCCGCCATATAGCTGGAATATTGCTGAATGCAGTGTAAAGCTAAACACACTCACTCGTTATTTGCCAGATTCATAGGGCACCTTTGCCATGGTGTCAACACACATGGACCCCTCTCTGTATACTTGAAGCAGGTATAACTTAAAAGTGTGTTTACAGGTTAACTGTGAGGAACCTGTGTTTGAGGCGGTGATCGACTGGGTCAAGTACGACCGAGAGAGTCGATGTGAGTGTCTTCCTGAACTGCTCAACTATGTCCGACTTCCGCTGCTCAGTGCTCGGTACATCACGGATGTTATAGACCAAGAGGTATACTGTGAAACTTTGTAGCTATAGTAACCAGTGCACCTTGCAGCCATAGCAACATGAGGATACATGTAACATTGGACCTTGTAGCTATAGCAACATGAGGATACATATAACATTGGGCATTGTAGCCATGGTAATATAACATTGGACCTGAATCAATCAGTGAATCACTAAATTATGTAATAGACAAAATGTAACATCGCTGATAAATCCTTCACTAAAGACACAGTATGTTGTCAGGAAAGTACTACAATGGTCCACCTGAGGCAGTAAGATACATGTTTATGGTTTAGCTGAAGGGTGAATCTGGTGATGTGTTTGAGGAAAGTACTTCTTCTTCCATTCCAGAACCTTGTGAGACGGAGTCACAAGTGTAGGGATCTGCTAGATGAGGCCAAGAAGTTCCACCTTAGACCTGACCTCCGCCTGAAGATGGTCAGCCACAGAACCAAGCACAGAATAGGTAGGTAGCCTTACATTGCAGCTTGGTGGGGACACGCAATACTACCATTTATAGGAGAAGAGGAGAATCAGGATCGTTGTCTTGTTTGTTCTGTAATGCAGAATGTTACAGCTATGATACAGCAGCCTGTAAATGATCCAGTGTGTCTGGGTGTGAAGCCGACGACATGTCGCAGAAGGCCGGGTTCAATTCCCCACAGCCAGGATCAGTTGATGAGGACTGATGCGAAACCACACTTTTTCCTGGAATACCCATCACAGGATCACAGAGGACGCTGAATACAGGACTGAAGTATAGGGGAGATAACCTTGCAGTTAATCTGATAAATACAGCAAAAACTGGTATTTTTAAAGTTTAATATGAGTTACAAATACTTTTGAAATTGAGAGTTTAGTGAAACTGGGAGTTTGCGATCACTGTGATAGAATTTCTTTGGGTGATATAGAGGATTAGGTCTTACGCAAATGAGTGGGAGCCAGTCCTGGATAATTGAATTAAAGATTCCCACAGAATGTTCATTCTTCTTGAACATATTTAATATATCTGATGTTATTTTGTTATCTGGGCCTAAAGAGAGTAAGATGTGCTTACCTCCAACTCTGTTCTGACAGATAATATGTTCCGGGTGTCAAGTCACTTGACGATCTGGATCAATGCAAGGTTCATTTTAACCTTATTTGCACAAAAATAGTTTTTGCAAGAGATCAGATACCAATAGTTACCCTCTTTTTAGAGTCTTTAAATGGCATTTGGAAGTGATACACATAAAGGCAAGAATTTATGGATGTCAACTTCTTTATTTTGATAGACACAGCGTTTCAGAGTATGTTCTTACTCCTTCATCAGGTGAATAAAAGTCTGAGAAACAGACAGCTATGTATGTTCATGTGAAACAACAGTGATAAGATAACAAGGAAACCCAGTAGTTAATTGGCACTGAATTGGTAAGTTGGATGGACAAGTTGAAATCAGGGATCATGGGGATTATTAATCCAGGCATGAATGATGAGGTAACAATGGTGGTTTATAACAAGCGAAAAGACCTCTTTTTAGGTCTGAAAAAATATCCTTACACAGGGAAATATATTGTCATGGATTCAGAAACATTGGTTTCTGTTTGTATTTCAGGAATAGGGGATGCACTGGTTGTTCTCGGAGGATTTGGATCTCAACAGAATCTAGTCAATGCAGTTGAAAAATATGACCCCCGAACCAAAGAATGGACCAAATTGCCTGTGAGTAAACCAAGAGGATTATTTAAATATCCTTTGATTGAGAATAGTTGTGTGTTAGTAATGTGTATGAAAATGGTTCACAATGTGAGTGTTGCAATGCCAAGTGTCACTTTTGGAGAGTTTCCAGCAGTGCATCAGACTGAATAAAACTGTTGGTTTCACCCGATTCAAAATCTAATTGTACCTGTACCACATGAGCATATGATACACTAAATAATCAAGGAAGTCATTTTGTTTTACCCATTCACAAGAATTGGATTATTGTTTCTTTATTTCAGTGTTTAACACGAAGAAGAAGATATGTGTCCGCCGCGTCTCTGGAAGGCAAGCTGTATGTGATCGGAGGATTTGATGGTCAGTCTCGACTTAGCATGGCGGAGTGTCTCGACATGACCGAGGATAAGAACATGTGGACCATTGTGTCCTCCATGAACCATCGGAGGGGTCTGGCCGGCTGCTGTGTGTACAAGAGTATGTTATTGTTGAATTAACATTGCCCAGTCAAGCACTTGTCACCTTTAACTGTCATTGTGCCCTATCGAGATCCCAGGTTTAAACTGGCCCCCAGACAACTATACTGGTTGAATGAAACAGCTTGATGAGCAGATGGTTAGGTTCAGTGACTGAGATTATGGCATGTCACAATAAACCAATATCATAGATCACTGATCAGAATGCCAGACACTAGATTGTCTGGTCCAGATTTGACTATCTACAGACTGCCGTCACAATATTGGTTATTGTAACATACAAAAATGCCTCCACACTGTCACCAATGTTGTTGACTAGAGTATTGACTCCATACTCTCAAAAGAAAACTGAGATGTGTGCTTCCTTTAGACATACTGTACCAGACACTGGTGATCATGATTTAGAATCCAATATTTTTTCCAGCTTTCGTTGATTTTTGTCTGCAACCAAACAGTAGTGAGCAGTTGTTAAGGATGAACATTTAAGATTTACATTATTTCGACTTTTTACCCACACCTATCTGATATACCATAGAGGAACAGCCATGTGTTACAGGGGGTAGTACATTCAAGTTAATCAGACCTAGTTGAAGCATAGCTCCTTGCAGTATGGTAGAAAGTATAGTGAAGGATTGTGAACTGTGTCTGGGATCATGGCCATGATAACAACAGCTGTGGGTTGAAGTTGTCACGGCAAAGAGCTTGTTACATTTACTATCAAAGGGAGGTAATTTGGGATGAATTATTTGAGTTGCTGCCCTTAGAACCACATGTGATAGTGTTCATATTTCATAACCTTTGAACTGAAAAATGTTTTCTTTTGAAAACAACACTAGACATTCTCTGCAGACATGGTAGACAAGTGTTCTGAGCAAGGTGACCAAATCCCCTAAATTCCCAGTGTGGCTGCATTACTCATTTTTGCCTGATTTGTTTGCTTAGGGACCGTTCATAATTTATGGCTAGGGGGTCACAGTGATGATGATTTTTATTGATTTTTTTTATTTGGGTGGGTGGGTGGGGTGGGTGTCGTCACCCATTTTGTTCTGGGGAGCTAGGGGGTCACCCATTTTGTTCTGGGGAGCTACAGGTACTAGGGGGGTCAGCAATTTTGTACATAAAATATGTTTATATATGGGGAAGTGGGGTGGTCATTGATTTTGTACGACATGCAGTGGTGAAGCTTCCTAAACAGCTTATGCTGGGAATCTAGAGTTCAACATGGTCTTCACACACTGCTGGTGTTGATGTGATGTTAAAGATGGTATGCATGTATTTGCCCCTCTTATATACTCTCAATACTTTCTGACCGCCTCCGTGGTGTAGTGGTTAGAGCGTCCGCCCGGAGAGCAGAAGGTTGCGGGTTCGATCCCTGACCGCGTCATACCAAAAGACGTTAAAATATGGTACTTGTTGGTCCCTGCCTGGCGCTCGGCATTAATGGGTACAACAAGGACTGGTCGGCTCGGAGTCAGTATAATGTGTCTGAGTGGGGTATTCATGCTTCACTGCGGCATGGTATCTCAGTGGGCTAGCACTATAAAACCAGCTTCAGTCTGAGCTAGTACAAGCAGCCGCACATACACATACACACGCATGCACGGCGTCATATGAGCGAAATATTCTCAAGTACGACGTTAAACCTAATTTCACCTCACCCCACCTCATCTCAATACTTTCTTGTAGGCCGTTTCTCCTGCAGGATGAGTCCATCTGTTCTAGAAACTTCCAGAAATCTATAGTACTTAGAACACCGCCCCTGTTCAGAATCTTACCAGAAACAATGACCAGACATTCTTATCTCTTCCATAGTGAAGATCTTTGTTAGAATTTGTCCCAACAACCCAGGCATTTATAAGTGGCAAGACTGGATGGTTGGAGTACGTCCCAATTGCTCAGATTGATGCTCATAACATCAATCACAGGATTGGCTGGTCCAGGCTCAATTATTTACAGTCTGGTGACATAGCAAGAGGCAAACTAAACACAACCTTATCTGTTCCTCTATTTCCCGCAGATCACATCTATGTGTGTGGAGGGTTCGATGGCTACACACGGCACACAAGCATGGAGAGGTACAACCCCAGCACCGACGACTGGACCATGCTGAATGGCATGTCTATAGGACGTGAGGGGGCAGGACTCGTGGTGGCTGGCGATCACATCTACTGTATTGGGGGATACGATGGCATCAACCTCTTGAACTCAGCTGAGAGGTACAACCCTGCCACGGAGGAGTGGTCAACGATTACCAGCATGTCCATCCAGCGGTCAGGTATCCTTGTTGTTTTTGTCTACACCAGGTATCTAAATCTTGTGGACTGGGAGAGTTAACTATCTGAAACGTATATTTACGGGTCTGAATCCCTGATTTGCCCTGGCTGTGATTCTACATTTGTTAACTACCTGTGAAGATCTGGTTTAGAATTTGTTTTCAGCAACACAGGCTTACTGACTTGGTTGACACATGATGTCACCACGTCCAAATATTGTGTACATCGATGCTCAAAATGTTGATCACTGGAATGTCTGGTCCAGACTTGATTATTTATAGGCCACTGCCATACAGCTGGAATATTGTGGAGTGCAGCAACAACAAACAAGACAAAACAAAATGTTGAAAATTGCCAGTATTTTTCCAGTAATTCTATGTGAACTCTTTGGAAATTAAAAAAAAATTATTTCAATTTGTCAGTTAGCTTAATAAAAAGGTTTGAGTGAATACCGTATATTTAAGTGTAGATTTTACCCTGCTCTAAACATTATAAAATCACACAGCTATTGAAAGGCTGAGGTATTTTGGCATGCATTTTTGAGAGCTGAAATAAATGCTAAGGGCAGTATCAAAGGAACAGACTGTCTGGATAAATATGGTTCTATAGTTTAATGTTGTACACAGTTATTTCATACCTTGCATTCTGAGGATAAATCACCGACCAATATTCAAGAAAACAGAGAAAAATAAGAAACAAAGAATATGTGCACTAAGTTTATAAAATTCATCTATCAGACAGTATACAGATAGAAATTATAATAAGAATTTTGGACCCTGAAGGAAAACTTGTTACCATCCAAAGCATGATTATCTCCCTTGTTCTCTTGCTACTGTTAGGTGACGTCGTTGTTCTGTGACATTATGACGTCATATACGGCAGTGCAAGTATCCATTATGGCATGTGGACACTGTGGAGCTGACATCTGGTTTATTTGCCATAATTTCCTCTTCAGGAGCAGGTGTGGCAGTGCTAAATGACATCATCTATGTGTGTGGGGGTTACGACGGGACTGAACACCTGGCCACGGTGGAGAGTTACGACCCGAGCTCCAACCACTGGACGTCCCTACACCACATGAGGATCCCCCGGTGTTATGTGGGGGCATGTGTGGTCAGGGGGAGACTCACAGTTGTAGCAGGGTAAGGAGATCTTACCACTACTGACCCATGAAGATCCGGGGTAGAATAGGTCTTCAGCAACCCATGCTTGCCTCAAAAGGCAACTATGTTTGTCGTAAGAGGCGACTAACGGGATCGGGTGGTCAGACTCTCTGGCTTGGTTGACACATGTCATCGGTTCCCAATTGCGCAGATCGATACTCATGCTGTTGATCACTGGATTGTCTAGTCCAGACTCGATTATTTACAGACCGCCGCCAGATAGCTGGAATATTGCTGAGTGCGGCGTAAAACTAAACTCACTCACTCACTCACTTACCACTACTTCATGTGTCAGAACACAGTGTTTCAGTGTATCTGATTTCTGATCACCTTAAACTCATCTCAAAGTGAAATTTTTTAGTATGTGCTGAAAATCTAGAAACTGTGTTTTTATGATTTTTTAACCCTAGAAATAAGTAAATGATAAGATATCTTGTAAATTTTCTGCACTAGCGGTAGTTGGCATTAGCTTTGTGGTCAGTGCATTTCCTGACCTTTCACATTGGTGCAATATGTAAATCACATTTCAGTGGTCCCTGTTTTAAAAGATATGGGAAGTTTGTAAAACGGGACATAAATCCCAGCTTGCACCTAAACTAAAAAACATAGCCCTTGGCATGGCAACATCAATATCATTTTCATCAGAAATTTAGTTCCATAATTTATGGAAACATCAGTTCACAATTGGATGCAGTCTATTTAATGTTGTTAATTTTTCTTTTTTTCTTTCTTTCTTTCTTTTTTCTTTCTTTCTTTCTTTCTTTATTTATTTATTATTTTTCCTTATCCTGACTCATGTATTATTGCTTGTCTCCCTCTTCCCGCAAACTTGTATCTCCTTTTTGAAGCTCCCTTAAAAAAAGCAGACGTAAAATCACTACTCACCACGAGTTGCCTCCCTCTCCATTTTGGCGGGAAAACGGCACCACCCATCTTCCCATTCTTCACTCTCTCCTTCTTCGCCCTAGTGGACGGTTGGGAGAGCACCTGTGTCTCCAACACGGCACTATATCCTTTGCTAACTTAGTTATTACCCTATAAGTTACCTTTATAAGGTTTCAGGGAGTATCCTTCTACAATATGGTTTGAAATTTATTAGCAATTTGACTGTTTATTCACGGTTTCGCGTGATTGTTCAGTTTGTTTACATTTCATGAAAACCTGTTTTCGTTGTAGGTTTAGGTTCTCTCCTGCAGACCCGCATTTATTGTGCCCTAGTTGCACAACAATATGTACTTCCAGCTCTCGCTGTAAATTATGTCAGCAACTAACAAAAAATTGAATTTAATAATTATTATTTCTCTGTACTTAGACATGCTAAGGATAAATCCAGGCGGCTGTTACAAGTCATGGCTAAACCGGCTGAGTCCTTAAAGAGCTGTCTGTCGTTGTCAGACGACATACTTCCATCCAGTGACCTGCCGGAGGCGTCTTCAGAAGATGGGCATGGGATGAAGTCCGCCATTACGTCGAAGAAAAGATCTTCTACGTCGGACAACTCCTCAACCCATACGAAGAAGAAGAGGCCATCTTCGTTGCAGAAGAAGCTTTACACCCCTAAGGCTTCAACGAGATCTACTGGGAGCTCTTCACAGACTACAAGGACCTTCTCTGCCGAGATCGTCCCGATGGAAGAAATAGGCTTGTACGAAGAACCACCTATCCTCATCCCAGAGATACTGCATAAGAAGAAGACGCAGGCCTCAGCAACGGTAACGTCAGCAACATTATCGACGCAGTCTGAGTTACTTCTACACTGGCAGCAGGGACCCATGAGGTACAGCGATCCCTGGACCATATCGCTACCCTCTCACATGCGTCATCTCTACAGTCGTCGCAGACATTCAACAGATGATGGACCTGATGGAGAAGCGCTTCGCGCAGGAAAGGACCTTGCATGATGGTCAGGCAGCCGCCTCTCATGCTCAAGTCATCAACCGACAAGAGGGACCAGTGCTGCACGAAGGACCCCGCACCGGTGGTGCATCTGAGATATCTACAAGAGGTTCTAGCTCTAGGACTAAGAGCAGACCTACCCTGCACGACGTCAACGAACCTCTGCGAAGGAAGGGACATTCATCCGACCAAAATAGATCGTCATCTGATGATGAAGCTAATGAAGAGCCTTCTCGCAGGCTACCTACATCACAGAGAGGCTTACACCTCCAAGAACATACAGAGAGACGTCTCAGGACTCAGACCCTCAACAAAATCTCTCACCTGCGCGAAGGTCATCAGATAGATCATCAAGAATGTCACCATCACCATGCAGGTCGTCACAGGATTCACCACATAGGAATATATTGCCTTCGCGAAGGCAACCCCAGACACGTAGACGCTCACCTCCACGCAGGTCGCCATACAGATCTCCTCTTAGAACTACACATAGTTCTACGTACTCATCTCCACACAGATTGCCACGCAGATCTCCATGCAGGGAGGATACTCAACGATCATATCCAACTGGACATGATACAGAGGGGCGATGGGGAATCATATTTTCGGACTCAGAAATAAAATATTGGATGGCTAATGGACTGGACCTAGTGTCACCCGCTAAAGAAGAGAATGAAGCATTCACGTACCTAATGAAGGACGATGATGTAGACACAATCACCCTACCTCCAATTGACCCGGTCTCGGGCGTACCTGAGGACCTTGGACGCAGCCTTCAGGAAGGCAACAAAGTTCCAGTCTCCAAATATCCCACAGTTCAAACACAAAAGCCTCAACACTCTCAGATGCGTCACTACATCTGCAGTCGCCGCAGACCTTCAACACGGGTATTTTTATGCAGCAAATGATGGACCTAATGGACGGTTCGCCTAGTTTCCAAAGGACTAAGCTGCGTGGAGGTAATCGGCATGAAGAAATGTGTGAAGGATCACGCACTTGACAGTCATGCTCTGCAGTTTCGACGATTAATATAGACGTCCTTGGACCATCCCACTTCACTCTCAGAGCTTGATCTTCGTTGTGAGCCTATACGAAGGAACTCTTCAGCATGGAGGAAGAAATCTTCGCTTCGCATAAAGACAGAGGGACACATGTTGAAGTTCAGAGGGGTACTCTTGTCCGAATTCATCACCTCGCGAGATCTTCAGACTGAATCCAGGACCGGATTCACATCGTTGAGAATTTTTAGATAGATATATCTACATCAGAAGATAATAACGGGACTAACTGCACTCCTTGGTGCTAACAACCTACACCTTCTCAAAGGTTAGAGATGTATCTGAAGAATCCAGGAGGGACTCATGTCCATATAGAGATCTTCACTTATGCAGTAGATCTTCAGGTATTCACATTGGTGGTTCAGCACAGCCTTGCTAAGGCTATGAAGTTACAAAGTCAACATATTCCCAACGCCCAAGCTTGGGAATTCCCGCTTACTTTACATGGGACCCTGCATAAAGGCTCCAGAGATTGATGTAAACTACAAAATCATCAACCACTCCTTTGTAGAACTTACAACAAAGTTGAGCATCAACTCTACAAGGACCTGTGTGTTTCAACACAAAGAGGGTATTTTCTGACGCTTCATTGAGATCGATGAATGCAGTCTACAGATGGCAGCTGAGGAGGTGTGGACTTCAGCTGATCATCTGTATAAAAGGACGACTGCATTATCTTCAGGACTGAAGTAACAGTCACAGCAGCCAGGAAAACAGCCTACCTACATCGGTATTACGCGGCTAAATCTTTCGGCGTTTACCATTCAACCCTCTATACAGTCGCGTGGTCACTGCGGTAACTCCGAAGGCTATGGACAAGACCGAAGTGTTGATAAGATATCAACGACTGCACAAGATTCTACAAGGACCTTTTTCTGCTACACCGGTGACGCCACATCGGGAAGCTAAAGGAATCAAAAATGCTTCATTTTGATTGGTCCATGAGACAAGCCCGCGCAGAAGTAGGACGAAGTTCACATGTCAGGGAATTGTTTACAAGTGACAACAACCTTTCAACGTGGGAGGAATGCCTCAATTACAGTCCAGTTAGACGGGAACTACATGATTCGACTGTCTTCATGGGGTCAGAGACCTTCCCTGTCAGCATTGAAGACGGTTCATCAGGCGAATTGCAGCAACATACGTTTGACGGACTTTTGGTTAGGGCAGCGAGTCTACCTTATATAGAATTCACAACGATGGCAGTCACAGAGTCGGACATTGCTTCGTTTCCCTTACGGACATGGCAAGGGTTTCACGATCGTTGGATCTAGATACAAGCCATTGTATCTCAAGCACTACTCTCTCCGTTATTACTATGAAGTTGGCAGAGCCTACTCAGTCCTCTCACGTCAGCACATGACTTGCAGAGGGAGACTACATCTATGCCACTCCAAATCTTAGTGAATGGCCATCCGGACCCCGTCGGACTTCTGGACGGACTAAAACCATATCTACTATGGTGGACTTTGAGATCGAATGGTTGCGGAGAGACCTACTTAGTAGAGCCGGAGTGCAACACTCATCTCTATGTAGATGCATCCCTTCAGGGATGGAGAGCGCACCTCGACAACAAAGTGTCAGCTGGGAAATGGACGTTACAGGAAGAAAATCTGCATATCAACATGCTAGAGATGAAAGCAGTAATAAACGCCATACTTCACTGGACCAGCATTCTAAGAAATGCTTATCTGATGATCCATACGGACAAGGATCAACAAGGTTGGCGAACCTTCTGGATCTCTGCTTTCATCTGTTCACCATATTGGACAATCTGAACATCTACACATAAGCTTGCCACATTCCAGGAGCAAAGAATGTGATAGCAGACGCCCTATCTCGTCCAACACAACCATCCCCAACAGAATGGATGCTACAACCAGAGGTCAAACCATACAATCAATAGGAGCTCCGCTCATAGACTTGTTCGCCACAAGATTCAACAATCAACTAGCAACATTCGTCTCTCCAATACCAGATCCACGAGCATGGGCAACAGATGCTCTAAGCATCTATTGGGAAGGACTAAACGCTTACGCGTTCCCGCCTCCAGCTCTAATACAGCAAGTGTTGCAGAAAATCAAGCAGACGAGGAACCTGCAATTGATTTTGCTTGCGCCTTATTGGCCAGCGAGAATGTGGTTTCCCATTCTCATGCAAGAACTAGGACCTCCTCAAATGCAACTACCAGAGTGGACGAACTTGCTAGTACATCTGCACACCAAGCAAGCACACGGGAACCTCACAGTGTTCCGCCTACACGCATGGACCGTATCAAGGCTTGCTTGAATAAGCGAGGATACTCCGCCAGGGTAGCAGCGCGTCCACGCTAGCTTACGCCAAATCAACCCGCAACTTGTAGGGCCGACAGAAGTGGCTTAAGCTTTGAGACCTATGCTTTCAGGAAAGGCTTCACAGCCTTGAAAGCAACACACCCTCAAGTGGCGGACTATCTTTATCATCTAAGACAAGCAAAGCGGTTAAAAGGTTCAACACTCTCAACATACCTAGCGGCATTGAGCTCAGTTATCACCATGAGGACGAGTGTAAAACTGACTAAGGTACCAGAGAGACTGACCTTACTACGATCCTTCAAGTTGAAGGACCAACAACAGAGATTTAAAGCTTTGGCTTGGGACCTCAATATAGTTCTACAGCATCTCACCAGTGACGCTTATGAACCATTAGATAGGACATCTTATGAGTTCTTGACACAGAAAACTCTATTTCTGATTGCCTTAGCAACAGCAGCAAGGATGTCGGAAATACATGCTCTGGACTTTGAAAAGACATGTTTTGATGAGCATCGAAACATCGTACATATGGGTCTAAGATGGGACTTTATAGCAAAGAATCAACTACCAGGTCAACCTGATAGACAATTCCACATCCCAGCATTATCATCAGTCCTTGGGCCTCAGGTCACACAGGACCTATCCTTGTGCCCAGTAAGAGCATTAAAAGTCTACCTACAAAGGTCTACGACCAGGAGACGGAAATTCAAGTGTCTTTTCATCCCTATATCGGCAGAGACACAGACAGAGATCTCTCGCACTACAATATCAATATGGATGAGATCTGTCATTCTAAGGGCCTACAAAGCAGCAGGACTTGATCCTCACGAGCCTCCAATCCACATGAAATTAGAGCTCTGGCGTCAACTTTTCGCTCTACATGGAAACTGCTCCATCACTACGATAATGGAGGGCTGCTTCTGGGAATCCGGACATGGTGTTTGCAAACCACTACCTGAGAGGCATGCAGCCACGAGGGCGTCTCCGGCATTCACCATTTCGACCCTCTTGTTGTAGCACAACAACTGACAGTTCCACTAAAGGCTGAGACAGAGTCTCCAAGCCCCTTTATCACGTGACTTGCAAAAGCCAACACTCTGGGGAGTTAGAGCTTTAGAGTCCATGTGCACGTCTAAGATAGACTAACATGAGTGATAGACCCAGTACTTGTAAGGATGTACTCGTACATAAGAAGGGTCACTTCTCCACTTGATGCATGCATCAAGATATGGAGTTGTTAAAATCCACATATAATGTTAACAGAAGTAAGGACCAAAAGTTGACAATTGTGGTCCCCCCATCAGAGAAAGCTGGAAGTAAGGGTTACAGCAGCAGAGCCTAGCAGTAAATTTGAAGTGCTACCAGGAAGTTCCCATAGGGGGGTATGCAAGGCGTAAATCACCCCAATTGGAATCCAGAAGTGGCTTGACCCACCACAAAATCCATTGAGGATTCTACAAGCAATAATACATGAGTCAGGATAAGGAAAAATATGTAATTTTCTGAGTAAAATTGATATTTTATACTTATTATTCAATTTATTTATTTATTCGGGAGAGAGTGAAGAGTTATTCTGTAGCTTTTTAAGGGAGCTTCAAAAGGAGATACAAGTTTCCTAGCAATAATACGGGATAAGTATAAAATATCAATTTTACTGAAAATTACATTATTTATATATTTATTTATTTATTTATTTATTTATTTATCAAACTGTTGTAAATGTATTTTGTTGTTACCATGGTTACAGATATGATGGCAACACCCTTCTGAACACTGTGGAAGCTTATGATCCCATGACAGACATGTGGGAGATCCTGGAAAGCTGCATGCAGACGCCCAGGTGTGATGCCGGCATTGCTGTGGTCAGAATGCCTTGACCTTGACCTTGGGATATGCTACAACTCTATCTCTCTGGGCAGTGTGGTTGCACTGTTGTACTGTCGGTGTTCACGCCCAAAAAGAAGCACAGAATGAAGGGATACCAAGGTACCATATCATTGGTACCCAGGTTACTGCCTTTTGTTACCAAGGTTACGACCAACTGGCAATATGTCGTCATCATAGGTAATTTTGTGAAGTGTTCTGCTTTTCATATAAGACATGATTTAAACACCAATTTTATACGATTCATTTGGAAACACATCCCCTCTGAATGTCAAGTTATCAAAAATCTTAGTTTCTATTTTTAAGATTTTAGAGTATGTTCAAAACAATATTACATAGCCATGATATGTGAAGTCTGACAACACAAAAACCTGGTACACGATGCTCAGCTGATGCAGCCAGTTCTCGCTCTACTGATGAGGAGTCGTTCACATCTGACAGACAACTGTGTCTTGTCTACAAGAAGACAAATGATTTTCTTGAAGAGATTACCAATTCAAGAGATTCTTCTTTACTTTATCTATATATTCTTCTATTTATTTATTGTTTCAATTCATGTAAGTAATAAAAAAAATTTGTATGAATAGAGGTGTGGTAATGGTAACTGGTGTACAAAAAAAGGTATTTGTTGGGGTGAATGTTTGAATGTTTGTGGCTTGGTTCACCTGTTAAACACTTCGAGATTTGACCAGGTGACCTGTGCATGACGTGGCATTGAACTGTGATATCAGTAGTGATACCATCTTCTTGTATCCAGAGTTTTATGTCTCCAGTCTATGATAAGCTTATTGGACTCACACACCACGAACTTGTCATTCTCAATTGATGTCATTCTCAATTGATGTCATTCTCAATCTCGCTGATCACTAAGTGGGGTAGCCGAGTGGTTTAAGTATTCGCTTGTCTTGCTGAAGATCCAGGTTCGATTCCCCACATGGCTACAATATGTGAAATCCATTTCTGGTGTCCCCTGCCCTGATATTGGTAAAAACAGTGTAAAACCATCTGCATCACTATCTTACTTGTTGCTGTGTGTTCATTGAGGCTATGTTCAACCATGATAATGATTGACAACTGTATGTTTAACATAATGTAAATTGTATCAGGATCAACATGAAGCTGTAGCAGTGAATAAATACAGAGTATTCACATTATATAACTCATGTCTAACACACCTGATAGTCCAGGGTGGTGTGGGGTAGCCTAGTGGCTACAGTGGTCACTTAGCATGGAAGATCCAGGTTCGATTCCACACATGTGTACAATGTGTGAAGCCCATTTCTGGTGTCCCCCCTCCATGATATTGCTGGAATATTGCTAAAAGCGGTATAAAACTAAACTCACTCTTGGGTGTGGTGAAAGTCTGTACCTTACATCAGTTGCCATGATGCAAGTATGTGGCACTTTCAATGTGCAGGATCATGGGGTAGAAAATATCACATATTTTCCAGCTGTTTCAGGTTACAGTAATGAGTTTGGTAAATGTTTTATTAAAACATTTACAAATCTGTATGCTTTGATCATGTTCTTCTCTTGGGATTGTAAAATAGATGGGGTATATCAAGTAATGTTTGAAGTTTTCAGAAGGGTTTCACATTATAGTCACGGTCGTATTGTAGATGGTGACAGACAGTTTGCCTGAACCATGAAGAGTGCAGTATTCAGAATACTGGTACAATGAATAGTAGATCATCAAGGTGAGATACTAACCTCAACACAGGTTGAAGGTTAATATATTGGTTATTGTTTTGAAGATGTTCAGCAGATTGTCGATAATTGTAATTTATGAATGAGTATTTGAATAGAAGCTGTATATTTTGGAACATTCCGATGGTCAGTATTTTGTGTGTGAATAACTGTAAATAAAATAATTATTTGTTACTTTTTCACTACAGTCTCTAACACAGACCCACCTATTCTAGAACACTGGAGTAGTTACAGGCATTGCAATTGTGTCTGTTATCAGACTTATGTTTTCTTTTCAAATTGAACCATCACTGCGAAATATTCAGTCACAGATTTCGTTTTTTGATTTTTTGATTTTGCTATTTCGTGTGCGAGGAGTCCCTGTTTTAAGCTATTTCAGGCTGTACTTGTTTAATTATTGCGATTATTATAGTTCTTCTCTGACTGAATCAGTTTCATGGTGACCTTGCTTTAAATGACCTTGACAGTAGACATGCACAGTGGACATACATACGAGAAAGCATGTTAAACCACATGGGTACAATGTGTGAAGCCCATTTGAGGTGTCCCCCTGCCGTGATATTGCTGTCAAATTGCTAAAAGCAGTGTAAACAAAACCCACTAACTCGTTAGTATGACTAACTTCTGGTTCCTGTTCGATCTTAACATCACCTATTGCTGTAAGTAGCTAGAAGGAAGAAGTTATTATCCTGAACATAAAACTTTCAAACTACCTGTCACCATTTTCTTCAGCAGTATTTGTGTTCCAGTAAATGGATGGAAACAAAAGCATTAAAGCATTACCTATCTTATTTCCAAATATTTAGAATAATAGAGAACAGCATCCTGTTGATAGAGCAGTAACAGGGGGATGTTTTCAATGTACTGTTGTTACCATGGTTACAGTATTATATTAAGATACTGGAAAGCATTGTCTTGCATTTATTGTTGAATGTGAAAGTTTTCCTTTGTTGTTTTGTGGTATCATGGTCAGACTTAAAGATGTGTACGTGAAATGATTCTTTATGTGGCATGATGTTTTTTGGGTGTAACTATAGTAACATACAAGCAGCCAGCACAGGATATGCCTTTGTGTAAATCATTTGACATGATTACGGTATGGTCTCATCTCTGAACATAACTGAAAGTTTGGTCTTGAACACATATGTATCTCAAATAAAAGTAATATTGATAATCTATTTATATACTATAAGCACTTATTAACCCTGTCAATGGATCAGAGTGTGTTTGCTGTTATCCTCCCTGATGCTGATGCTTTCAATCACTGGATTGTCTGGTTCAGATTTGATTATTCAGAAATCACTGTCAAACTGCTGGAATATTGTGGAGTGTGGTGTTAAACTGTGTCCAGTTGGAATGGAGAAGAACATAACAGTGTTTTCATTCTAACAGTCTACTTATCTGTAAATCTATCTGTGATAAATTATATATTTGAAGCTTCACTCTGCAACTCCCTCGAGATTCATGTGAATGATAATTAAACAAAGACTATGGATGGCCATTACAAGTGATACACTTTCAGGGAATAATCCATCAGAGTTGTATGCCATTACTTTGTTCAGAGATGTGACCAAAAATATTTAAACTGAAAAGTGTATGTTTAATTATACATGTTGTGTTTTGAATATAGTTTCTATTGTATGATTAATTTGTATACCATTGACAGAGGGAGTCTACATGCCTTTGTATGTTGTTCTGCTAGTTGTGAACATTTAGGGCGATGGGTTAGTCTAGTGGTTAAAGCGTTGGCTCGTCACGCCGAAGACCTGGGTTCGAATCCCCACATGGGTACAATGAGTGAAGCCCAATTCTGGTGTCCCCCGCCGTGATATTGCTGGAATATTGCTAAAAGCGGCGTAAAACCAAACTCAGTCAGTCAGTCAGTGAACATTTATAACACCATATTGTGTGGTTAATATATTCATGTTGTACACAACTTAATCGTCAAAGGTTCAGATTTCGGTTTCATTTCTGCATGAGACCAGACACATATTGTTTTGTGTTTTTATACTTCTTTGACTTAAATCTTAAACCTCTGATAAAGTTTTAATGTAAACATATTTTTGTGCTTGTATTTAGACCAGCCTGAATAAGTTAAGATAATGTTGTCCACAGATCATGTATGCTTCTCAAACCAAGTTATGGACCACCCCATTCTTTCACGTTGCCATAGTAACTGTTGGGATTATGTGGTGCCTAACTTCTTTGGAGTAGCAGGACAGTGGGGTAGCCTAGTGGTTAAAGTGTTCACTTGTCACGCCAAAGACCCGGGTTCGGTTCCCTATGCGAGTACAATGTGTGAAGCCCATTTCTGGTGTCACCCGCCGTGATATTGCTGGAATATTGCTAAAAGCGGCGTAAAAATAAACTCACTCACTCTTTGGAGTAACAAATTTGATAGGGGAAAAGATTGGAGGAATATATATAGGTATTTCTTTTTTGCAACAGTCTGTGATAAATATTTTCTGATAATACTCGGAGTGTTCAGTGCTGTGACATATTAACAGTCCTTATATTTGAAACTAGTCTGTGAAAAACCTGGGACTACTTAACTGTGCTGAATACAAGTAGAACGTGGATGGGAAGCAGTAGAATTATTGTAATATATTCATTTCTTCATTTCTCTCTCTACATGTGTATTATATTTTATGACGCTACCCTAGAGATATTCTTAGTTTTGGGAGACTCTCTTATAATTTTTTGTCTCAAACTCCACATTTAAAGTTGAAAAAAGCCCAGAAGTGCACAACTTATTTCATATCACAAATAAAGTCTTTCCAATGATATGAATGTTTTATCACAACTGTTTGAGCCCCTGTTTTTCCTCCCCCTGCTTTTCCCCAAACTTTTCATTGATAACATGTCTTTAAAGATAAAGTCAACAGAGTGTTATCAAAAGCACTCAACCCAGGTTGTGATTTCAGAGCTATGAGATTAGAGACGCTGGTTTTCATGTGCCAAAAATGATTGTTAGCAGGTTATTGTGTAGATGATTGTAGATTTATTTCTCTTTGAGCTTACTGTACAGGCCTCCTATTGGTGTACAAAATTTGTAATAAATGATCCTGTACATTAACCCATTTATAAATATCTTATTAACCAAATATTAATGGTAATTATGTGTTTTTGAGATTCATGTGTTGTAATAAGGACACTGGATTCAAAATGTCATGCATGATATTGGTTGCAATGTTTTGTGACACATATTTATTTCATTTTATTTTATCTGAATGGGAAGCCCATATGTCTCTAGTTCAATCAATGTAATAATGTTATTGGTGTTATCTTACTCTAAAACACAACATATAATGCGTGGAAGAAGTTTAATGTAGGTTCATTTCAATAATCGACCTGACTTACCAGATTGCTTACAGGAATATGAGGAATCTGGTCTTCTTCACTTTCTTTTGACTATTTTAGATCAATATTTCAGGCAGTTTTAAAAACAAATAGTTCTAGAGATTCTGCCATCATTCAGATATCATCTTTTGAGACAGAAATTGAAATAGAATGTGACCATGTTATGTTTCAGGCAAGAAGGAAGATACATGTCATTTTTTGTAAAAATAATTGAGAATCATTGTAAGAATTGATGTATAACTGACTGAAAGTCTTTCATATGAAACATATATTTTTTTAAAAACAGAAATATATAATCAAACTTGTAATGAGTTGTATCATGCTTGTATTATGAAAATTTAAATGTTGTTTTGATATTAAGTTCGATAAACCATTTGCAGTCGACTCATCATGTACACCATTTGATCAAGATAAAAACCAAAGTGTAATTTATAGTAACATGAGCAAGATATGAAGAAGTACAGATTATTTAAATGAACACCAAGAAAATATGAATGTCAATCCAGCAGAGAAACTGAATATGTTCCCTAGTCAAGGAAAATTGTCACCTCTTGTCAGGGCTCTCCCTTAACAAGGGGTCACCATGTGATATAGAGGGTATGGGTCGGGGGGAGCAGGGGAACGATCACCCAAATAGGGAGTGTCATAAGGAATTGAAGCACATACTGGGTCATTTTCATGAAAAATATATAGTAAAGTATATGTAGACAATAAGATGGTTTGGATTAATAAATGATTAAATTGTTGGGGACTTTAGCAAAGTCATTGCAAAATATGACAGGCATTAGGCAAGGGTGAATTTGTATAGGTCGTTAGTGCTTATAAACCTGTGACCGACCAACCCTGTGACCCACCAACCCTGTAGTACATGAAAGGTCCCAAAAGGTGACATTCCAATCTGGCACCCATTTTGAAGTACTTGAATCAAATTCGCTGGAACTTCCCCTCGAGCCATGTCTTCCTGTAGAGGTTCTGGATTAGAACTGAACCCTTCATTCTGGTTGTAAGAGGTGTCTACATACAGTGGGTTGTCTTGGTGACTTGCTGACAATATCAATCACAGGACAGTCTTGTCCAGACAGGATTGCTGCTGTGATACAGCTTTAATACTGCCAAATGTGGAATTAAACAAGGTACAATGTACAAACACAGTCTATTTCTACTTCTCACACAGTATGTGTGTCATGCTCAAATGACCAATCAGAAAGCTTTTCCTCAAACAAGCAGTTAAATTAAAAAAAGTAAATTGTTTAAAACACACAAGACATTCATCAATGTACATGCAATTTAGAGGTGAATTCTGAAAGCTTGCCTGTCACTAAGTTTTCAAGGCTCAGACACTACTCAAAAGATTAAGAACAGCCAAAATGCTTTTCAACGGTTAATATGTAATGGCTGATGGGTACTGCAAACCACATCCTTCAAATTGTGGGTGTTTTTAACTTGTTGAGGTTGTATGTGTTGGTTTACAGTAGAGGTATTGATGTGGCAGAGTTGTCAATGATGATGATGGCAAGACGATATTTTGAGCTGTATTTTAAAGATGTGTTGACTATTGTGGTGTCCATGGTTCGGTCTGTATTTATAAGTTGTGATGTTCAGATTCCACACACTCTGCTGGTCAGATCTTTGCTACTTTTGTTACACATCTTTGTGGTAATAAATGACTTGATGGGTGTTTTTGTTGGCATCATTGATCTCCTTAAGAATTTCTAATAAAAAACAGGACATGGACGATATCAAGAACACAATGAATTGCATCACAATATTTAGCTGACTATTGTGACCTCATCAGTCGCCATGATGTCATTATCAGATGACATCACATCTCACTTGCATGGAAGAAGAACAACAAACTTCACTATTTTTGTGAGATGATGAATTCTTTTCATTGAACATGGGTTTGAAATCGAATCTATAATAGCAGTAACAATAAATTGAAAATCTTTGAAGAGGACAGATGGGCTGTGCTATGTGAAGATGTTCTAAACAAACAAATCTTGATTAGCTTGTTTAGAGGGTGACAATCTAGAATAGTGAGTGAGTGAGTATGGTTTTATGCTGTTTTTAGCAATGTTACAGCAATATCATGGCAGGGGAAACCAGAAATGGGCTTCACACATTGTGCCCATGTTGGGAATCAAACCCAGGCCTTCACGAGGCGACCCTACCGCCCCAATCTTCAATAGATTGTTGAGGGTTAAATAAGTCAAGTGTTATTATTGTCTGTTGGTCAGCCATGCCATGAAGCAATAAACAGATATAAATGAAGATTTTATATGAATTGGGATCTGTTGAATCACTCAAATCACTCCATTAGTGCATTGTGTGGTACAGCTAACGTCCATACACGCATAGGTTCTTCGTCACTGTTTATTATTAGCTCAGATGTATTCTACCAACACGTTGCTGCTCATCATTCTACCACAAACCTCAGCAACAACTGCAAGCAAGGAAATAGACTGGAAATTGTGTTACTTCAACAGCATGATCATGTAGCTAATGTTACGTGAAATGGACAGTCCATGTTGGACAAACCTGGCCGGGGAAGAACAGCGGTCATTCTGTTTGATAACAGTGATATTGCTTAGCTGAAGGGTTAAACTTATTTATGAAAGTTTTCAAGGATTGCTCATTTTTCTGTTCCATACAAAGTGACATATCACTAAAGAACGCAAGTTGTTTACAAAGATCCATTTTATTGTCAGATAGATTAATGTAATCAAGATGAAATGAAAAATATGTCATCATTTTACTGACGAAATTGCCATGACGTTTTCGCATAAAGAAACAGTAACACGACATTGTTCCTCATTAACAAAGGACAAGTGACATTGTGATCATAGGCGGATCCAGAGGTGAGGTGAGGTGAAATTGGGTTTAACGTCGTGCTTGAGAATATTTCGCTCATATGACGACGTGCATGCGTGTTTATGTGTATGTGTGGCTGCTTATACTAGCCCAGATTTAAGCTGTTTTTATAGTGCTAGCTCACTAGTTTATTAAATGACCACTGAAACTCGTGAAAATGAAGTGTGCACCCCTCCTTTCTAAATAGTGTGCACCCCCTCTTTCTCAAAAAGCTGTATCCGTCCCTGGTGATGCAATTGATGATGCACACATCACCAACATATGTCTTCCATTATGTTCAGATGAGTGTATCAGTTTGTCCCTTATTCAAGTAAATTTCTGATATTTTTTTTTAAAACAGACACCAAAAGTACAAACTCACCTATTGACCCAGGCACTACTTTTTGTTTGGTCTCTCTTGAATTTTTGTTTGATACTGTTCAACTATGGAAATAATAATACATCATTCTTAATCTTACCTCAAACATAAATGTCGCTTTCTGATTGGCTGAGCGCTCTTCTATTATTTTCAATGTACCCTGCTTACAAGCGAGTAACATTTCAATGTACCCCGCTGTCAATGGCAACTCATTTGGTACTTTGTGGTAGTAATTCTTTATCTCGAATAACATTGAATCACGTATGATGTACGGAAATTACCGATGTTTTGCGAATGCAAATCGATGGAAGGGAGATAACTCTAAATCTGTTTTTCTTGTCAGCAAAATCAAGCATGTTTACAAAACGGTTTGTACTGGTGCTTCAAACAATTCAAAATTAACATTAAGGTGTTCGTTAAGATAAATACGTTGTTCACTGGTCCCTCGGGGCCGATGGATTGCTGTACCCCTCGAGACCAGTGAACAACCTATAATACCAGGGCAAACACCAGCCAGCAATAGATCATGTTTAGGACAAAAAAAGAGTAAATATATGCACACCAATACTTGACAGAATACCCAAGAACCGCAAACCGACTTTTCTGCAAAAATATGAACTAACCAAGCACATATTGCATTTGTCATGTTTGCTCCGGTTCGTTTGTTCTTCTTATGCCTATTGAAAAAAAGAAAGAAATAAGGGACTTTGTTGTTGTTGTTATTGTTGTTTCCCGATAGGATGGTACAGCAGCTTTTGCGGTCACCGTACGCGACGATAAACAAGTTAATCTGCTGCTTCCGACCAAATTACGCCACGATCCGAATAGGCATTACGTCGTAGCCATGGATTCGGATCATGGCGAGAGACTTCAGAAGCAGAAGACAAACATTGAACTTGGTAAATTCGTATCATGGGTTATGAAAGAGAGATACGAAAACGGTTCATCGCGTCTATTGAGGGAGGAGAAAACTACGTCAGGTGTTACGGTCGGATCGCTCTTTCTGCGTAAACCCGGAGCTCTGTTAGGATCCGAAATATCCCCAACCCTTTCATGGATCCGAAATTAACGGTTTGTCTGCAAATCCTCATGATTTTGTTGTAAACTATTGCAAAGAAGTAGTAGTTTTCTTCAACAATGCCCACAATGTGTGAAGACCATTCCTGGTGTCCCCTGTCGCGATACTGCGGGAATATTGCTAAAAGCGGCGTAAAACCCAACTCACTCACTCACTCTTCAACACTGGGTTACAACACCGCTTCTATTATTAGTATCCCCGCACAGTACCGACTCAGCCGATAATGTCAAATAACGGCAATCCGATAATAAGAACTGTAACTTTGGAATTCGTTAAGAGTGATTTCTTTATTGAGAAATCGCCATTTTACTCGGAGTCCGTTATTTCTCCAGACACCTATGCTTGATAATTTGTTTGATATAACAGACGTTGGTGTTAAGGCATCGAAACATACACAGAGAAGCCATTATTAGGTCGACACGTCATACATCTGCCAGTCAATGTTGGTTGGCGATTTTACTGTTTTCAGTGCAGCTCGGCTTCATGGCATGACACTAATGGGTTAATCATAGTTCCTGATGTTGGAGCAGATGAACTTGGGATCTCGGCCATAGTACGTGTAGTCCCGTACATTCTGTAGGTCAAGGACGGTGCACGCACTGGTTGCGCTCCGACCAGTCAACAGGGGTGAAGAGGAGAACCACTCGTCCTCGTAGATGTCGTAACATTCGACCTGTGCAGTTGTTGACGTCCCTGTGAGAACATAATAAGGTTTTAATATAGGTGACTGTCCAAAAGGCACAACGTTTGGGGTTGTTGAAACATAAACGCCGTGACGTTTGCTTACTCACCCAATTAAATACTACGGAATCACACGAAATTTATTTAATTGCAGATAAATGCAGCTTTGTACATTATTTCGGTTGTTTTTAGGAAAAACCTGAAGAGATATCCAAGGTTCTCAATCGGGTGAACCTGGGAGCCCACATGTTCTTCTCAGACAAAGAATGGTTGCTAAAAAGTTATTTGTGTTACTTTGAACTGGGAAGAATTCACAATTGTGTAATTTACTATGCATATGCCCGGCGTATATGATAATGCATCAAACAAGTATTTACCGTCGTAACCGCCAATTGCGAAGAGGAGGCCGTCACAGACGGTGGCAGCGAAGTTGCTCCTGCCGATGCCCATGTCGGCTACCAACACCCAGTGTGACAGACGGGGGTCGTACTTCTCAACTACGGTGAATGAAATGTATTGAAATAATATATTAAATATATACCACAAAAAACCCGAGTAATTATTATCCCATTATTATTTACCACATTGTGGTTGTTTAATTATCACAATACTAAAAACTCCATTTTTAATCGTTGAAGACGTTGTTGTTGTTTTGTTGTTATCGCCACTCAGTAATATTCCAGCGATATGACGACGGTCTGTAAACTGGCGGTCAGATACGATAACCCACTCACCGATCTACTGAATGGCCATCTGTGACTACCGAAAAGCTGCTGATGGGGGTGAAGATCTTACGTGCTCTGGTTTATTTACGTATAGACTTATAAACAGTGACTACTAGTACATCAATCTCTAATGTCATATAATGCGTTTGTTTTGTTTGTTATTCCAGCAATATGGCGGCGGTCTGTCATTTATATTCTGTACCAGACAATCCAGTGATCTATATCAAGAGCATCGATTTACGCAATTAGGATAAGAGGAAATGTGTCAACCAAGTCGGTGAGCCTGACCAACGGGCCCTGTTAGTCGCCTTTTACGACTGGATTACTGAAGATCAATCTTAACCCCGGATCTTCACGGATCCACATACTCCGTGGGTATCACCATAATTTCATAGTTACCAATAATTACCAGTGACCGCTTAATACTGTTTTTTTTCCATTTCACAAGCACGATATAAACAAGGCCTCAGAGTGATGGTGAAAATATGAAATAGTATGAGTGGACTGTGTAAGATGTGACGATGTAAGACATTTGGGCCCGACATTTGCGTGGTAAGCAAAAGTGAAGTGGGCAACTCTGAAAAATATTAACACTAGTAACCACTCTCCTACCCAGAGTTCCATGCGGCCAGCCAGCATAGCACCTCTGCCACAGGTCAGAAGGATGTGACGATTCTTCATATCTTGCACAGTCCATTCAATATAATGTACATATTTCTTAACTCTTTTATTTTTGATGAGTCTACACATCTAATTAAACATCATTGTTAGAATGGTTTAGTTTCACTGAGAAAATATTCGGCCTACCTTTAGAATACAGCACCACAAACTTTAAAAATACGTCATAATACCCTTTTACGTAATGTAATGTGATTTTGTTCGAAAGCACGTTCTCGAAACAATGCCCTATGACGCCTGCATGGCAACACGGTTGTCTGGCTCATCGAGTGCGTATAAGCTCCGCTCACTGGTGTTTCATCTCTACGACCTATGTCATTGCATAAGCCCAACGATATTGAGAGTTTCCAGTGGTTGTATACCGGCGGATGCGCAATATTTTGCAAGCACCAGTTTGAAATGTTTTTCTTTTTTCACTAATACGCTCATATTTATTTGTATTACGGGGTGCTGAGGTGTTATGTTTTGTGTATTTTGTATTTTGTATTTTTTAAATCTCCTTACATAAATATTTTTGTCATTCAGTAGTTTGTACCATTACATAGAAAAGTGTTTTATTAGTATTTTATTTTTCGAAGCGGTGATAATGCATTACACTAGACACGTCAGTCATGTTTGTGCCGGTTCGGTCAATGCATTCTTTTTATTAGTATTAATTCAAGGGGTTAGGGTTAGGGTTAGGGCTTAGGGTTAGGGTTAGGGCTTAGGGTTAAGGGTTAGGGTTGGGGTTGGGGACCTAATCCAATATACTAGTAGTAGGTATACATGTCCGGTGGTTCGGTCAATGCATTCTATTTATTAGGATTATTTCAAGGGATTAGGGTTAGGGTTAGGGCCGTGGGTTTAGGGTTTAGGGTTAGGGACCTAATCCAATATAGTAGTACATGTCCGGTGTAATACGTGAGTACCATTTGTTGTTTTTCCTTTTGCATTTTAATACTTTTTTTCACACAAAAACGGGAAACCCAAAACGTCGAAAGTACACTATGAAATGGTTTAATGTAGAAATTTTGGGCTAATGGAAATTGGCCTGGAATTTGCACTGAAGTCTCTTTCACACGCAACATTTGTTCAGTAATGATTCGAAGGCTAACTCACCCTCGTGCCGTCACTACACATGCTCATGTCTCCCTCGTTCCTTAGTGCGATCCACATTATCCTTACAGTGTTCCCTACATCACTTTTCTGTCACAAAATCACCGATTAATATAAAAGCGCGTCATTCATGCACGCACCGTGAAATCTACGTCTGACGCCTGACGTCAACAACCCTTTTTAGTTTGAGGCATATCGGCTCATTCCACGCCACACGTTATCTTGTAGATTACGGAATGGGACGAGTGTGCCAAATGGCTTCGGGTGCATTCGGCAATTGTCCGTAGATTAAAATCACGAGACACCAAGTCTACCCGTAACCTTCGTAATTGTCCGTGACCTATTCGACTCTTTCCGTTCATTTCCGTGACGTCACAGGAATGACTCGATAAATTTGCACATTGCGCAACAGTGTGGACGTAGCTCAGTCGGTTAGCTGTCGAGCTAACAATCCGAAGGTAGCGGGTTCGCATCCGACGGGTTCTTACAAACTGGTTGCTTGTCTTAATGACACGTGACCTACGGCAGAGATCGTCCTCACGAGAAGTTGTGGTGCTGTATTCTAAAGGTGCTCCAAATATTCTATAACGTGTAACATTACTTCGATTTGCGTAGCGATCCCTTGTTTACATGGGTTGTACGACATCACGTGCTGTCATCGAAGCCGACGGAGAGAAAACGATCCAGCCCCTTTGATTTATAAATATGTATTGTCATAAACGTTACTGTCGCAGGTGTAGAAGAATAATTACGTAACAATGTAAAACATTATGAAGACCGCGCCGAATCGCTTGCGTCAGGACAGTCTCTTCTTATTTACGAATATGCGCGAAACAAACAAGAGAAAAGTCCGGTCACGTGATATGCAAATTAGCCTGTGGCAGTGATGTTAGGTAAGACTACAGATTACCGGATACCTTCCGCCATCTTTGAAAGCAAGCGAGTTTACTTTTGGTTAGGGCAGGGAGAATAGTAGACGTAGATTATCCCTGGTTATAGGGTAAGGGTAAGGGTTAGGGTTAGGGTTAGGGTTAGAGTAAGGGTAAGGGTTAGGGTTAGGGTTAGGGTAAGGTTTAGGGATAGCGTTACGGTGACGTGACACGTAATTATATCAATATGTTATGCTAAGTCATCACTGCGCCGGAGTGTGACTTGTTTAAGCTGAACACCAGTCACTATTATGACGTCATACTATATACACTGTGACGAAGCTGATATGACGTCACAGTCGGATAATTACACTCTGGCGCAGCGATGACTCAGCATGAAACTCTGGGTAGGAGAGTGATATAACAACTACGCCAAATCTCATGAGCACGTTTTCATCTAATACAACCAGGCATTTGGAATGATGTAGTAACTGTCACTACATATTAGAGCTAAGCATCACTGCGCATGAGTGTGCCAAAGAATGTAATCAAATTAGCCACGCCCATCAAAGCAGGCTATTTTCACCGTACAACGGATTGTCGTAGAATCACATCTGTACTCGAGGGAAAAACACACACACACACACACACGCACGCACGCACGCACGCACACACACACACACCTGTCGTGAACAGGACATTTTAGGGAGCACCTTTAGAATACAGCACCACAACTTCTCGTGAGGACGAGCTCTGCCGTAGGTCACGTGTCATTAAGACAAGCAACCAGTTTGAGAGAACCCGTCGGACGCGAACCCGCGACCTTCGGATTGTTAGCTCGACAGCTAACCGACTGAGCTACGTCCACACTGTTGCACAATGTGCAAATTTATCGAGTCATTCCTGTGACGTCACGGAAATGAACGGAAAGAGTCGAATAGGTCACGGACAATTACGAATGCTACGGGTAGACTTGGTGTCTCGTGATTTTATTCTCCGGACAATGGCCGAATGGATCCGATGCCATTTGGCACACTCGTCCCGTTCCGTAATCTACAAATTAACGTGTGGCGTGGAATGAGCCGATATGCCTCAAACTGAAAAGGGTTGTTGACGTCAGGCGTTAGACGTAGATTTCACGGTGCATGCATGAATGACGCGCTTTTATATAAATCGGTGGTTTTGTGACAGAAAAGTGATGTAGGGAACACTGTAAGGATAATGTGGATCGCACTAAGGAACGAGGGAGACATGAGCATGTGTAGTGACGGCACTCGGGTGAGTAAGCCTTCGAATCATTACTTTACAAAATTTATGTTGCGTGTGAAAGAGGCTTGAGTGCAAATTCCAGACCAATTTCCATTAGCCCAAAATGTCTACATTAACCCATTTCATAATGTACTTTCGACGTTTTTGGTTTCCCGTTTTTGTGTGAAATAAAAGTATTAAAATGCAAAAAGGAAAAACAACAAATGGTACTCACGTATTACACCGGTCATGTACCTGCTATATTGGATTAGGTCCCTAACCCTAACCCTAAACCCTCAGCCCTAACCCTAACCCTAACCCCTTGAAATAATCCTAATAAATAGAATGCATTGACCGAACCACCGGACATGTACCTACTATATATTGCATTAGGTCCCCAACCCCAACCCTAAACCCTAACCCTAGTCCTAGCCCTAGCCCTAGCCCTAGCCCTTAACCCCAATCCCTTGAATTAATCCTAATAAATAGAATGCATTGACCGAACCGGCGCAAACACGACTGACGTGTCTAGTGTAATGCATTATTACCGCTTCGAAAAATAAAATACTAATAAAACACTTTTCTATGTAATGGTGCAAATTACTGAATGACAAATATATATATGTAAATTGAAAAAATTAAAAAATACAAAATACACAAAACATAACACCTCAGCAGCCCGTAATACAAATAAATATGAGCGTATTAGTGAAAAAAGAAAAATATTTCAAACTGGTGCTTGCAAAATATTGCGCATCCGCCGGTATACAACTACTGGAAACTCTCAACATCGTTGGGCTTATGCAATGACATAGCTCGTAGAGATGAAACACCAGTGAGCGGAGCTTATACGCACTCGCTGAGCCAGACAACCGTGTTGCCATGCAGGCGTCATAAGGCATTGTTTCGAGAACGTGCTTTCGAACAAAATCACATTACATTACGTAAAAGGGTATTATGACGTATTTTTAAAGTTTGTGGTGCTGTATTCTAAAGGTAGGCCCATTTTAGCTACATACATAGTCAGGATCGCTCAAATCACCTTTCGATATCCCCCCGTCGTAAAGCAGTGTATGAAATAAGGCCCGTCCGACCGCCCGAGACGGGCTAGATTTCTGCCGGACGGTCTAATTTTACAGCTAGCCAGCCCAATGGACGTGTGAAAATATATTCAGATAACGTGTCCATTGGCACTGTCTATTTAGTATTTAAGAAGGACTGGTTCAATCTCTCCTGGCTGGGAAGTTTTTGAAGTTACCAGCCTAGATGTCTGGCTGGGTTTTGAGCTTATTTCATACACTGCGTAAAGGAATGAACTATGCCTGTAGACTTGCTCGCATGTTACGCAAATGACCATGTGTCCAGGTTGTATTCCTATTAAAGTCGCGTTTTTTTCAGCTGTGTCTACCTGAACTCAGGAAACCAATGTTTGAATTTGGTGGTTACTTATCATCTCATATATAATAGCTCCCTTCTTCCCGTCATAATTGTTCCGGTCAGTTACAGGCTTACTGTTGTTGTTTTTCTCGCCTCCTATCATGATTGACAGGTCCTGTGGACTTTGTTTTGATGCTACACTCCGTTGATTGGATACTGAATATGTGGGCGTGTCAAAGGGGCATAAATTAAACAATCACCTGATACACTCACACCTCAGTATGTATTCCTTGCTTTGAATGTTTTATCAATCTCATAATTTCTGTCTGTTTTAAATATATAATTGTGTTTGATGAAGCTATTGTAAATACCATATATTCCTTTGTCAAATTTCATAATAAGAATTTTCTGAGTATTTTTTCGGATCACTGAGGTATGAATCGAAAAATTGACACGCAAACTTTGGTGACAAATGTTTCTATCTTTCGGCTTTCAACACGTCATTCTCAACACGTCATTCTCAATGTTATTACCTGTTTTTAATCTCCGATTTCCACTGAATCCTCCAATAGCGTAGACCGCCCTCCGATACCTGACCAGTGCCACCCCGCTCCGAGGAGAGGACAGTGACTCCAAGTCTGACCACTGGTCAGTGTTGGGGTCGTACACCTCCGCTGTGTCCAGACACTGCTGGCCATTGAAGCCGCCCCCAACATACAGCTTCCCTGCAACACCAGATACTCAACATACTGCCAGAAATACTCCCCACAGGGGACTGAGAACGCAGAACACGGAATTATGTTGTCATGGGCTAAAGGCATATACATCTTTGGAGTGCGCCCATACCCCGTCTTGCGTTTAAAACAATAAGGTCTACTATATTTTAGCGAAAGTCGTGTTTACAATGTTTTAATAAAGTAACACAAGCCACAACCAATAAGTATGTTAAATTGATAAGAAATGGCGAGACATGTATTTTGCTGGGTGCCGTTGTACAAAGTAGGGCTAAGGCGACCGTAACTCCCATAACTTAACGTAGTAGTCTTAGCACTAAGGTTGTTTTGGACAACGGCACCCTGGTCTTTTGATAAATGATTACAATTGTCATTGTATAAATGTGTAACCGCCCCACGTTTTGGAGACGTATTTGTAGCATAAATAAAATCATAGCGGAGAGATGTCCTGCAAGAGGCCATGTATCCACGTTCGGTCAGCTTTCTGAACATTGCAGAAGCGTTTTGAAATCGCTGACGCCAAAGTCACAATGTAGCTAAATTCGCTGATTTTTCATCCATGACTTAATATTGTGTTTGATCAAGAGAGGCTCGGATAGTACATGTCTCTCCAGTTAGAAAATCATCCAATAAATCCTTACCCCCCAGGGCACTCGCCCCTGCGTCACTCCTGACGTGTCTCATACTAGCAGCAACTGCCCACTGATTCCGTGTAGGGTTGTAGTACTCCACCGAACTGTGTCGGACGAACCCGTCAAATCCCCCACAAGCGTACACGTGACCATTCAGGGCCGCTGCGCACACGTAGCACCGTTTTGCATGCATTGGCGCAACTTCCTTCCACACCTTGCTGTGACAATCAAATTTTCGAGTCGTGTTTAAATATTTCGTCGCTGTGTACCCCCCTACCACGTAGATGTTTTGATCAAGAGCGACTAAAGCGTGGTAGGCGATGTTCTGGTCAAAGTTCAGCTTGACGTTGCGATACCAGCGGTCTGCACGGTCGTCGTAGGTTTCGAAGAGGCCGCACACGCCATCTTGGCACCAGCCACCCAGGACGAATATGACCTCGTGTGGCACTCTTGGACGGAGCATGGGGTTCGACGTTCCTTGGAGGAAAGGAATCCGACATTGCTGGTTGATTTCACACAGTTTGGAGCCCTTCTTCACAATTGCTGCACATTCTGGTGACTTTAGAATGTCCACATTCCTGAGAAGACAGTCCTCGAATGTCCTCGCTCTAACAAGGCCAAGTCTGATGGAGGACAAAAGCCTATGATAATGTTTTTTACGGGCCTTCTCGTCGAATTTTACCCAGTTCATGATCGCATGCACCGCTTCGTCCTCTTCGGGAAAATTGAGTTCATCCGCTTGTAGAAGTTCGCACAATTCGTCTATATTCAGACTCTGAAATTCGGAGTTTCTCGAAACTACGTGAGCTATATTTTTCAAAACGAACAACACAGATTCCTTCGCTAGATTCTGACAGTTGAAATATTGCGCCAATCTCATTATTCCTATACAGTTCTCAACGCACAGGCTTTCACGCAAGAAATCACTGCAGATCTTCACAAGCCCAAACACATGAAGTCTGTCGGCAACGCACAACACGTTCTCAATATTATTTGAGTTAAGATTTGCATGTCTAGTGTAAGCGTACATTACAATAGCCTCCATATCTGCATGTCGAATTCCTGGAATTTCAATTGCTGCCTGACACGATTCTTTCATTTGCGAAGTAAAGAGAGCACGAAAGTAAAGACTGCAACTCGCCATCACGGCTCTGTGAACATATATCTTTTTACCTTCGTCAGGAAAGTTGATCAGTACGTCACAAAATAGCCCTTGCTCTCTCATTTCAGTTAGTTGAGTATGAAACTCCTTTGTGAATTCTTCCATGACTTCTGTCATCGTTGCTTTAGCTTGTACATCCTCTTGTGATACACATGTGGAGGCCATCATGCCGTTGAGAGACAAATGCGAATGACGTCATCGGTAACGTTCCTTAGCAACGATCACCACACAACATCAGCATTGTAAGTCATTCGGAAGTGATCGGACGTTCTCGCTAAAATTCTCCAGTAAGATATTTAACTTTGATGCGAAAAACTCCCGTTTATACTTAGCTCATTGGACCTTATTAAATTAATACGTTAATGTAATATTGGTCAGGGCTGTAAAGTCGGTCTAGATTTGTTGAAGTAAGGGTATCTCTAAATTGTAAGTACAATTTCAAACATTTATGATGTGGGTTTTTTTACATGTTTTAACTATTCGGGCTAGCAGGCGTTCTTGTTTAATTCCCCGTTGTTCAAATAACAGCCGGTATCACTTTCAAAATTACTGTTTGAACAATAGCTAAATTAATTGGCCTTTCGATTTCGTGTTCAATATTTTTCAACTCGACCATGCCAAAAGTTCGTGGTATAACATTTACGAGGAATCCCATGTTCATTTAATTTGGGAAAATCACCAAGGACAACACTTCAATATTTGCGTTATCCAGGAAAAATCAACTGTTATTTAATCATTGATAGGCGCCTTTCTTTTTTATGCCGATGTAAGAGTTTTTTGTGAGACTAAAACAATTCATCCATTCACCAATTGTTTGATCGCCAGTGTAGTAGTTGGTGACTCAAATATGAAACATACAGACTCATCGGGTCGGTCATATGGGCGTTTTTATCTGTTTATGAATTATCATAGAGCTAAATCATCTGTTCAGTTTCTGCGCACGAAAGTTTTACAACTGCCCGTTTGGGTCCAGCTCTCATTAACAACGCGCAGTTCAGGGCATACTTGTGATGATCTTTCCCCATAAGACCCGTGAGGATCCGGGTTAGAATTGGTCTTCAGCTATCCGTGCTTGTTGTAAGAGGTGACTAACGGGATCGGGTGGTCAGGCTCGCTGATTTGGTTGACACATATCATCGTATCCCAATTGCGTAGAACGATGCTCATGATGTTGATCACTGGGTAGTCTGGTCGAGACTCGTTGAGACCGTCGCCATATAGCTGAAATATTGCTGAGTGCGGCGTTAACCCCCTGGATGCCACAGGGACATATATGTCCTTCCCCTTCAACCCTCAATTTGAAGTCGAATAAAAATCAAAATATCCCACGCACACAAATACACTTCACAGTTTCGAATTCTGCGGGAAATTCTCTGTTTCTTGATACCATCCACTATTATTTTAAACAAAGCTCAAGTGCTGAAAATGACCTTACAAAATAGGCTTCATCGAAAATGGCGACATTTTTGACACAGTATGAAATCGCGATTCACAGCAAGTATTTGCTGTATGTTTTGCAATGTGAAAATCGGATAATTACTGTGAGTATTGAATTTCAAAAAATAACATATTTATGATCACTGATATCAGTTTTACATGATTTCGCTAATTATAATTCTGAAACGTTGCCGATGAATCTAGAATCGGTTGGGATGTTTTCGAAAATGCACTTTACACGAACACCGTAGAGCGCTTTCCGCCATATTGGATAGTGTTTACAAAATCACGTTTCGCGAAGGCCGGTATTGAGACGTGCCTATTACATCACGTATATTTCATATTCAGCTTCGAAAAATGCATCACTGAATTCCCATACATTTTAAAGGAATCAATTTAGAAACTGAGGTCTGTGTCACCAAACAATAACTGTCTAGATAAAATGAGACGAAACATATTGGTGTGAAAAACGAACGCTGTGCTTGAAAGACTGCGTTTGTAGTGAAATGTAAACAAAGACAAATTCCGATTTTACACTGCGCAGCATTTTCTGAAATTTTTCAACATTCATCCGTCTATTCATTGTTTGCAATGGCTCAAAATACCTTTTAGAATATACATGGAAAGAGTATCGTGTGCAAGAAACAGGGAAATTATAAATAGATACAATGCAATGATTTGATAATTCATAAGAAATTGTCAAGCTTCCGTGCATGCGACGCCATGACTGACGCCAAATCACGCAGAACGACAACGGTAATTGCATCTGCATTTCTGTCCTTCTTCTCTTACGTATAGTGAAAACGATAAAAACATATAACAATACACAGATAGTCAGAATCATTCTGATTACTCACATCTCATATTTATGTACAAACGATCCCTGAATCAGTGGAAGGGTCCTCGCAAAATCCTGTGTACCCTTTAAGGTCAGCAAAGCCGCCATTTTGTAAGAAATCGGTCAGCGGTAGTGATGTCATACGTCAACATTGTTGTACATATTAGGCAATTTCTTTGAGGTGAAGGTCGGTTGAACAAGAGTAAACACAATTTGCCATATCCCTTCCGATTACACCGTCAGTATTATGATGTGTATATTTTATGGATAGTTCGGATACTTTTTCAGGAAACTGACTTCCAGTATCTACATTTAGCCTTGTTCAATATCATATCATACATGCATATAGGGTTTCATGGTGTTTTTATTCTTTGAAAGTTTTGATTGTTTGAATCATATTTACATAAGAAATTGACATATTTATTGCAATACACCATATTTTAAACCTTTACACAAGCGTTAGAAGATCAAACGTAGCCATAACTGCAATTACTTTAGTTCCTATGATGTACAATATTCAATTTATTTGGACTAATATTGCAATTTCATATGAACAGGTTAATGAACGGTGATATAATTCAACCTTATATGCAAAACTGATAATATTCATGACAATGATTTATATATGGTATAGAAATGTACATGCACAATATATTTAAAGGAATTGTCTTTGTTCATTGCATAATTTTGTATCGTTTTATAGACAAAAGAATGATGCATATAGATCGGCAAGGTGCGTTTGTTGGAAACGTTTTATGATTCTCTATCATTGTTTTCGATAATATATTCAATTCATATTCGATTAAATAATATTGTGAAGACAGGATATCAAACTCTAACTACTTTATAGGAAAATTGTTGAAAATATATATACCATCTCATGTGGTAATTCGGACAAATCTTATATCCATATTCTAATATATAGTTCCATATATAAAAGCTATCTTTATGCATCTTTCATTGCATACGTATGAAGAGAAATAGCTTCATAATCATAAACAAACAAAATTCTTACCCCAAACAAAATATTCGGGTGTTGTGAAATATTATTTCTATTTACGTTAAATTGATGCCAAACAGGTGCGCGTGTTGGTCACAATAAGATACGCTGTCAAACCGTCTAATTGTTGATATATTCAGGACACTATTTTAAATGGAAAAATCAGTCATTTTATGTTTTGTCTAAAGAGTGTTAAATTCTGGACATAGAAGTCTAGACCTTTATACAATGAATGGAAATTAAGTGAGATATATGCTAATCAGCATACCAGTGTCGTCGTTTTTCCAACGTCGCAAAATGCATAAAACAAGCGATGACGTCAACTAAAATGTTGTATTATTTTCAGCAATTTCGTTACATTTGAAGATATGGCTAGTACTCTGGTAATAACGATGCAAAATTAGTCAAATTACATCTACACAAACAGGAGAATATGGGAATCTAAGAACTAACTTATATATCGGATAGGGCCATCCAAATCGCTATTACGTGCTTTCACATGTAATACGTTGTCATCTTTTCTTATAAATTGTGAAACTACCAAAGCGCATCCGTTCACATTGGGGAACTTTGAATTGGAATAGTGAGGTTCACCATGAATATAAAATAACGAAAAATATAGCGTCCGTATCCACAACACATTTTCCAAGTGATCTGAGTTACATTGACCTTAGTGTTACGCATAACGTTATGCCCCTTATCATTATATCGTTTATGACCTCTCTGTCGTCGTTTGACGTCATAGAAGAAAATACATTTTGACATTTATTGCGAGTCATTTTTAATGTTGAGCGTATAACGTTATGCACAAGCACATAAACCCAATTCATATACACTTATGTCGTTCAGATATCAGGCTGTATTTTCTTCGCTCACACTTTCCGTAAAGATGCCCCATTAAAAAATTCCTAGCACAGTGCTTTTATCGGTGCGCGATAAAAAGCGGAGAAATTTACTGTTTTTTAACGCATAACAAAAATTTGGACAACATTTAGCAAGGTCTATTTCTCAAACCGCCAAGGTAGTTGCACTTATATTTATACCAACGGATAGGAAATTTAATATTCTACATTTCTGCGTAATTTTATAGCCTTACGTAGATCCAGGACCACGCGAGAGCAATTCTCGCACAACGTTCACTTTTCAAACTGTATGAAAATGTGCGCCTGAAAAAAAACTCGGCAGCCAGGGGGTTAAAGCAACCGCACTGTGATGACGTTGCGGTCCAAAAAAACGATTCACACACAGAATATATATGAATGATTGGTAAATTCAACATAAATTGTCATGCGCGGAAGCAGCTTGATGCCGTTACTCTCAGGCACAACGAGAACGGTACTTTTCAAATTCTCTTGGTTACACTGAAAACCAACAGAGAAATACAACAACGCGCAGATTTCTAGAATGTTTCTTACAACTTACACGTCACATGTGTGCATGTAGCCTACTGTCACGCCGAAAACCTAGGTTCGATTCCCCACATGGGTACAATGTGTGAATCCTATTTCTGGTGATCCCGCCGTGATATTGGTACAATATTGCTGAAAGCGGCGTAGAGCTCACTCGCATATAAGATCAGTGAATCAACGAAATTACCTGCATACAATTCCTGCGTTTTTATGTCAGTAAACACTGACGGTGAAGGTCGGACACTAGTAGTGATGTCATACGTCAACATTGTGGTACATATTTGGTATATTCCTTGAAGTAAAGTGTTATAAATAAGCATGAACGATCAACCTATGTTGATGCTCACATGCAGTTTAAATTATAATACAATCTTTTTGTATCTTTTACATAATATTCCACGCAATATATTTGGATATCTTTTACGTTGTTATTAGACAGAAGATCATTACATATTTTTTAAATTGACCACAATTACGTCATAATATGGGGGCAGCGCTGGCTCGTTTAACCCAGAAACAAATTTGAGGTTACTATTTTCAAAATGTGGAAAAACGGGTGTATAGTTTCAAACATGCATATGAACTAAATTAATTCTAAAATTGCGGTTTGTTTCCGATATGGACACAAGTGCCAGACCTTTAGTCTACAGGGGTCGGTGGGGTAGCCTAGTGGTCAAAGCGTTCGCCCTTCACGCGACCCGGGTTTGATTCCCCACATGGGCACAATGTGTGAAGCCCATTTCTGGTGTCTGCCGCCGAAATATTGCCAAAAGCGGCGTAAAACTAGACTCATTCATTCACTTTTAGTGTACACCCTTTAACAGGAAGTCCAGTTCCCATAGAACCGGACGCTAGATGCCATGGATCTTAACTTGTACGCTGATGCCAGTATTTGATTGTGTAAATTTGTATTTGTTTTTATTCTAGCATAGACTAATCAATGAAATATTCACCTCTATGTCTGAGCCCAAAAAGATAAAAATACAATAAAAATAGAAATAAAAATAAAATAAAATACAATAAAATAATTATATAAATAAAAAGAAGAAGAAACGGCAAAAAATCTTTGTCTGCAAACCTTGAAAAAACAACACAACTCACACCTGTAACAGAATTAACTTTAATATACCATCCGGTGAACATATAGTTATAATACAATAGATTCCAACAGTTTTATATTTACTTTAATAATCATTTTTAATTCAGAATAAAACATTTATTTTCTTCTGCTCTCACACACCAAACACCAACTAACTTACTCTAATGTGTTCATTAATTAAAGTCAATAAAAATAAAACATCATAATTTTGAATTCCGTAAAATGTGTTAAATCGTATTCTGATCTATGACGAGAAATAGTATTTACATGATTAGGTTAAGGTAGAAGTTGTATGTATAGGATTGTGCGGGAAGAGAACGGTATGTTTACGACACCATATATAAGTACTATACAACTTCAATGGACGGTTTACGGTAATGCTTACCCCTTTACCATAGGCCAGTTTCAAACACTTTGGCATGAACATCATAATGTTAATAATAAATAAACATGAAAAATGGACGGCGGGCAAATAGGACGGTTGAGAATCACAGTCAGTTAACCAGCAGATTATGCAAATGTAAATTTGCAGAATATCATAAAAATACTCCAAAAACATAATACCCTGCGTGCTGGACACGCTCCGGCGTGTAGAGATTGAAAATAGATTTTATTGGGTCACGATCAATGTAACGAAATGTAAACCCTAACCCAAGTGAAATTATGTTAAGTGTTTGAGTGAACATTTTGGGGAGTGCAAAAACGTATAAGGAAATATTCATGGGGTTCGATACAGCAGACAGCAGGTCACGAGAATACAAGACCTTTGTTTAAACTACAGATACATATCGTTGTCTCAAATACAAATGCTACTTGATAAAGTAGTATTCTAAACACCAATCTATTTAGCAATCTTAATCGTTTCAATCGGGCCTCCGTAAGACATACTTATGTCAAACATAAAATCGATAGACTAAATACATAGGAAAATATTAAGGGGAGGCAACATAGGAAAATTAAATTGAATTTGTATGTGTGAAATCTGGGATTGCATAAGCTGGCAATGGCAACTGTATTAAAACTTGAAATATATTTTTTTATCCGTAAAGGAAAATATGAAAAATAGTTTTGTATCAAAATATACACAGTGTAGGGCGTCCGATGTGTTAAGTTGTCATCAGCAGTCCTTGTAAAGCAGTTTAACCACGTTTGCTTTCTTGTTTTGACAAGAGACAAGACTGAATTATATATTTGCTAAATTGATTTGAAGTTAATATTCTTAAAAAAAAAACTGGAACTAAGAATTTCAAATGTTATCCACAACATGTGAGACAAACATTTCATATTACAATATTCAAATAGATAAAGTGCATCAAGAAATGAGTAAATGCGTTTTTAGAAAAGAAAATCGTCATAAAATGTATTAAGCCATTTCAGTGGAACGGTGTTAAATAAAATTAGATATACTCAACAAAACAAGTTAAGTACAACCCAATATTCAATATGTAAGTATTATATGGGTCATAAAATGAACTATTAAATACTTTAATATTGAAAATTGAGGTGGTCCTTAACGTGTTTTGTTGTGTGTATTTGCTTTGTCGTAAGAAATCAATTGTTTATGACTTAGTAAAAATGTTGAAAATGTAAGAATTTCAATGTTTGAATGCTGCATAGATGTGACAGCCAACGTGTGTACGTCTGTGCTGAGATAAGTAGGAAAATGTGCAGAAGGAAACAATATTCCACGTTTTTAACAATCACAAGACACTCATAACCGTCAAATAACCTTAAATGTCAATATCTTCAACCCCTCTCCAGTACCTGTCACTTCCGGGTGTAATATACACGTGTTCATAACAGCCTGTCAATAACTATACACATATGAATAACAACTTGTCAATAGCTATCACATTGTCTGGGCTAATGCGATCAGAGACTGATCTATTTCCCGCAGCAGCTGGCCCAGTTGAATTTCACATCCCACCCACCTCCATTGTTTTTGTGGATACCTTGAGCCGTAGCTGAAAAAGACGAAAATGCATAAATAAATATTTAAAGTTTCGAAAGTATCTATTGCAGGTATAAAGCGACACGTGTGTGTGTGTATGTGCGTGCGCGCGCGCGCGCGCGTGTGCGTGCGCTGCTTGTACTGATCCAACATATAGCTGCTCCCCCTCTGATCGTGATAACCCATGTGGTAACTGTACCATCGATACCCAATGATATTAAAAGAAACAATACAGATGTACGGACCAAAACGTATCATATTATGTCATTCTCGAACCAAATATAGCTTTTAGCTAAATACTGCAAAATTTTACTTGAGTTTTTAAATGAAACCTCAGGCTGAACTGTTCAAAATGGTGAAGTCCATCTTGTGAGTTTATTTTCATTTATCAAGATAACGGCTGATAAACATTTACAAAATAAACTAGAAGACAAGCAGCCAAGCACCAGGGTTTCAATTGGTCTTCAGCAACCCATGCTTGTCGTAAGAGGCGACTATCGGGAACGGATTGTCAAGCTCGCTGACTTGGTTGACACATGTCATCGGTTCCCAATTGCGTAGATCGATGCTCGTGATGTCAATCACTGGATTGTTTGGTCCAGACTTGATTAGTTTAAAAAAAGAAGCCATATAGCTGGGACATTGCTGAGTGAGGCTTTAAACAACAAACAAACAAATCATAACAGCAGATTGAAATAAACAATTACCTCCCCAGTTCCCGTCAGTTAAGGAAGCGTCAGGATTAGCGGCTTGCAAGGCGGCGTTTTCCTCCCACTTCACTTTCTTAGGTTCCTTGAACGAGGATGTTGCTTTAGCGGTGTCGAACTTCTCTTTGCGGACAGAAGCCCATGTGTCACCGTTGTCTTCGCTGCTCATGTAGGAGACGCCATCGTTGCCCAGAGCGTAGACTTCTCCTTTGTTGGGATCGTGTCCGATCATACACCCGAGGCGCTCATCCATGCCTGAGTGTATAGGATAATAATTTCAATCTGGTTGGGTTGTTGTTTTCGCACTCAGCAATATTCTAGGAATGAGGATGCCCACGAGCAGTTATTTAAACATGCACACCGAGGTAAATTTGTTGAACAAAATTAGTTCAAAACAAAACAATTAATTCACTGTTATAATTATTTTTAACAGGCAATGATATATAGAGAATCGACAAAACCCTTTCCACATGCTTAAGAAATGGACAGCTCTTCTGTACTACTTCGTGTTAAACATGACTCACATGAGCAAGGAAATATGGAAAGTACGGAGGTAAGTGTCATAGGAAGGATGTTCAGTGTCTCACTTGTGTTTTAGGAGCAATCGAAGATAACTTTATACGTACGTTTCCATGTGTCACCGTCGGCTGTTTTGTAGCAGGCCTGTTTCAGTCCGCTGGAAATACATAAGGTGAAATGAGATATAGGTTGAACGTCCCGTCCAAAATTATAGCAGGGAGAATAGAAGATTATCTGTAGATTATCCCTGCTTATAGTGTGTGCGTGTGCGTGTGTCTTGCTACATAAGATACAATCACATTTTCTTGATATATTAAAATGCATCCGCATATTCTTCATTTAGTAAAACACATCCGCATTTTCTTGATACAGAAGATCATTTTAGATAAAGGAGATAAAACCGAAACTTACTCCTCAACTGCGGCGTCGCACACGAAGAGGTTGCTACCATCGTGCAGGAAGCCGCTCCTGTGCCAATCTGAGGAAGGATTATTAATACATTACATATTAACTACGCTAGAACTTCGATTTATAGCATTAGTACCATGTGTGAAGACCTCTGGTATACCTGCCACGATTATTCGTAAACGCAGCGACAACTGATTCACTTTCAAGACAAACTTCTAGTAGTAACACCCATTATCTATAGAAGGTTACACTTTCTACCTCAGGTAAACATTTCTCAGCTTGACAAAGGACTACCCAGTTTACTCCAAACACAAATCTAAACCACTTTTCCAACATCAGTACGTGCAGCATCAGTCGTCGTATGTTAAGAGAAACTGTAATACTCTCGTCTACAAACAATAAAAGCACCCTATCGTAAGTCCTTTTTCACAGTCTAAAATGACAATGAAAACAGAAGAGGGCTCAAGACACAGCCCCGGCGGACACCCCTTTGTCAATAAACCATTTCTGGAAATGAATGGATGATCTGGACCCTGTAACCGTTATAAAATTGACCTAACAAAGGTTATACCTGTGTTTGTGATGCTCTTTTCGTAGACTCCTTTGTCGGGGTCCGCTAAAGCGACGTCATTGGTTGTAAGACAGCCCATAAGGTCGAAGGTCACGCCCAATTTCTTCGTCGAGTCGCTGTCGTCGACGATGTAGATTCTGATGTAACGGGATTCCACCGAGTCTCCAACCGTCACCTCGGACGGCACAGACGGGACAGGGATCTGGACAGCACAGAAGTGATAAAAGGCTTCAATAGTTTTTGTTAAAAAGTATGAACAACCATTGAGCGTGGTGCATAGAATCACTTCAACAAACGGTGCTTAAAAGAACCACCAAACTAGCAAGATTGTCAGGAAAATCGCTCAGGAAAAATCTATCACCCTACCCATCCATTCATCCCCTCTTCCGGAACGAGCATCCCGATCGATTACCAACAAGGGTACGATGCAGTCTAAGTAAACGTGGACTCAGTATTATTCGCTGCACTGCTATACGATGACTCAGTATGGCAGTGTAACGAACAATACTGAGCCTAACTTTCCTTAGACTGGGGTACGATGTTAAATCAGTTCCCGCGCGAATTTGCAGCTATGCTCCTTGTATTGGGGTCCATATCCATATTAGTCCGGCAGCCAAATCCACTTTTGGGGCACAACCTTGCTTTGGTGTCTCTAGTAGTTTTTTTGGTGAATTTTGCTTCTCAAGACCATCTATATAGAGAAATTCCTTACTGGACCTCCATCAGCATTGAGCATTATGCGTAGTTGCGAAATATAATTAAACCGAATTATGTATATTAGCAAAGTATCTATTTTTGGTGTCTAACTTAAAATTAACACAATTGCCTCAACAACAACAACAACAATACACATTTCTATTCTTCCTGATGATGTCATCACTTAGGGATGGCCACACCCACTTAATGTTTGCTCTACAATTAAGTACATTAGATGGTGGATGCATGCTTGACTAATAATAATATTTATATTATACAACCATGTTGGTCAGGTTTTTTCAAGGCCTAGCCAAGTAAGTTGAATTATATGTGTGGTTATATTTTAATTTTAAAGAGGAATGGGTAGCATAATTAAGTAAATAGCTGTAAGTACACGTGGATGTAGACATTCTGAATGTGGTTGTACAGCTACATGTAACTGCCGTCAATACATTCACCTTGCTACAAACAGAATGACATCCTGTTCTATTTAAAGCACATTAAGTATCATGTGGTTTAGTTATATATGACAAATGACTTGAGATCACTTGTCTCTCTAAGTATTGGCCTTTATCAGTACGGAATAGTCGCATTGGCCTTATATCAGCAGTTTACAGTCGCACTGTCACTTGCACAGGGCAAGATATTTTAAAATATCTTGTTTGAGATAAATCGCCATGGAGATGGAGTGCTATTTTGATTGGAAATTTAAATGCAATGATTACCTACGAAGTAAGGGACTCATTAACATTAAGCCCAAGTGAATTCAGAACATTATTAGAAGTAGTCAGCTGTACCAGGATAACATTCATGAGAAACTGCAGCCCCAGTTTGAGAGTGATTCGAGTATCATCCGTCCACAAGTATGGGTAGAAAAGTACCTTCATACTAAGGAAGTCCAAAAGGCTGCGAAACGCCATGCTGGTGATGCAGATGTGGGTGTGCCTGCTCCAAAAAGGGCAAAACGGTCTGAACTCCCCAAATTTAACTTTAAGCATCACTGTATTTACTGTGGGGAAGAATGTCAAGTTAAAAAGGATCCACAAAATCCTTCAAGAAGGAGGCCAGCTTAGATTTGCACACAATTTGTAAGAATGGGACATAAACAGTCATTGAAGCAAGAAATCCTTGAGAAGTGTGACGAACGGAGTGATGAATGGGCATCTCAAGTTAGAGTCAGGGTGTGCGGAGCTGTTAGTGATTTACATGCTGCTGATGCACGCTATCACAAAAGCTGTCATGTGAGTGTCTCCAAAACCACAAGTATAACACTAAGGGCGGAACAGGGGGGCCATGAAGTTTATATCATTGCTGGTCGTCATAAGTGTATTAAATGAAGACCAGTCAAAAATCTGGAATTCAGTTGAAGTGTACACTTTATATGTAGAGAACGGAAGGAATGACCTTTCTCGCTGTTTGCTTGTGACCAGACTGTTGGAGTACTTTGGTGATAACCTTGTAGCTCTATCTTATCCAGGAATAGCTATTATTTTGGCATTTCGAACTGGTGCAGCCAAGGCTCTACGTATTATCCCAGATGAAAATGACGACGACATATATATATCAGTTGCCAGACAAATGGAGGAGTTTGAGAGAAAACTGCCTGATGGTTTTTATGACAGTATCCCGATGACAGTGATGGGACTTCAGGCCAGTTCACGAGATATTAACATCAGTGAAGTTATATCATGTGAGCTATCACCTGTGCCAACTGCATTATTCAATGACTCTCGAGAGATGTGAATTCTAAGTCAAAGTCAGATTTGAAAAACCTGACCAAGGTAGATGTCTCAGCTAGACATTGAACACCAGAAGCAACCTGCACTGTAATTGGTGGTTTTGCGCTCCTCTGGATTCTTCAGAGGCCTCCGTCCTCTTCTACACACAATCCAATGGGAATGGATTTTGTGAAGAAGTTCAAGCATCATATACAGGAGAAGCTGAAGTCTGGTGACGTATATTTAGTCTTCGACAGATATGAAGAATTCAGTACAAAGTCTTCCACCAGAACCTCCAGAATGGCAGAAGGATGTAAAGTATTTCAGCTATGTCTCACATCACCCTTGCCCTCACAAAAAGACTCTGACTATCACACAAAACAAAAAGGAGTTGATAGACATCATATGCAAAGATCTTCAGAATGATACAGATTTTCACCAGGAGAATACGGAAAAGCACAAGCTCATGATAACTGGCCAAGAGAAGAGTCCCGTTGAAATCAGTTGTGGTGGTGTTGTCATAAGAAGACATGACATTGCACTACTCACGAGGAAGCCTGATAATATCATTGTGCAGCAAGCCATACAGGTCGCAGTCAATGAGCAGAAGCATGTGATTATTCTTGCAGACAATACAGATGTGTATGTCCTCCTACATCATCATTACTTGCAACAAGGCTTACAATTACCAATGGTGATGGCATGTCCTATTAAAGAGAGACAGGTATACATGCTACAGAAGGAGAAGCATCGTGATATAATTCCATCGTTATTGGCTGGTCATGCCCTATCTGGCTGTGACACTGTGGAAGCATGCTATGGAGTAGGGAAAAGAAAAATGCTGAAAGAATGCGTCTGTGGACAAAATCGGCAACATTCCAGCAGATTGGTCTGATGTGATGGCGCAAGCGACCAGATTCACAGCTGAATGTTATGGACAGCCAATGGCTGCATCCATGTCAGAAGCAAGAGTTAGTGTATGGAATGCTCAAATTGGGAAGCCTGGACTAACAAGTGTTCCCAAGCTTGCCTCACTGCCACCAACTACTGAAGCATTCACTGAGAATGTCAAGTGAGCTCATTTGCAAACCTTTCTTTGGAAGAATGCACTGCAACTTGATCCTCAGAAGTTGAAGTGAGTGAGTGAATTTAGTTTTACGCCGCTTTTAGCAATATTCCAGCAATATCTGGGCGGGGCACACCAGAAATGGGCTCTACACATTTTACCATGTGAGGAAACGAACCCGGGTCTTCGGCGTGACGAGCGAACGCTTTAACCACCGCCCCTCAGAAGTTGGAAGCCTCACACTATGGATGAAGGAACGATGTATGAAGTCATTGCGACCAACAACAGTACCTGCAGACACTCCCCTAGCTCCCAGTAAGATCTTACAGATGACCAGGTGTTCCTGCTCCAGTGAAACCCCATGCAAGTCTTCAACATGTGGATGTAACCGTGCGAAACTAGCCTGCACAATGTTCTGTGCTTGCCAGACTTCAACTGCACGTTACAATAAACAAACAGTAACATCACAATAATTGCATTGCCATTTTGTGCGAATCAATTCTCATAGTTTACTTTTTCAAGAATATTGTTTCCAATCGTTTTAACTAATGGCAGCAATTTTGTTTGTTTTTTTATTACTTATCTAAATTGCTCAGATGTCCAGTAAACTTACCCTTGATATTTGTGGTCTTAACAAACATAATCCACCAAAAAAACTACTATAGACATCAAAACAAGGTTATGTCTACCGGCTGCCGGACTATATCGCAATTTAAAAATTGTAAATAGGAGACTTTGTAATTACTAATGTGTGTATTTATAAACACACAATATACTGACTCCGAGCCGACAGACACCCACAAGTACCCCATTTTAACGTCTTTTAGGACGAGGCAGGGAATCGAACTCGCGAATTTGCACTCTCCGGGCGGACACCCTAACCACTACACCACAGAGGCGGTAAACGAAGCGCCGAATGGGTACAAGGTATAACATAACAACAAAAAGCAGGTATTATAGTGCGGATACTCGAGGATGGGTAAACGAGCAGTTAAACTAACGAGTAAATAACGTCTCTGAATATATGCATATAACAGATACAAACAGTTCCTTTTAAACGGAAACAGTGCCCCAGTGAGATGGGAGATTCTGAACCTGAGCAAATCTAGACCTGCTCCATTTGGCTTAAGCATTGTAGAAAGGGCAAGGCAGAAAACAACGTACTGCAGCTCAGGGACTGTGAGAAAGACTGACGAAGTTCCCTTGTGACGAACACTCACCTCGGTGCCTTCAATCCATGCGTATCCGTCATTGCTGAACGCGGGCTTGATCTTGGTGACCGTTGACCCGAAACCGGCACCGCTTCCTGCTGCCACTTTGATTTTCTGAATTGACGCTTTGTTGCCAATGTACACTTGGAAGTACCTCTGCTGCTTCAGAGTGCCATATCGTACAAAGGGAGAGAACCCTGCAAATGGTGGGTTAATGTTAGTCTGAGTCCTGTTTGACAGAGATTGTATTATTTACTTTGATACAAAACCAACAGCAAGGGTAGTTTGTTGTAAGGGACAGGACATAATTCATGGCTGGGGGTTGGGGGTGGATGTGATGATTTTAAGGTGGGGTCACCATTTGGTTCTGGGGAGGTGTGTGTGTGTGTGTGTGTGGGGGATGAGTTTTGTACACATGTACTAGGGGGTGTCATTGACTTGATTATACTACATGACATTCAGCATACACATCCATGGCACATCATGGATTCATCCTCACAGTCATAGATCTCTGACGCGTCTGACGGTAATATCCAATCCTTTTATTCGAAGTTAAACAGTGTGTGTGCGTCTAGCTCGATTCTGTTGTGCCTGAATGTGATTCTTACATTTGTATTTTCTTCACGAGAAATGTTACAATACGTTTGTAAAACAGTCAGGTTTCTGACTTAGTACCGGATCCTGAGGTTGGAGCTTCCATTGTGATTTACAAGATGACTATAGCACTGTCTTTAGTGATTGAGACATCGATTTCGTTTGTGTATTTTGTTTTGTGTTTTGTATCGCCTAACGTGGATTTTGGCACGGGATCTAACGGGGTCGCGTGATACGGTGTCCTGGCTGCTTCAAGTCACCCCAGGTGCATTGATCCGTGTACTATCAATGGACTGTCAGGTCCAGACTCGATAGACTTATTGAAGCCTACATAGAACTTGAATATTGTGGGGTTAAACAACAAACAAGATTCTGTTTGATACCTTACTTTCCCCCGAACACCGTCACCAACATTCTCTCCAACAAATATACCACTTCTGATGATAACGCCATTTTTGACGTTGGCGTGGTCGAATATGTGAGTGAGTAAAGTTTTACGCCGCCTTTAAAATTATTCCAGCAATATGTCGGCGGGGAACACCAGAAATGGGCTTAACACATTGTACCCATGTGGGGAACCGAACCCGGGTCTTCAGCGTGACGAGAGGACGCTTTAACCACTAGGCTACCCCACGCTGAATGGACGAGATAATTTCGTTTCTCGGAGGCACTGTTATTGGATTTTGATCCGGCAAATCCATATGTATGGTATCAAGGTAACAGGAATTGTTTATCAACCCAAAATTTACATTAGTATAAATAATATATAATACATTTCAATTTTACGACGATTCTATCAAAGACAATTACTGATAAAACTGCATTGTTTTAAAGCTGCGATTGAGTGATAGTTTCAATTTTGAAGCTGTGGCGATGGGGAGCCTAGTGGTTAAACTTCACATGGGGGGTGAGTGATGCTCGTCTTTGGTCTCCCCCGTATTGCTAGAATGCTTCTAAAAGCGGCGTAAAATTGCACTAATATATGTCGTAAAACCGATGTCATAGGGATTTGGGGGCAAAGGTACTGGAGAAAGCTCTACCGACCAAACACTCAGATGTCCTATCGGCTTTCACCCTACCTGTTCCACCGATGCGTCCGTTGACGGGTTCACCCCCGGTGTAGTGGTCTGGCGAGCCGGAGATACGGCCGTCAAGGATGCCGGATCCCGTCAACAGAGACGTCACGGTGCAGGTAGTCGCTGAAACATATTAAATCTTGCATCAATGATACGTAAACAGCAAACTAAATAATAAGAGCAGATTTTTTGTCAGAACGAGAGTGACTGATCCAGCTTACCTATCATAATGTATTCTTTGTGTAATCAACACTGGTGTACACTTCACTAAATATCTAACTGATATGACAGCTAGTCATGTACCCATGAAAATCGAGTTCTGTCAGGAATTTCAATATTAAAACACAGGTAATCTGCTGGATCACAATTATGATTCATCTTAATATTAATCTGCAATATTATCATAAAGTTGATTTTAGAAATATTATATTATACGAATACTTCATAAAAATATGTCATAAAAAACAAGGGTTTCAGATATGGTTGGAATTTCGAATGCGAAGTATGAATCAACGGATAACATTTGTTCAATTAACATGCTACTATGAGTCAGCTTTAAGCTAAACTGCCGAGAAAAAACATAGTCTGTCTCACAGTCCCTGAACCACATTATTTTCCCTACTGCCAAGCCCTCTCTGCAGTGCTAAAGCCCTAAATAAAGCAAGTCTAGATTTCCTCAGGTTCAGGAATCTCTGGTCTCCCTGGGGCTCATTTTCAATTTAAATGGGCTTGTTTGTTACTATCAAAATTATATATATTCAGCATTGGTCTAAGAAAAAGATAGCATACACTTGGAAATTTGGATTTGACCAATCAATTATAAACGTTATTAAAACGTTACTGTCAAATACACTACGTTTATAATGAACTGACATATATAACGAACTGTCTTGTTTTGTTTCTTTCTTCAATATTTCGGACGAAATGCGTATAACGAACGTCGGTAATAACGAACGTAAGTTAATGGTCTAAATGAGTTCTTTATAACCGTAGCTGATTGCACATCACCATCGAAGATACTCTACTTTCTTTAGCTCTACTGTTTACAGATTGTATCTGCACAGATATGACCACATATGTCAAGACTTATCTCAGTTTACCTGTTTTCTGTACTACAGTGACGGTGTGGTTGACGTAGTTCATGTTGCACGAGAAGTCCACTTGGTCGTTGTAGGTGTTGACAGCGCGGAGGTGCGTCTTGGCAGCCGTGGCTAGGGTGATGACGGTGTTGAGACCCTGGACCGTGGTAGGGACCTTGTAGGTGGGATGTTGACCCAGGGCGACGGTGAAGGCGAGGACGTCGGTGAAGTAGAACGCACTACACTAAAGTCAGAGAAACGGAAAGCCTGCTGTACTTTATCCCATGTTTAGACCGTTTATTTCATATTAAAAACCGATTTAGACCGATTATTACATGCGTGGTACTACACGTAAGAAGAAAGCCACTGGTGACTCGTGTGGTAAACATGTAATGACTACGATGGCGCTTGCAAGAGAAACATCATTCTGAAGGAGAGACGGAATGGCATTGCCAGGAACAGTGGATTCTTATTGGTATTGTTTATTCCGTATTCGTATACGAATTAACAATATAGGGTGCCATTATCTTCTAAGTCAGTGAATAGTCACTTTCTTCTGTTCAAAATCAGGATTTTGAGCTATTCAACATACGGTATTGATCATTGCTCAGTGTGACGGGCCAGAGCAATGGCGTCGGTTTGTGTTGGGAGGTTCTAGCATACGTTTTTGCTTGTTTGATGTTTAACGCAGCACTCAGCAATATTCCAGCTATATGGCCGGTGTTTGTATATAATTGAGTCTGAACCAGACAGTCAGGTGATCAACATCATGGTCATTGATTTACACAATTGGGATACGATGACATGTGTCAACCAAGTCCGCGAGTCTGACCACCCAATCCCGTTAGTAACCTCTTACGACAAGCACAGGTTGCTGAAGATCAGTTCTAACCCGATCTTCACGGGTTTATAGCACACAGTCGAGGAAAGTCAAGGAAGAATTGGTGGCGACTCCCCACTGCATCTTTGGGGATCGGATGGCATTGGAGTGTAAACTGTTTAAGAGAGCCTTCTGCATGAATAGACTGACAGAGACCGGCGGGATCAGATATCGTTATTTATGGATTACGAGTGCCCTCTACCTGAAGTTTCATCATGTTGTCGTCGTGTGTTTCCGAGCAGTCGATTCTGCTGTCGTTGAGGTTGGTGAGAGAGCTGAACTGCAGGAATGGGGGGAACAGCAGTAACGCAGTCATGTCGATGCTCTCGGCCGTCGACTCGTTGTCGTGTCGCAACAGGCCGTTGATGACAACTTGGGTGCTGGAAACATAACATTGAATTGATGACAACTTGGGTGCTGGAAACAGATGACAACTTGGGTGCTTGAAACATAACATTGAATTGATGACAACTTGGGTGCTGGAAACATAACATTGAATTGATGACAACTTGGAAGCTGGAAACATAACATTGAATTGATGACAACTTGGGTGCTTGAAACATAACATTGAATTGATGACAACTTGGGTGCTGGAAAAATAACATTGAATTGATGACAACGTGGGTGCTGGAAACATAACATTGAATTGATGACAACTTGGGTGCTGGAAACATAACATTGAATTGATGGCAACTTGGGTGCTGGAAACATAACATTGAATTGATGACAACTTGGGTGCTGGAAACAGATGACAACTTGGGAGCTGGAAACATAACATTGAATTGATGACAACTTGGGTGCTGGAAACATAACATTGAATTGATGACAACTTGGGTGCTGGAAACATAACATTGAATTGATGGCAACTTGGGTGCTGGAAACATAACATTGAATTGATGACAACTTGGGTGCTGGAAACAGATGACAACTTGGGTGCTGGAAACATAACATTGAATTGATGACAACTTGGGTGCTGGAAACATTGATGACAACTTGGGTGACAACAGATGGGTGCTGGAAACATAACATTGAATTGATGACAACTTGGGTGCTGGAAACATAACATTGAATTGATGACAACTTGGAAGCTGGAAACATAACATTGAATTGATGACAACTTGGGTGCTTGAAACATAACATTGAATTGATGACAACTTGGGTGCTGGAAACATAACATTGAATTGATGACAACTTGGGTGCTGGAAACATAACATTGAATTGATGACAACTTTGGTGCTGGAAACATAACATTGAATTGATGACAACTTGGGTGCTTGAAACATAACATTGAATTGATGATAACTTGAGTGCTGGAAACATATCGTTGGATTGATGGCAACTTTGGTGCTGGAAACATTTCATCAAACTGGTGACAGTTTGTGTTATGAAAAACATGTCATGAAAACATAATATCATTAGATTAGTGACAACTCGAATGTTGGAAACATCGTTGTTGGAATGTTGGAAATCATTAGTTCGATGACAATGACAACTTAATAAGATTGGAAATGTATATCAGAAGGTTGATGGCAACTTGATGGCTGGCAGCAGATATCAAGAGACTGGTGATACCTTGTGTGTCAGACATGGTGTGTGTCAGAATTGCACATTGATGACATCTTGTGTGACATGTAGTGTCTGCAATTGAGTGATAATGTGACGTACTGTGGGTGTTATCCTAATGTTTGTGTCGAGCACAGTGTCTGCAAAACCTTATGTGTGTGACGTACTGTGGGTGTTATCCTAATGTTTGTGTCGAGCACAATGTCTGCCAAACCTTATGTGTGTGATAACACACGTACTGTGGGTGTTATCCTAATGTTTGTGTCAAGCACAATGTCTGCCAAACCTTATGTGTGTGATAACACATATACCGTCTGTGGTTAGGCTTAGCATGGTTCGTGTGTAACACATGCCTATAGTATTTACATGTTTCCATTGCTCGTTGTATATGTGTTGCACGTTCAGACCTAATGCTCAGTCCGTGCATGCAAAATAGTCAATCAGTCAATCTGGTTTTACGTGGCAACGACGACAGAACTCACGTGGTAGAACCAGAATAATCCACTTCTCCGGTGAACTCAATGCAAGGCTTCTCAGTCCCGTCTCGCAGCGTGACGACCTTGTGTTCCAGGATTACAATATATATTCCTATTTTCACGCCAAGGCTGATCCAGTGCTCGGAACCGTTGGTGTTCGCCGCGGAGTCAGCCATCACCAAAGTCAGGTCCATGCTGATGATGTCATCGTCATACTGCTGTTGGTCAATACGATGAGTCGAACCTTCAATAACAAATACAATAAACTACCGATTAGCTGCATAATCCCAAAGGTAGGGTGTGGCATTTCTTCCAAATGACGGACCTTAGCTATGATGAATTAAGTTCAAACACACCCATAACATCTGGACAAATCGATCTCTTTGTTTGTTTTTAGATTAAAGCCGCACTCAGCAATATTCCAGCTTAACGACGGCGGTCTGTAAATAATCGAGTCTGGACCAGACAATCCAGTGATCAACAGCATGAGCATTGATCTGCGAAACTGGGATACGATGACATGTACCAACCAAGTCAGGCAGCCTGACCACCCAATCCCGTCAGTCGCCTCTTACGACGAGCATGGGTTACTGAAGACCCATTTTAACCTGGATCTCCCTTGGGGCTCCAATAGACTGCGTATATCTAGTCCCAGTGTGGGATATCTGGACTCACCGGAGTTAGTTACGATGCCCATATCAACGTATGCCTTGTCAATCTGAGACGAATTGCGCGTAGATTTCTCTGTAATCGTCAGTTCTTCAGAGTAACCATAGCCCGCTAGATTGATGCCGCTTCCGGTGACCTTGAGGCTTTTGAAGGTCATGACGGCAGAGTCGTTAAGAGGTAAATCGACGTCGAATTTGACAATAGTGGTAACAAACGGAGGAATCATAAGCTGAATCGGGATGGTCTTCTCCTCGTTGATCTTCATATAGATAGGATCTTCCGTCACATTTACTTTGATTGCCGTATCGTTCAACAGGGTCATGTTCTCCTGAAGAAGGAACGGGTTGTGTTGAAACGCGAGAGTGAGTAACACACATCAAGCATAATTCACGAACGTTATTTCATCTATTATCTATTTTGTCTATTATCATCATAAGAGTACAGTTATATTTGGACAGAAGTCTTTCAGAGACATGCCATATTCTTCCTCTTTTTATTTCAAGCTACTCTTTGTAATGTCAAGACACTCTATCGAAATCTCAAGCCAAGATTTCCTTTTCCTTATTCAAGATACCGTGTTAATGATTTAACATTATCATTGTACTCGAACTGTCAAATTAGTTTCTTGAATTTTTCTAACAGATATCCTTGAATTGTGGATACAGTATATTGAACTTTTAACATAATTCTTTCAATTTTTTTAAGCATTTAACTGTAAATTTCTATATATTACCTTGGAATTTTCATTCCTAGATTTCAAGAAAGTTTGAAAGGTAATTAAGTGTCTTCCGTACATTGGCCCAATTTCAAGGGATAGATCACATCGCCAAGCAAACGTATGTGGATACGGGTGATAGATGAACGATGATTGTACAAATCAGAGAATTTGTCCCCATGGCAAGTTATCCTTTCTGATTCTTTGACCAGTCAAGATAATGCTTTAATCATTTGGTTTGCATATATCCCCTCATACCTGCACTTGTTACTAAGTAGGAACCGCCTCCGTGGTGTAGTGGTTAGAGCATCCGCCCGGAGAGCGGAAGGTCGCGGGTTCGATCCCCGACCGCGTCATACCCAAAAGACGTTAAAATATGGTACGTGCTGGTCCCTGCCTGGCGCTCGGCATTAATGGGTACAACAAGGACTGGTCGGCTTGGAGTCAGTATAATGTGTCTGAGTGGGGTATTCATGCTTCACTGCGGCATGGTATCTCAGTGGGCTAGCACTATAAAAGCAGCTTAAGTCTTGGCTAGTACAAGCACCTGCACATACACATACACACGCATGCACGTTGTCATATGAGCGAAATATTCTCAAGCACGACGTAAAACCCAATTTCACCTCACCTCACTAAGTAGGACAGCGTGTAAGTAAGTTTTGCTCGTTTGTTTTGTGGTTTGTTAACCCTGCAGTCAGCAGTGTCCCTAGCGATTGTGATTTTGAGCATCAAACTCAAACTCATAGTCGTGTAAGAACAGGAAATGAATTTGGAAATTCTAATTTTAAAATGTGTTTGTCCAAATGATACGTATTGATATACGTTGCTGAGTATGTATATTTATGGTGTCGGAAAACAGAATATACACAATGTAGTCGGTTATGCACAGGTTTCCGCAAAATGACGACGTAAAACAACATTAACTTGAACACCTCTCGCTGTTACTCACCGGCAGGATGTCTGTGAAGCTGTCGACGATGGTGAGATCGTGTTGCACGATGGCGATCTGCTGGTCGTTAGTATTGAGGCTGCCGCTGAGCGTGATCTTATCCCCGAGATTGACAGTTGCGTTCTTCAGTACCCGAATTACAGCCTCCAAGCGGATCTACAAGCATACAGTACAACCAGAAATTATTGAGAATTTAAAGATTGTAATATTTTATATTTTTTTCACTCATTACTCACGTATTAAATGTGAATATTAGCAGAACATAACTCCAGATTGAAATACAGGTCAACAGTTAGTATTTTGTCAAGTCACCATGGGCAGCAATGCAGGCTTCAATGCGGCGGGGCATACTACTGATCAAAGAAGTTAGAAAGTCGTGGTCCATGCTGTCCCAATATCGAACCACCTCTTCTTTCATTTCAGCAATATTTGTCAGATTGTTCTTATTGACACTTTCCTTCATAAGTCCCCAAACATTTTCTATTGGATTTAGGTCAGGGCTATAGCTTCGCCAATCTAATAAGGTCATATTTTGGGTCCGAAACCAGGCCTGTGAATGCTTTGAACGATGTTTTGGGTCGTTGTCCTGCTGGAAAATCCAAACATTTCCATAGAACACGTGAGCAGATGGAAGTAAATGTCCCTCGAGAATATCTGTGTACCACTCACTGTTCATATTCCCTTCAAATACACAGAGGGCGTTGCTCCTAACACAGATATGCCACCCACACGTTAAATTTAGGACTGTACTTTGGGCGCTGATACAAAGGTTTTTCAGTTTGTTTGGTCCAGAATTTCAGTGTATTAGGAAACAGCCACACAGAACTTTCATCTGAGAAAGTCACATTGTCCCAGTTAAAATTTCTATGCTGTAAGCACCAGTTCAACCTTCGCTCCTTTTGTTCAGGTTTCATGATCGGTGATGGAATTCCTCGACTATTCTGCCAACCCATTGCATGCAGCTCAGTTCTAATTGTCTCCTTACAGACAGCCACAGTTCCTTTATCAATCATATCCAGCCTTAAGTTTTCTAAACTCCTTCGTTTGTTTTTAGAAACAAGAATACCAATCCGCCTCCTATCACCGACAGTCAATTTTCGGGGCCTACCTGCGCCTCCCTGGTGCTCAATACCATATCCATTTGCAATATTTTTCAAAACACGATAAACAGTGGACAAAGGGATGCCTGTTCTACTTGATATCACTTCAGCTGATCTGATGTCCTTGTTATAATACTCTAAATTCAACTCCCTCTTCTCTAAATCATCCATACCGAGGATCGCTGAAAATGTCGTCTGCTAGCAAGTAAACAAAGGGGGATAACTCTTTACAAACTACTGAAAAAGAATTTACGAAGTTGTCTCTCTTGAATGAAACCAAGCGCTTGATAGCTGGTCAAGGTTGTTTATACTAGAAATCCAATTAAACATATTCCTAAAATTCTCAATAATTTCTGGTCATACTATACAAGGCCAACTGTACTCCAGCTGTCAAACAGCTGTGAGAGGAAAACCGGAAGTGAGGTAAGTCTCGACCTTTACCATTTTGGTGAAACCCTTAAATCGGGCGTGGAGCTTTTGAACCAAGCACTTGTTGAACTGGGTTAATTGCTTTTCTATGTTTCTACTGAGATCTATCAAGCTAGCAAACTCTGTCAGCGTATTTCATATGAACCTAGTATACACCATCGAATGGATGATCGTTCCCAAAAGGGTCCGTTTGGGTAGCCTAGTGGTTAAAGCGTTGGCTCGTCACGCCGAACTTCGCCGAAGATCCGGGTTCGATTCCCCACATGGGTACAATGTGTGAAGCCCATTACTGGTGTTTCCCGCTGTGATATTGCTGGAATATTGCTAACAGCGGCGTAAAATCTAACTCACTCACTCACACTTTAACAAAACAATTTTGATCTGTAATCCCTTTGAAGGATCAAGAACGTTATGATAAACATATTTTTCGTTTACGAATTCTGGGTAAAAGAGTAGAGGACGTGTATAAGTAAATGCCCCTCACCCTGTTAGCCATGGTGTCAACTTTGTCCAAACCGATGTTGCAGACAAAGCCTAATCCCAGCGAAGCAATGGCGAAATCACTGTTCGTCCCCAGGGTTCTGCAATGACATGGACAGAAGTTTCCATTCAGACGAGATTATAAAAATGACAGAAAATGCAAGAATGAAAATACCAGAAAAATATGTAAGATTCTTTGTATCAGATGAGTTCATGCACGGAAATTGTAATGTCAAGGTGATACATGATACAGGCATCACGTGCGATATCAAATGTATCATACAAACGAGTATCTCACAGCTGGTCAGTCTTGTTACGTTTTAATGACGATTTTTTAGTCAAATCCTGTCAAAAAAAGTTGAGTTGAGTTGAGTTGGGCTTTACGTCACATCGGCATTTTTCCAGCCATATAGTGACGAGAACAAGTTTGCATTAGTAAACATTGTAAGTACATACTCGGAATGAGTTTTATTTCAAAGACATATATTGATTACATTGTCATTTAAAAGCAGAGAAAGTCATAACATCAAATTTAAAGGCAGGCAAATTTGTTAGTCACATTTCATAGTTACAATTTATTATACAGATCAACTTCCCTCAGGTAGTTCACTTTCAGATGAGCGCTCACGCGGGAGAACAGATCTTTTAGGTTTGTTGCATCATAATGTGAGTCCCTTGCAGACGATAAGTCCACGCATTCAAGCAGAATATGCTTGATGGTGAAAACCTCATCGCAAGAGACACACATGGGGGGTCCATCCCCATCCGTTTTCAGCAGATAGTCATGTGTAAATCGACTGTGGCCAATACGACATCGTCGTAAAATTACCTCATCACGTCTTGACTGACAACCCAAGTAGGTATAACCGATTGTTGGCTTCAATTCATGGAGTTTGTTTCTTCCTACTTGAGTGTCCCACCTTTTTTGCATCACGTCCCGAGTATAGCTTTTGATAGTGGGTTTGAAATCACTGTACGGGATTAGCAGTGGGAGCTGTCACTTTATACTATCAAGTTTTAACCTAAATAATGAGACATTACTTCTGTGAGAAAGTTCATTCTCAATTATTTCCTGATATAGCTACAAAGGTCATTAAACTGGGAAAGAAAGAACACAATTCGTGTTTGGACGTGGTATCTGAGGAATAGATATGTCTTCAGGCTTCACTAGCAGCTGCCGGTTCCACAGTGTAGCGGCTGGGCACGGACTTCTGAGACCAAACTATTCAGCAACCCGTGGAGATCCGGGTAAGAATTGATCTTCAGTAACCCATGCTCGTCGTAAGACGCGACTTACGGGATCCGGTGGTCAGGCTCGCTGACTTGGTTGACACATATCATCGTATCTCAATTGCGTAGATCGATGCTCACGCTGTTGATCACTGGATTGTCTGGTCCAGACTCGATTATTTACAGCCCGCCGCCGTATAGCTAGAATATTGCTAACTGCGGCGTAAAACTAAACTCACTCACTATTCAGTTGCTGGGATTTTAAATACGAGTGTCACAACCTTGAAATCAAGATGCTTGATCCTCAGATGATTTAGTACTCTATGTTCCCTTATGGCAGTCGGTACACGGTCTCAAACAAGTTAGTATTGGCGGGTCCGGATACAATGCAGGCTGATGTATATTAAACTGGTGTTTACTAACGAGATTTTTTCAGATGTTGATAACAAAGTTACAGTCGTCTTAGGGCCAGTTCGATTATTGCGAAACTGGTTTTGGTTTCTGAAACTGGTTTCTCCTGTTGTAAACGACTGTCTAGTTTCGGATACATGGTTTCGAAGTGAAACTAGTTTCTTGTTTTATAAAAGAGTGTATGGTTTCACCATCCGGTTTCAAAATGGATGCAAAATAAATGTCTCAGCTACTATATATGTGGAACGAATTGAATAACAGCATTGCCGAAGGTGATATTTTTGTCATTTTGTCGGGGAATTAACAAATAATAAAGAGATTATATGCTTTTGCAGATAAAGATTGGCGTATATGTAATAATACTGTTACAAGTAATTATATGTATACAAGTTACATAAAACAGTCACGTACAATAGACTGGGGTTTTAAATTATATTTTCCTAGTTCTCAGTTGATTTTTATCATTACTTGGTTACAGAAACTGCTGTTCTATTTTGCCACCAAGATCAGCTGAACTTTGTTTCCGCCATGTTTGTTGTGAAAGAACGCGAAACAGAAACTGCGAAACCTGCGTCGGAGATGGTTTCGAAGTTTCAGAACCCAGCTTCAGGTTTCGACATAATCGAGTGCATGGTTTGCCAGAAACCAAAACCGGTTTAGCATAATCGAATATGCCCTTAAACTGAGATGACTAAAGACTTCACCAGATGATGAGTTGCTAGTGGAATCCTTCCATTCCCCACGTGGTACAATGTGTGATGCCCATTTCTGGTGTCCTCCGCGGTGATATTGCTGGAATATTGCTAAAATCGGCGTAAAACCCAACTCACTCACTCTAAATTAGAACCTTACCTGTTAATATAATCAACTGTAGTCTGGGAATGAGAAAGACAGGGCATGTTGTCTCCTTTTTCCAACAGCCCCATATAGCGGACCTGAAGAACATCTTTCAGAGCGATTGGGGCCATGACCTTAGCGGTCAGTTCCTGGGTCACTGACAGGGGGACGAAGATGTCTAGGAATATCCTCTTGGCCTGTCCTTTGTTGATATCGCTGGAGTTGTCGGTGTTAGTGATCGGAAGGACCCCAATGGAGATGGTAGAAGCGTTGTTCACAGTCTGCCGAAAGGAAGTTCGAGGTGCGCATTTAGAAATCAGTAATGTGGCGATTTATTCCGATTGAGCACCGTGTTTAAACCAACAATCTATTTTCGGTATGAGCATAGGAAACAGCCGACTCTTGTTGGTTAAGCATTCGGAAAACATCGGAATTTAAAGGATTTTCCGGATGATTTAAAGCAATCGAAGAAATATCGCAGGGTTGAAAAACAAGTTGTGTGAAATAATTATCGATAATCGCACAGATGATATGCTTTCTCGATCAACCTGCGATTTGATCCTTGAGATGGCATATTCACTACTAAATAAACTGACTGTGATAAAAACATATACTCCAGTGTTTAGTGGCAGCTAAAGTGAAACAGACCAAAAAAACCCGTTATTCCATGGTAATGTTTTCAAGACGGGTGTTACAGCTGTGCCCTTAACCTTACGTTTGGCAATGTTTCGGCGACCGTTTTCAGATCAGTAACGTTTCCATAACATTTGTAAAAATATAATTCGTCAATTTCAGTTTTCAATTGTAACCTTTATTTTGCCTGTCAGTTTATTAACTAAGCGAAACATACCAACATGAAGCTTACCGATTAATTTCTGTTTGGATGCAGGAATCATCAATCATGACTTTTCAAAGAACTATTTGCACCAATGTCTTAAAGGAGAATACTAACAAAAACAAAACTTTTCATAGGGGTATGTGCATTCTAAAAGTCACTTATGTGATTGAAACTGAACAAAAAGTTTGTAAAATCGCAATAAATACACACAAAACCGTGCTCGTATTCCGCGTATAACGGAAACACCCGACAGTTAATGGTACCACGTGCCAAGGTTCAGTTCCCTTTGACGATACGGAAGTTGATAGATTTTAATACGAAAGAACGGCCACACTAACCTAGAGGAAATACAAAATCTTACAACTATGTGTATGCACAGAAACAGATAGATTAAATTGACAGTTTAGTTTAAGGAGATTTCCGTCGCATGAAAAAGTCAATACTTAATGTTTTTTTGTGTCAGATACACCCACCGTATTGATGCCTGCGGTGCTCGTGGTTGCCTGGACGGTTACAGTCTGAGAATTGGTTTGCGTTCCGTACGTGGTCAAGATATCAAAGTCGTGACTGCCACCGTTGGTGGCGTCTTTCGACAACTGAACGACGATTTCTACCATGACGGTGTTGTCGTCGAACGTTGGGGACGAGATAAGTGTTGACGTGCCTAAAAAGAAAATATATTTACGGTTCAATACTAGTATTTCAATGTTATTTGACTCTCCATACTTTTTTCAGATTAACATTTGACTTGATATGTGTTTGTGAGGGATGATACTGGATGATCAGCACTATTTGCAAAACACACATGGGCATTTTAGAAGTTGAGGTGACGACGAGTGAAGACGATTCTATGGATATACAACTCCTTATTCTGTTAAAGGCGACGTTTGGACATAGATTCACTTGCTTGAAAACGACATTAGAATCTATGTCGACCTTTCACAGAATACAGAAGTTGTATATCCATAAAACTATCTTCATTCTTAAATCACACATGGTCATGAATATATTGAGTGAGTGAGTTTAGTTTTACGCCAATTTTAGCATTATTTCAGCAAGATTAGCGAGGGCCACACCAGAAATGGGCTTCACACATTGTGCTCATGTGAGGAATAACCATGTCAATTGACAATATGTTTTGCAATACAAATTTATAAATTTGGCGAGAATGCTGCATACTGGACAGTGGGCGTCCAATGGGAGAATCCTTTTCCATTTAACATGAGAGTGTGGTTGCAAATTACAAATTTCAGTGTATTGCAGCTTAAAGCCTGTTCATTGTCCCCGAACTATATCATTTCCGCTTCCTTACTATTATGTTGTAACACTATACGACGCAAGGGTTTTATCACCCACTGGTTGAGTGCTTTGTGTTTGTCGTATATTTCTATTGTCAGACCCGAAGCCTCCTGTTTTCTGGACTCGCTCTTTTTGTGGAATAAGGTGGATAAGGGTCAATTGTCATATCCTGATTTCACAACCATCTTAAAAATATTTGTGTGTTATGTTTGCTGAAATACAGTGTAAAAGTGAAAGACCAATTATGGGGACTGATAATGTACTAACCGACATTGGAGAACATGCCCATATCCAGTGAAGCTTTATTGTTAGGGCCACTTGGAGAGTCCTTGGACAACACGCTTTTCACGTCTTCCTTGACGCAAGGCAAGTTGTAACCCTTGGCGATGATACGGACGGAGCAAATGCTGAGTTTGGCGTCGCTGGTGGTGATGTTGATGGTGTAGTATGCGCTGTCGGTGGGTGCTGTTTTGATGATGAGGGTGTAGACTGCAGCGTAGCCAACCAGGGTCTGTGCGCTTCCGTTGTTGATATACGTTATGTACGGCGGTGTAGCCTGCAATGATAGGAGTGAGTGAGGGAGTAAGTTGGGTATGACGCCGCCGATTTGAACGTTTGTTTTTCAGTTTTATCACGAGATTTATGTGGAAGGAGTATTTTGATCATTTGTCCAACCAACACAAATATACTAAGCAGCAAAAGAAATGTCAGTTGGAAATTTCCTTCGCAGAAACGGATAACTGTAAACTTAATGTTTTGATTGTATATTTTTGACGTCTCCTACTTTACCTGCGCAAAGACATTCCTTCCCAAACTCAGAATGGAACCCAGGAAATGGTCTCAAAAACGCAACCTGATCTCGGAGATGGTACGGTGTTCTCCATGTTTTTCATGCAACTCATGCTGCACGCGCTGTTCACAAGGACCAGCCCTATAAAATTCACCCCCAAACCTGGTTGAAACATTCACATTAACACGTCAGCAGGATGCCGCGACTCACGACAGCTGAGAGGAACCAGGCGCTGGGAAGACTTGAAGCTAGCCTCACTGCACAAGCCGTTGCCAATCACTTCCAGGTCAACGTTCGGACCATCTACAGGCTGCGGCAAGTTTCCGGGCTACCAACACCACAAATGATCGCCCCCGTACTGACAGACCAAGGGTGACAACAAGACGACAAGACCGCCATGTTGTGCGGCAGCATGTACAGAATCCCTTCATGCAGGCATCCGAAACAGCACACCAGGCAGTGGGAACACACGTCAGTACTGATACAGTAGGCCGACGTCTTCACAGCGGGAACCTCAATTGCCGTAGACCTTACGTGGACTTCTCCTCACCCCTCGTCATCGGCGTGAACGTCTCCAGTCTGCCCTACAACACCAAAACTGGCAATACAGGCAATGGAGAACTGTTCTGTTCACAGATGAGAGTCGGTACTGCGTATCAACTGCAGATGGCAGAACAAGAATATGGCGACGACGTGGCCAGCGTTACTCAGACCAATGTGTTATGGAACGAGACTCATGGGGAGGTGCAAGCATCATGGTATGGGGTGGAACAGGCCTGAACCAGAGAGTGGGTCCTGTGGTGTTCCAGAACCTTGGTCCAGGGAGAGGAGGCGGCATCACAGAGGTGCGTTACATCGACACAGTTCTCAGACCCCACGTCATACACCATTTCGCACGTCACCGGAACAAGATTTTCCAGCATGATGACGCCCGGGCCTATACTGCCAGACCTACATGGGACTTCCTACAGCAGAACAGTGTCAACATTATTCAGTGGCCAGGCCTTAGTCCTGATTTAAACCCAATTGAACATCTTTGGGAACACAGCCGATTTATTGCGCCAGGGCTTTCGTCAGAGTGTGGTTCCAGGTGCCAATGGCCTTCATCAATCGATTGGTGCACTCCATGCATAGACGCTGTGCTGCAGTTATTGTCGCTCGTGGTGGTCACACTAGATACTGAAGTCAAAAGTCTGAATGGACTGTAAACGTTCACGTAATGTCTTGAAATCGTGCTGAGTTATTCATTGATGTGTCAAGATATTGTACACAAAACATGTTTTTGTAGTGATTTGATTTCTGTAATGATTTGATTACAGTGCCTATCTAATTTTGAATTCATACTGACGTTTTTTTGCTGCTGAGTATAGTATTGTTCTGTCGAACCTGAAAACGTAATCAGATCGAACCGAACTTAAAATCCTTAATGAATTACACGCTGCCCCTCGCAACTCTGCTGGTCAGAGCATTGCCTTTACGAACCACCTCTAAGCCAAGAGCATTGCCGCTACGTACCGCCTCTAAGCCAAGAGCATTGCTGCTACATACCGCCCTTAACCCAAGAGCATTAATCCCCCTGCTACTAACTCCTCTAAGCCCAGAGTATTGGCCCCTGCTACTTACCCCCTCTAAGCCCAGAGCATTGACCACTGCTAATACCGCCTCTAAGCCCAGAGCATTGACCACTGCTAATACCGCCTCTAAGCCCAGAGCATTGACCACTGCTAATACCGCCCCTAAGCCCAGAGCATTGACCACTGCTAATACCATCTCTAAGCCCAGAGCGTTGACCACTGCTTCTTACCGCCACTAAGCCCAGAGCGTTGACCCCTGCTACTTACCTCCTCTAAGCCCAGAGCATTGCCGCTACATCCCGCTTCTAAGCCCAGAGGATTGACCCACCCTACTACTATAGCCTCTACCCCAGAGTATTGACCACTGCTACATACTGCCTCTAAACCCAGAGCATGGACCCCCCTGTTACTTACCGCCTCTAAACCCCGAGCATTGATCCTCAACTACTTACCGCCTCTAAGCCCGTGGTGGTCAGAGCATTGACCCCCAACTACTTACCGCCTCTAAGCCCGTGGTGGTCAGAGCATTGACCCTCAACTACTTACCGCCTCTAAGCCCGTGGTGGTCAGAGCATTGACCCTCAACTACTTACCGCCTCTACGCCCGTGGTGGTCAGAGCATTGACAGTCAACTACTTACCGCCTCTAAGCCCGTGGTGGTCAGGGCATTGAGCCCTAGCTGTCCCACCCACATCATTTTCTCGGAGAACATGACCCCCGCGCTGATCCAGTGCTGGCTGGCGTTGGTGCTGAAGGAGGAGTGGTCGTGCACCTGCACCACTGTTTCCAGGACCATCTTGTCCTCAGCGGTATCGTTCATCACCTCAAAGTTGCACAGCGAAGCCATGTTGATGATTGTTCGATCACTCAGCCCCTCCACGTACCTGGAACAGCGAGTGGACTGCAGTTAGTGGGTGAGCTTCGCTACGCTTAAGTCCCGAGTTCGATTCCCTTCATGGCTACAAAGTGCTAAAAGCGGCGTGACGAGCAAACCACCAGCCTACCTCACGAACCCTCTTATAAAGTACAGTCAAAAGCACTCTTGTGTCGAAATTGACCGTGCTTCGAGATGCGACACAATCGCAAATCGTGATTGAATCATGGAACGCAAGGACCAAGAATGTTGTTAGTCAAACACTGTGACGTAGAAGTTAAAGGGATCTAAGCCAAAACAATCAATTTTGACACAATACATGTAAAAGACCAAGCTTTTAAATCGAGAAATACTGGTTAGTAAATAAACGAGTCTGGACTAGAGAATCCAGTGGTAGACAACATGAGCCTCCATACGCAGTTGGAATACGATGGCATGCACCATGTATCTACAAACTCCGAGACACTGACCACGCGATCATGTTAGTCGCCTCTTACCATAAGCATTGGTTGGTGGTCAAACAATTCAGATATGGTTAGGCAGATACGTCTACATCCCGTCTCAAAGTTTTCAAAATCAAGGGAATTCGATGACTGAGTTCGAACCCAGTAGTAGTATGATACAATCACTCTCGGTGACTTGGCCCCGATGTGGGGGTTCCCCGATGTGGGGGATCTTTGCATGTACGTTGTGGTGGACTACGTTAGTCACAGACCACTGTAACTCAGGTTGCCATTGCGGCGTTAATCGACATACACCTGACGTTGACGTCAATGTTGTTTTCAATGTGAACTACAGGGACGCACTTACTTGTACGCGTATTGTACAGCTTTGTTTACAGCAGATTTCGTTGCACAAGGAAGGTTCTTGCCAGCTGAGGTGACTTCGGTCCTACAAATAGTTATCGGGGAGTGGCCGTCGCCGGTGGTGTCGTTGGGCATGATGAACTCGATGTCCATGACGGGGAGTAAGACATTTCTCGCTGTGGTTATTTCAAGAGCTACTTTACTGGCGCTCCCAACATACACGTTCTCGCCACCGGACGTGTATTGCATTTTCATTGTGGGAACGCTGTCATTCTGAAAACAAAATCCAGAATTAGCACATAACGCCGCTTCAACGCCGCTTTGAGCAGATTTATGTTAATTTTGCATCAAGCCGTGGCCACTTGAGAAGGAACATGTCGTTTACCACTTTTCTAAAATAATCGAAAACGGGTTCAACCAAACCTGAAAACATAATCAGGGCGACAGGCCAAACAGTTGTCGATATTGCGAGCATCGAGACAAGGTCAAGGTCATCATTTATGTCACTGGCCTGAGCTGAGTGTTCATGCAATGTCTACAGTTAGTAGCCATGTTGGCCACCGGATCTACAAATGTGATGGTTCAGTGCTATGTTAAAGCAAAAGGGCTATTCACTACAAGGCTGTATCTACTTGCCTCGTACAAAGCGGTGTATGTAACAAGTTCAAATCTGGCTCGTACTGCATAGAGTAACACTTCTGTATACTATACATTGAACATAAATGGGGCACAAACACACCCTAAATAGAACCTCTGTTGTCATGTCCACGACGGATATCGCAACAAAGCAGCAAGAGGACTGTGCATTGGATCTATGGTGCATGGATAGGACCAAACACATCGATGATCCCAAGCAGCATGAGGACCTAAAACTACTCCAGCGTACAGAAGTAAGTCGTCCGATATATATCAAGGTAAATTCCCCCAAACTTCATTTCCTAAATTATCACGAACCTACACTTCAAAGGGAAAATTCGCAGTAGGTCTATAAGCATTACATCGTGTCATTCATATTTCATTAATCCGTACGACTTCACGGAAAACGACGCCATCGGAATTAACCTTGTTTCACTGTCAAGACACGAGTAACCTACCGCGACATCAGCAGACGCTGCGGAAGCCTCAACGTCAATGGAAACTTGGTGGAGGTTTAGTTGGGTATCTTCCACATAGAGAGCTATGTCAACATTGTGCGGAGCGCCAGTTAACGAAATGTTTGTTCCTTTGACCAAGACTTGAAATTTAACCATGTTGGAATCAGCAGTTGTGTTGATAGATGACCACTGGCCGACGTTGGTGACTCGTTTCAAGTCCAAGGTAGCAGAATCCACGACCGTACCACCGGCTTTCCTGAAATAGTAACAGAACCAGTATGAGAATGTACAGCTATATCATATCGAACAGAACATATCGAAACAAAACAGTGGTTGATATTATGAAGGAGTGAGTGACTGAGGTTAGTTTTACGCCGCACGCGAGCAATATTCCAGCTATATGGCGGCGGTCTGTAAATAATCGAGTCTGGACCACATATTCCAGTGATCAACAGCATGAGCATCGATCTGCGCAACTGAGAACCGATGACATGTGTCAACCAAGTCAGCGAGTTTAACCACCAGATCCCGTTAGTCGCCTCTTACGACAAGCATGGGTTACTGAAGATCAATATTCTAACCCGGACCTTCACGGGTTATTATGAAGGAAGTTTTGCGGTAGGTATAAAGTGGTTGAAATTACGAACTCCAGCATACATCACTACCGATAACAGGGGGCACAGCATGCATCACTACTGATAACAGGGGGCACAGCATGCATCACTACTGATAACAAGGGGCACAGCATGCATCACTACTGATAACAGGGGGCACAGCATGCATCACTACTGATAACAGGGGGCACAGCATGCATCACTACCGATAACAGGGGCACAGCATGCATCACTACTGATAACAGGGGCACAGCATGCATCACTACTGATAACAGGGGGCACAACATGCATCACTACTGATAACAGGGGGCACAGCATGCATCACTACTGATAGCAGGGGGCACAGCATGCATCACTACTGATAACAGGGGGCACAGCATGCATCACTACCGATAACAGGGGGCACAGCATGCATCACTACTGATAACAGGGGGCACAGCATGCATCACTACTGATAACAGGGGGCACAGCATGCATCACTACTGATAACAGGGGGCACAGCATGCATCACTACTGATAACAGGGGGCACAGCATGCATCACTACCGATAACAGGGGGCACGGTTGGCCCAGCTGAGTAAAGTGCCACAATTCGATGTTTTGAGTTACGCACCTTTGGCACACCAGAAACCTGTGATCGTGGTTTCGATTTCCGGTTTGCCCGCTTATATATCACTCACCTCAGCTTTTCTACTCTAAATTAATGTACAATAACAGTTGAATACACAGAAAATATAACAACTTTGTCCATGTTTCGACGTTTGCGTGGTGATGTTTGTGGCTTTGTGACTACTATCCAAACCACCACCACCACCACCACCATCATCATCCATTGGCAGTATGGCAGTTGTCCCTTATTTTGTTAGGGCCTCTTACAATTAGATAAAATTAAAAACAGTACATAAATGACAATGGGATGCCTATTTCACATGAATTCTTAAAACAAAAATTAGAGAACGTCAGTGTACACCTGGCCTCATAGTGACTCGGGGTGCTGGGGTCGCCTTGTAATTAAAACTTTCGGTCGTCACGCCGATTCCCCACGTGAATACAATGTGAGAAACCCATGTCGTGTACCCGCCGTGATATTGCTGGAATATTGCTAAACTCACTCACTCTCAGCGATTCCTTTTTTACCTGATTTTATACTCAGCTTCCAGTTCAAGGTCAACGCATGGAAGGTGATTGCCGGCGAAGGACACCCGCACGCTGCACACTTGCAGCAAGGGGTTTTGGGAAGCATCCAACGGTCCCAGAACTTCAAGTCTGTATGAATTCGTGGAAGATTCAGGTAGCTCTGCCACAGCTTCAATGATGACGGGCGTACTCTCGGAGGTCTTGTCAGTCACAGCAGCTGGCGCAGGGAAGGTGACTCCCGTCTTGGGTAAAAAACAAATGGATGATAAATAGATAGATAATACTATATTTTCACTGAGCTGATTTCAGCTAAACTGCTCATAAAGGATTCCATACGATAGTTAGTATCGCGGTCCATATATCAGTGTGCGGTTTTCGTTCTCAACTCCCGGGGAATAATACAACCTGCTCTGACTGTGTGGTGGTAGAAGGTTAACGGACATCCTACTATAGCTTATGCTGTATGCGGGGCTGTGGAGTAGCTTAGTGGTGAAAGCATTTATCGTCACACCGAAGACCCGGGTTCGATTCCCCACAAGGGTACAATATGTGAAGCCCATTTCTGATGCCCCCTGCTGTGATATTGCTGGTGTATTGCTAAAAGCGAGTTAAAACCATACTCACACACTCACTATACTGCATACGCTTTATACGGAAAAACACATTTTCTACATTTATACTGGGAAAATACGGATGCCAAGCTTTGTTGCGTGATTCGGGAAGAACTAGTTCGAAAGATGTCACCTTGTGCAAGTCGAGATAAGCCATCAGAGACTAGTTGAATGCTGTGACAGAAGTGAGAAACGTAAAACGCTGGGCCCTTATTCTCGAAACGTTCGTAGCTCTAAGAATTCTTAACTTTGATCGTAGTCAATGTGTTAAGAATGGGCTTAAGAAGTTCGTAGAGCTACGAACGTTTCGAGAATAGCTAGCCAGTTCTACTTACTGAACTTCCGGCCACTTTGGCAGTGGCGGCGATCTTGAGCTGCCCTGCCCAGATCTGGTTGGTTCCTATCTCCAACGCTGCTCCCAACCAGTAATCCTGCCCCACAAATGAATCGTCTTCGAACAGGTGAGCTACGAACTCAAGGGTCAGGCGATTGTCGGCGGTTGGATTGCCATTCTCCCTCATACCTGGATCAAAGAACATTAGTTTATCTGTAAAGTGAGACACATGTCACTTATATTCGGGGCCGTGAGGATCCGCGTTAGAATGTGTCTTCAACAACTCATGCTTGTCGTAAGAGGAAATTAACGGGATCTGGTGGTCAGGCTCGCTGACTTGGTTGACACATGTCATCGCATCCCACTTGCATAGATCTATGCTCATGCTGTTGATCACTGGATTGTCTGGTTTGACTTGATTATTTACAGACCGTTGCCATATAGCTGGAATATTGCTGAGGGACAACAAACATCAACAACTTATATCAGGTTTAATGATGTCGATGATTAACAGACACAGTAAAACAAAACAGAAATATAGGATTCAAACTCACGACAACGGATCCAGGGTGAAGCGTAACGCAACACTACATAGATCTGCGCCTATGGTCACATGGTCATCCTTGCTTAAGGATATCGACATGAGGTGTTCCAAGTGATTTACAGTAAATACAAGTATTATCTAAAGATCTAAATATTCCGTAACCTACGTTTCTACATTGTTACATTTCAAAATGGGGAGAGCACAGCGTAAATGGCAACATGCCTGTGTTCTTAGCAACGGTACAATCTTCTTACAACTGCTTTTATGTTGTTTGCTGTGAACAAAGCTTGGGGCCCTTTTATGGACACCCTCAAAAACAGATTTTCCCATGCTTGGTTTTGTACATACAACCAGGAGACACTGGAGGTTGGTTTTATGTAATAATTGGGTTGTTAACACAAATGTCTAGGGTAAATATTTATGACGTCAATTTCTACTGGAGTTTTACCTTTATTAATAGCCTTGCCAATTTCAAGGCGAGCCCGAGAGTTGCCCTTGGTATTGCCTTCTTTGTGAAGCGTGTGAGTAGGGGATGTTATGTCGAAGCCGCAGTCGTAGTTGACGGCGACGTCCTTGCCTTTTACGGCGCAGATGGACATGACGTTGCTGGTGTTGAGGGGAGCAAACGCGTCAAAGCTGAGTGTGACTGCGGGGTACGGCATGTATATGTCCACTCTGAATACGGCCGAACTTCCTATGCTCATCTGGTCGGGACCAGTGAAGTTGATGGTTGGTGTGGTTGGGAATGTCTGTGAAGAGAAACGCACACACTTAATGTTGTTTTACACTAACTTGGAAATAACTAATGTCCGAATCCACACTTTGGTGTGAATATTTGTTAGGAGAAACGTTACGATTGAAGTATTTTACGAATAACGCGATATCACATTAGCATTATAATAACTGAGTTCTCTGTAATGCTGTAGGATGTGTTTAGATCCAACACAAAACGCGAACGCATTCATAACCTTCACTCGCCGGGGAATGAACATGTTTAGGATCGTGTATTTAGCTACATGCGTGTAGTGTACAAATTCGGGTAAACATTGTATCTCCCCTTAACATTTACTGGAGGCAATATTCACAAACGGCGATGTATGTTCTTAGTGACTAAAATCACGAAGGTTTTCTGGCGGATTTGATAAACGGTGTTCATGCTCCATTTCCTACTCTCTCTCTCTATAGGAGAGAGATCAGGTGAATTTGCAGGTGAGGGCGATTAAACTGCTTAAACCACGAGGGCATACTTATGTAATACGCGTGTAACGTATTAGGCATGATGAAGATTATCAAAATGAGTACAATTTTATTGTTTTAAAATAGAAATAATTGCCCTAGGGCAGTTATTCAGTTGTGCTAATGAAACACTTCCAAGAACAACGGACATAACTTTCCCTAGTGGTTTAATTGAAGATTGTACTATTGTTCAAGTCGGAGCAACTCGGGCCGTGTGAGGACGGGCATGAATCTGTTGGGTCATATATTTATGCTTTTATTCCTCCATAGGAGAGTACACAGGAAAATTGAGATGAAAAGAGAATATGAAATATATCAATTTACGTATTTACACAGTTAATGACGCGGGTTTTCATTACAGTCTATATTTTTGCTTCAAGTTCAGGTGATAGAGTCACAGAGCTCGTACAGTCCTTTGACTATGTGACTGGCATATTCCAAATGTTCATCCTCATTTAGGTGAGTCGGGGATGTGCATGACAGCAAGCAACATACGAGGTCATGGTCATCTTTCTCCAGGAGAGTCACCGTTGTTTCAATGGCTCCATAACTTAGGATGTCACACCACAGTTTGTCTCTCTGCACAGTTGCCCGTGGGCACACACACACTTTGTGAATCAGGTGATCCAGATAGTTCTGCCCACACATATTACAACCACACACTGTATATGGACGCCACAGAGCAGCGAGGTGTACAATTAAGGAGGAGTCTAATTAACCTATTCAGACAATGACCTACTTTTCAGCCGATCCGAATTTTCTCGTGTGAAAGTGAAAATAGACATCACAAACGACTATGGTTACACTGAATTCCAATTCCTTGTTTCATTTACAAAATGAATTTCAACTTTAAACTTCAATAACATCGTATTTCTATATGTTGTGGCGAGGTGTAGGCAGCATGACCTTAACTAAGACGTCACAGACTGCCCCAGTTTGATGAGGTCGTAAAATGATTCACACCTGTTATGTGTTTTTGGCGCTTATTCAGTGTAGTTTTGTAACGCACAATGTGATTGATATAATATCAAGTCCGTACCAGACCGCCAAACTGTTCTAGCGGCAGAGCCTCGATTTGAGATTTCCACGATTTCCAGGTTTATGTTTGTCAGTGCTGGTTGTACGACAGTCACGCTGCACATGTTTGCAAGAATAATAAGGAGCGTAGTGTTGCAATATACACGTGCTTAGAAGTATCAAATAATACTGATTAATATTTATGTATCCAGATATATGAATTGGTCTCAACATTCTGGACTGGTTATTGTACTAAGTTGCGCAATAGGACGGAACCCAGTCAAACAGGTTGCGAGACTGTTGTGTAATTGATGTTTTGACTTGAACAACTAAAGGGGTTCTCTGACGTGCACTTTTCCCTCCCCGAATCATCACGGAACCAGCCCCAAAATGATTCCTCTCCAAGACACAGGCTTAAACATAACGATCCCCAAGACGTTTGTAAACGCTTTGTTCTGCCACAACAGGATTTCTTGACTACCAAAAACAACAGTCCTCCGTCACAATCGACGTTGACGAACATGATTTCGGCACCACCTTTGACAGTTTTCTCGTTGACGTTGAGTCAGGATAGGCCGAATTTCGGGACGACGTGGTCGTATCCCGTAATAATATAGATCATTTGTAATGCGCTTGACTCCACAACACTTGGCCATGCTCTAAGCGTAAACACAAGACAGTCAGTAGCGAAGAAAAAGAAATGTCTTTAGATGAGATTTGAAACTTGAGAGAGTTGGAGCAGATTTGATGTCTGTAGGGAGAGAGTTCCACAGGCAAGCAGCTGAATGTTTGAAGGATCTATGTCCGAAAGTTTTGAGTTTATATGGAGGCACAACAAGCAGTGATTGATCGGCAGATCTGAGATTCCTCGGTGGGACGTAGGGTGAGACAAGGGCTTGGAGATAGAGTAGAGCAGTTCCATTTAGTACTTGGTAAGTTAGAGTTAAAATCTTAAACTCTATTCTTTCCCTAATTCTCGACCAGTGGAGAGACTTCAATGCAGGCTGGATATGACCAGATAGTTTTGTGCGCGTGATAATCCTTGCGGCGGTGTTCTGCAGTTTCTGCAGTCTGTGAAGTTGGTCACTGGTAATACCAATCAAGAGACTATTGCAGTAGTCTAACCGCGACAATACTAGGGATCTCATCAGTGTGGCAGTGGTGTTTCTAGTAAGGAGGTGACGGATAGAACCAACGTTCCTGAGGTGGTGGTGGCAGATCTTTGATAGGTGGTTAATATGCTTCTCCATGGATAGATTCTCATCTAAAACACACCTAGGTTTTTAACGCAATGAGAAACAGGAATTTCTACATCATCGATCTGAAGATGACGTAAGCGGTTACTGCATGGGTTGATAACCATCCTGAAATGGTGCGAGCAGTGGTCACCGCGGTCAGGAACCTCTGTCAGACATGGGTCACTCATATCTATCTGTCCTGTCGCGGTGTGGTGGCGCATGGACTTCGTGCACGTAGGCGATCAGGACTCCATGTTTTTGTGATAACGCCTCCACGGTGCTGAAATAGCGTTTTGGTTTCATCGGAAATGTGCAGTCACCTGACGTTGATAAATTCCCCCACGGATCACCCTGATAGCCTCATGACGTTGTGGATCGTGTGTGTTGTGTATTAGTCGTTTAATTTTGTCAACGATCAAACGTCAAACAATTCAGCTTTTCAAATCGACAACAGGTTTTTCGTCATTCATCGACAGTAACAGGGCTACTTCCGGGTCTCTCTTTGCATGTGCCAGCTTGCGATATGTGAGACGGGGCCGAGCTTACTTCCGGTACCAGATTTCCGGTGACAAGCGTATAAACAAGAACCAGTTCTGGTTCCAAATTGCGCGACCGCCAAATACGACTTAACTAGACCAGACCAAGTTTACGTTGTTTGTCACCGGGAGTACTTACGTCTCGCGAAGTGCCGTGACCTATTTATCAAGATGCACATGTACAAACGTGTTGCACGTGCCAAAACTGAAACCACGTACGTCACGAAACGAACCACAAGCATGTGTTCATTTCAATTAAATACTTACTGTGTTGATCTGTATTTGAGTGCACGTGTAGTTCCAACACGTATTTTTATTTCCAAAGTCCACAGTTTGTGTGTGGGCTGTGTAAAATAATGGGGTCACCTAAATAGTTTAAATTGTCATCATGTAATTTCACTGTCAGCTTCCGTCTCTTGCATGATTACTCTCATAATAATCACATTACTCGATTACTCCTATAACAATAACGCATTTGTGAATACAGCTCTCTAAAACATTGCCACATGCACCTACATGATCTTGAATTGTAATCCTTCATACTACCACCGTTTTTCTAGTCACTATTAACTTGAAATTGCTACTTGTCTATGTTAATACCGTACCAAGTACGTTGTACGTCCTGTTCAAATATGTCTTATGAATAGGATTTGATATCTAATTTCACTACAGAGACAACTACAGTTATAACGAACTCAAAGCAACCTCCGATTTTACTTTGTAATAAGACCCGTGAAAATCAGGGGTAGACTTGGCCTTTAGCTACCCACGCTTGCTCTAAGGGTCAACTAAAGTGATCAGATGGTCAAACTTGGTTGACACATGTCATTATATCCTCATTGCGTAGATCGATGCTCATGCTGTTGATCACTGGATTGTCTGATCCAGAATGGATTATTTACAAACCACCGCCATATAGCTGGAATATTGCTGAGTGCGACGAAAAACAACAAACAACTTATAGAAGATTCTGTGTACAAGAAGCCAACTTTCAAGGATCAGATCAAACAAGCACTTATTACCACTCTCACTAGAAGCCAAGTCAAACACCTGTTGATAGAAACTATTCATCAATATCTGAGCCTCTCGTTATTTGGTAGTGAATATCCACTTAAGCTTTCAAAATCTATGCTAAATGAGTTTTGGAAAGATACTCTAAATGCTTTTGCCAAATATAGTTATAAAAATAAACCAAATACCTATAAAGAGTTCCTTAGTTCCTTTTGTATAACAGAAACATAATTATGAACACGATATTGTTAATATTTATAACAACAGTTCATTATACCCATTGCGGTTAAAGCAGTAGCAAGTGGCCGTAGCGAAAACGTCAGTTCGCTGTAACGTCCTTTATCAGTTTACTGTATATTATTCATCTTATCCAGGTTTGACCATATGATTTGTTAAACATCTGTAACATATACTAGGCACATAAAGAAACTGTGCATACAAAAGTTTAATATCTAAATTTATCAAACCTTTGTAGACGCATAAGGATTTAAACTCAGAGATTAGTGACATGTATCCAACATGCATGCACGTGCCACGTTCCGTGACGTCAGTGGGTTCGTCCTTGAGACGTGCAATACGTTGTTGCACGTGCATTCCGGGAAAGAGAAACAGAGCAATGAATGCCACACAATACTGTCACTTTGGAAAGCTCAACCCCTGCCCTTGGGATCGTTCAAAAAATTAAACGGCTATTGAAACGCATAGCATGCCAAGGCTCACGTCTGCAGAACGTCATGAGGCCATTGGGATGGTCCGTGGGGGAATGTCTCAACGACAAGTGACTGCATATTTCCACTGCCACCGGAACACCATTTCTGCACTGGTGAAACGCTACGAGAACACAAATGACGTCATTGATCGGCCACGTTCTGGACGTCCACGTGTAACAACGCCAAGACAGGACAGATGGATAAGGGTGACCCTTCTTCGCCACAGGTTTCAGACTGCAGTGATGACTGCCCGAACCATCCCAGGACTTCGCCGTATCCACCCCAACACAGTTCGACAATCACAGGATCAGACTACGACGTCCCGCCATACGGCCTATCCTGACACAACGTCATCGACAAGCTCGCCGAATGTGGTGCCGAAATCATGTCCGCAGACCCTTGTTTTGGTGGAGAAATGTTGTTTTGAAAGATGAGTCCAGGTTTAACATTTCCCATAGTGATGGACGCCAACGTGCATATAGACGCGTGAGAGAACGTTATGCGCAGGCCTGTGTCTTGGTGATTGTTCAGGGCAACTGAGAGGAATCGCTTTGATGGTGGTTCCGTGATGATTTGACTTACTGGGTGGAATAACAGCACGCCTTGAAAGAACTCCTTTGGTGATTGTTCACCTCTGTCCCGGGCAACAATTAGGAGATAAACAACTGGTGTGTGGCTACAGGGATCAGATTCTTCGACCTGACAATGATGGATCATAGTATTATAGATAAAATGGAAGGAATTATGATGATATCGCAAATCCCAGGAGCCCTAGTTACAGAAATGAGCGGTCCGCTGATTCCTTAACTAGGGCAATTATCAGTTCTGTTGTCATTACCAGAATAATACTCAATGATTATGCAGTTGTTTGAACTTAAAATTTAAATTTATGATACTATTTTTTTGTTGGATAGGGCAAAATTTTGTCGTGAACATGTTTAAACATAAGGAACAATCGATATGTATGAACAACTTGTTATTGCTGTGAGAGCGACGTTTCGGTGTAGGTTCTAACACCCTTATCACGAAAGTTATCATGCTCACTGCTCCAACTTCTAAATGCCTCTCAAAGAAATTATGTTTATACTTCAGAATGAAAGAGTAACTCCTACACATGTTTAGACCATGGGGATGTTGTTCAGGTTGTGTTTAAGCTCTGTCTCCTATGTATGTATTGTTAGCGCTAACAAGCTAACAAATAAGCGGGTTCAATTAGGCAGACAACACTGTCATACATTGATACACACACCACCCACATCCTCCACATCAATGGTGTAGATCCCCCTCTCTCTCTCTCTCTCTCTCTCTCTCTCTCTCTCTCTCTCTCTCTCTCTCTCTCTCTCTCTCTCTCTCTCTCTCACACACACACACACACACACACACACCTACACACACACGTCTAGACATACATTACCTCAACATCAATGATGCAGGTAAAGCTGGCTTGACCAACCCATACGTCGGCTTCGTAGTTGTACTCGGCGCCGGCGCTCACCCAATACTTGCTGCCGTTGCTGGGAACGGTGTCCAGCATCACTGCGTCGTAGTTGATGACGATCTGGCTCTGCTTTATATCTGTTGTGTCAGCCCCGCTGTTGGTCACGTTGCCGAGGTTGATGACGGCGCGATCAATCTAAATGAGAAGGACAACCGGTCTAGTTTAACACCCTATTAAGTCCAGTGTTCAGTTGGTGACGTGAACCCAAAATGACCCTGTTCCCTCCGCATTCGTCACCACTCGCTCCTTTCCGTAACCTTTCAGTAACACGAGTTGGTCACGAATGCTCCGTCAGGTCAGCCGCATTGGTACGTAGTGAGGGAGAATAATATGACGGGTAAGATTTAACACGAATTAATGAATTTGATTCATATCGCTGTAGAAACTTCATCATTGTATTTGTCAACAAGAAGTGGTTTTATAACTAAAAATACTTGTGTACTTGGACATAAATGACCTTCTTGTGAGTTCCTTCCACTATATTTGTGGTTTGGAATCGAAATGTGTCATGCAAACGGAAGGACTTCCGTTCTTTGAAATAAATGGGCCGCAGCTGTCACATGGCTGGAATTTTACTAAAAGCGGTTATAAAACAATAACCACTCATTCACTCAACCCCAAAATACAGTAATAAATAGCGGAGAGCAATAGGAATCAGGAACACGTGCTTGATGAACGTCATCTGACTTACATATAGGTTATTTTCAATACTGTGAAGCTCGGGCACTTCAGTTCCGTCTATTTGAAGATTGGTCCCCTTCGATGCTACGTTCACCCCACAGAGCATCATGATGATCGTCTCGTTGTCCGGGGTGAACAGCTCCACTAACATGTCGGTTGTGCTTGTGGGGAAAGTAATGGTCAGCTCAAAGGAAATCTTCTGGCCAACTTTCATGTCCGTCTTGTTGGTGTGGGGAGCCAGTTTTACGAGATCAAATGTTACATTTGCCGGAGGTGTTCCAGCAGCCTGAAACGACGTATACGGATATATATGAACACATGTAAATTTTACGCATAGTGGAAAAAAGATCACATCACGAATCATGAAATGTGTTTAATATAATACACTTACACCAAGAATCTTCTCAGATGCATATGCTCCATTATTTTGGTTAATAATTCCTTATTTTCACCGCGGAGAGCTGAAGAATTTAATACAATATTTAGATGTGTACACGAAATGCATCCTTATTTTCCGTATACACATGTTCACATGTTTCAGTAATCCAAGGACATAGGAACCTTTCAATCACTCTGTAGTGATGAGGATCTGACACATTTTAACATCCACACTAAACTAACTGACGCTACATACACAGACTAATACGAAGCCTGTTCATCACGTTTCACGCGTCAAGCATAATGTGTTTCTTTGTCGAATCAAACTGAAATACTATAGTAGTTTCAAATCCTAACGACTGAACGCACGCACGTGTTTTGGTATTTGATGCCATTTTGCCAAATATTACAGCAACAAAATCGAATATTCGTTCTTAAAGTATATCAGAACGTACCGCCTGTTGAGAAACTTTACTTACTCTTTTCGATATGTGGTGGTCATAGCCGTTGTTGTCGCCATTGTTGTAGGCGTCGTTTGCCTCCCCAACGAGGGATTTGATGCTCAAGGTCATCTCGACGGCGTTGGTGTCGGTGTCGTCTTTGTTTTCAGCAATGACGGTGACGGTGTAGTGTTGACGTTTGAGCCTTGACGAGTCCAATACCCGAATGTCACCTGTTGAAGGGTCAATCTTGAACGTGTCAGTATCGTCTTCCAGTGTGTACACGATGTGGTCACAGGGGCAGTCGCCAGACACACATGCTGTGGCGTGGTATATAACGTCATCACTGCTGGCCTGATCTGGGGTCAACTCACTCACTTGGTACGACATTTCAAAGTTCGGCTTCGGCTTCACTGTTCAGAGAAAACAGGAAACATTCTAAATAAACTAAAAAAGTACGGGTCAGGATATTTTGTGGTAAGTAGCAACCAACCTAAAATACATTGTAGAATCATATCAGTGAAGTTGCTAGACATTAAAACTGTAATACCGCCTGCATTAACACTGCAGTGCCACCTAGTTCAAAATGTTATACCGCCTGCATTAACACTGTAGTATCACCTAGTTCAAAATGTTATACCGCCTGCATTAACACTGCAGTATCACCTAGTTCAAAATGTTATACCGCCTGCATTAACACTGCAGTACCACCTAGTTCAAAATGTTATACCGCCTGCATTAACACTGCAGTACCACCTAGTTCAAAATGTTATACCGCCTGCATTAACACTGCAGTACCACCTAGTTCAAAATGTTATACCGCCTGCATTAACACTGCAGTACCATCTAGTTCAAAATGTTATACCGCCTGCATTAACACTGCAGTACCACCTAGTTCAAAATGTTATACCGCCTGCATTAACACTGCAGTACCACCTAGTTCAAAATATTATACCGCCTGTATTAACACGGCATTGTTGCATTTTCAAAAGGCCATACCGCCTACATAAACACTGCGGTTTCACATAGATACAAATACATGCTGCCAACAGTGACCACTTACCGTAGTCACTGCAACATGGGCCCGTGTAACATGCCTGGCAAGTTGTCCCATCACCGCTGAACTTGCTGGCGCCTTTTGTGCTGAAAAAATTATATTTAATCGAAAATGATAGTGGGTTGATTGTCACAAGAGTTATTATGCAATAACTAGATTCCTGATGTGTTATCGCGGGAATATTTTGTAGGGATAATATCCTTCATTAGGAATAAACGTGGTATTTAGCCAGCCCAAAACATAAAAAGCGTGATTACCTTTTTTAAAATCTCATCCTTTACCTGCCCTTTATCAAAGGGAAAAGGTTCCAAGTTTGTAGACGTCACGTCACATCTGTTCAACGTCAACTGGCCATTGCGTTGTCATAACGTCCCAAAATGCAGGCACATGTCTCACATAGCGTCAAAACGACTGGCTTTAGATGGAACCTGATCCCCCGATCCTTTGTTTTTTCATTGTGCGTTTGACATTTCTGTTTGCATCGATCCAAACCGTCAGGGTATGACACCATGCTATCTGACAACCCGATCACCATCCGTCACGACCAGAAGCCTTGAAGATCCGGGTTACAGTTGGTCTTCAGTAACCCATGCTTGTCGTAAGAGGCGACTATCGGGATCGGGTGGTCAGGCTCTCATAGTAGGTTGACACATGTCATCGTATCCCAATTGCGGAGTTCGATGCTTATGTTGTTGATAATTGGATTGTCTGGTCCAGACTCGATTGGTTACAGACCGTCACCACGCAGCTGGAATATTGCTGAATGTGGCGTTAAACAAGAGACAAACAAATCTTACGACCAGGATAGGCTGTTCGGGATTTAAACAGGAATCAGGAATTATTGTTTTCCTTCATACAAATTCATTGACATATGGATTCAAGTCAAGTGTTAATTCTGTATGAAGGCCACAGGCCCACCTACAACATTCATTGACACTGAATGATATTGGTATTCATTGACACTGAATGATATTGGTATTCATTTGGTACATGAGTTTACGGATTAACATTCCAAGTTTACAACATTTCTCGCTTCTTCTATGCACAATACTAAACGTTTGGCAACATTTTCATTTTTTTGAAGTCATAAACATTTGAAATGTATGCCTATTTTGTTAATTACAGTGAGACACTGGGAACACAGGACCTAATGAAGAGAAATTTACACACAATGGACTTCTATACCTGAATATCGGACATACACTTTGGTACAAATTAATAGCAATTCCTGCGTATATTTTCAATCAATCCTGTTCTCAGCTTTATAAAAAAAACCTATTTCAATACTTGTATCCATGTTAAAATACGCATATCTTTCAGGTTCAAGTAAACGTTTAACATTTTTGTACCTTGAACTACTACATATTGTGCGACCCCATACTTGGAATAGCTTGTTTACAGTCTAATTTGTGTATTGAGAAACGCGTCTTTGTCACTCACAAATTGAGAAAACCACACGATCCCCAAACCAGGTGTAAACAGTACAAATCGTAATTCGACACGTAATTATTATAACAACAGTTGCCTAAGTCCATAAACATGTCATGAACCTTTTTGGAATGCGATCTGCAGTTTCAACCAGATTGAGAATTTCCGTTGCATATCCATTAAAAGGAGTTGTTCGCCTGTTTTCAACACATACGTGTTTTCACACTAAAGAACCCATTTAGTACTTGTGAGGCTATTTCACGCCCAATTGTCAAAGAAGCTTATCGTAAATATTGAATGGCGTGTCTACAGAATTTAACAATTGGTCTTCACGAGCATCTGACCCGACATCTCAAGCGTGCAAATATTAGAGCGGTGTATTATTAAAACATGCATGGTTGTTGTAATAATTTAAGAAAGAAACAAGGGTGCAAAAGTACAGAAACACGTAAAATTGGATAAATGTCTTTGAGTGCGTGCGTGCGTGCATGAGAGTGAAAACTAGAGTGAAAAGTGGGTTACAACTGTGAATAACCCAATGATAGTTGATAACGCCTGTTTGATTAAAGTTAGTTATGTTACGGTATGTCAGTTAGATAAGTTAATGTAGAGGACGTAAATATATATATTGTGTTAAAACCACGGGTACACTACGGTCGACTTACAACAAATGATCGCATATTGTCTTGGGATGTTAGCAGTAACAAGCCTATTATGACATTTGACATATGACATTTTTTTCTTTATGTTTATTGTTTTGGGTCATTTTGTGGTTATTGTTTATTCATTTGGGGAGTGGTGGTTTTAATACTTGAGGCAAAACGACTTTTACCAAGAGTTAACTAACATAACTCCCATAACAAACCTCGTCAAATTCCATAATGGGCATTGATTATGTTGAACATAGAGATTTTTCTGGGTTACATCTTCTTTTTATTCTTATTCTTAAAAATAAAAATAAATAAATAAATAAATAAAAAATAAATAAAAATAAGAATCAAAAGAAGATGTAACCCAGAAAAATCTCTATGTTCATCAAATAGCATCTTCTAAAATGCCAATCAAGCATTGATTATGTTATTGTTCGAGAAAGTGAAGCTACAGTTTGCAAATGCAGTGCTAGAATAAATGGTCTTCAAATATAATATTTCGGGAAAATTACGTTACAGTATGAAAATGTAGATAGATAATTGTTACGGTCAAAACACTTATTTTCCTGAAACTTTATTTTTCAAAATCATTTTCCGTTAAATGTCTAGTTCTTTATTTAACCAAGTGTAATTTTACTCTTATTTCATTTAATACCTTTGCCACTTTTGTAATAACCCTCAAAAAGAGAGAGGTGACTGCCTCAGGGCATGCCACTTGAGGCCATGTGCTTGCACTGTAAACAACTTTCAACCACGAGAATGTCCAAAGGAGTGGTGAGCATAATTATTGTATTTTTTATATTTCATGAATTGTAAATTGTTAAAGTAACTTTAATCTATCTTTTCATGTAAGTCATGGTAATTATTGTGTAGGAATCTTGCTTTATTTGATAATTTTGGTGGCAAGTTGTAAGTCGGTAAAAATTATGTGAATACATGTTTTCATGGCTTAAGGTTAACATTTTCTCAGTGCTTTTGAAGAAGTTTTCATGCTTTTAATGTTTTATTGCATTTCAAATGTGCTTAGGAGCATATAACAATATTTTCTGCTTTTGTCTTTTGAATAAGTTTGGGAAGTGGCAGTACAGCCATTTGCTCATTTAGCAAGTTAAATTCTGTTTATGGCTTATTTCCTAAAACATATTTAGTTTTTCTACTATTTTCAGTTAATCTACTGTAAAAGGCAACATGAATTGAATGTGAATATTAGAATTAAAATTGGAAATGGATGGACATGTTGAACAGATGGACATTGAATAAAGTAATACATACAATACACAAGAGTCATGTTGTTCGCAACAATAATGTTTATCATCCAAAACTGTTCCACAGGAGATATTGCTTGTGTGAGATCAAACGATATTTCTAGGAGATATCGTTTTGACAGTAGATTTTGTACAATGCCATAACAATGCTATGACGTCATGAACTTGATGACGTCACAGAGCTATGACATCGCTGCACTGCAAGTCTAATGGTAGTACTGTGTTCAGAGACGTACATTTTTCACTGAAAACTAAAGAAGAGTGATTTTTGATGATAAATAGAATCTCACCCTCGTGTCTTCTGATATCAAAATATCAACACTCGTTGATAAAAGTGAACTTTATCAACTCGTGGTGATATATTTGATATCAAAAGACACTCGGGTGAGATTCTCTATATATTCTTAGAGATTGTCGATTGTTCGGGAAAGTTACATTATATGGAAAAAAGTCCAACAATGGAAGATATTCTCGGCAGGCCAGAGTTCGAGAAAGTTACGTTACAATGTTAAAACAAGTTAAACAATAAACGATATTCAACATTATTGATTGGACGAACAATGTTACATTACAGTTTGAAAAAGCCAGTTTGTATCATATGGATATTTTTCGATATTCATGACTGTCCGGGAAAGCACCTTCCAATAAGATCTGTAAAGAACCGGTTTACAACTGGTCTTCAGCAACACCTGCCTGTCTTAGCAGGCCAGTAACGGGATCGGGTGGTCAGACTCGCTGACGCTAGTTTTCTACTGAATGGTATAACTATCAAGTAACTTACCAAACACTGCTAGAAGAACCTGCAAAACAACAATATCAGAATCAGATCAATGACGACAGAAACGAGCAATATTGAACCTGTAATGCCAAGTTAGTAAAATCATGCGTGATCAAGATAAGTGCTGTGACAGTTACGGCTGATTGGCTTCTGCTCAGCGGTAATAGCGACAATAAATATTTCACTCTCGTTATTGGCTTAAGTGGAAATTGAAGGTCATGACAGTGCCTGACATTAATGGCAAACTGATTCGTTGACTGGAACAGCCGACGGGGCTGTCTCTGACTCCAGAATATTACTTCCATGTTTATTTAGACCTCTGTCGCCACCAATTAAGAACACGACCATAGACGTAGGGTACTTAGTTACCTCTCTATCTTGATATCTACCTTGATACTAACAGTAATACATGCGCAGCAATTCATAATTATGATTTGGGCTAGCAGAGAGTCTATCGATGGACCTTGTAGTCCTGATCAAGGAGGTATGTCTTTAGCTGTGATTTAAAAGAAAAGACAGTGGTAGCAGTTTTGATTGTATCTGGAAGACAGTTCCAATTAGACGCCGCTGTAAAAGAAAACATCTTTTTCCAAACGTAGAAGCTTTAAAGAGAGAGAAGAGATGTTGATCTTGTGAGCGGAGGGGTCTGTGAGGACAGTAGACTGGTAGGAATTCCCTGAGGTATGATGGTGCAAGATCGTATGTTCATTTGTTCTTTATGTTAGCAAGGAGGCTGTTACAATAGTCAGTAGATGACAAGAGATAGCGTCAGTCTCACATGTGCATCCTGTGTCAGGTATGGCTGTAGCCTTCCGATATTACGGAGAAGGTAATTGGCTGTTTAGCACATTCGGGTCACGTGGTGTTTCATGCAGAGCTGCTGATCAAATATCACACCCAAGCGTTTTTAATTTGTGAGATGCAACACTTATTGTATCGCCACTGGTTAGAGTTTTGAAACCTCTGCAGTTCTGTAGCCTTCCTTCACGGCCGATCACAATATATTCATATCTTGGCTGAGTTTAAGCATGTGTGATGTCATCAATTGGTGATGTCAGCACAACGTTCCTCCACTTTACCAGCATCCTCATCTGAGTTATTACATGTGAAGCCGGCAGATAACGGATTATCATCAGCAGATTAATGCTGTCACAGACCTTGTTTTATTTTGTTTTGGGTGTTTAGTCAGTCGACTCCAGTACAAGGCACCTCTCAATATTCTGTATAACTACTGAATGATATGGACGACAACAGTCAACCCTCAACTCTGACACCAACTGCGGACATCGGACCCCCACCGAATGGGGAAAGCAACTCTCTTGCTGATCAGTCAATATACAATATTATATATTCGGAATCCTCAATATTGCCAGAATGGCCTACGCTTACCATTATGGATTAATACCGAGACTTTCAAGTGATATAAGTTATATAAACATCTCGTCCAAATATCAAATGGCACAAACACCTTTTACGGTACAGACCTTGGTGTTTGCTAAATACCAACCTTACGTCAAACCGCGGTGGGTCAGATAACTGACTTTCATGTCTATCAGGTGCCTCATTCCTACAGTGAAGGTTCGAACCCCGGACCCCGTGATAAGACGTACTACAATATGTACTATCAAGAATCTGTACTATCACGAATATTAAACTTGTTACATTATCGGTTTTGGTACACAAAATATACTGAAGTCATGAACGGGTACATGGTAAAAGGATGTTACTTTTGCGCAGTAGTGTAATGTTGTTTTAACATTCAACTGTTATTAATATCACATGGTAGAAGATAACTATCAGTTGCCGGAAATGATACCGCTCACGTAAAATTCGGCTATAATATGATCATGTTACAACCAGGTAAAGGCCAAGCATATAAATTAGAGTTTATATTAAATCATAAACACGATAGCATTCATTGAATATTAATGTCTTGTTGAATGAATAGTTACGAGCTATTGATTACCAATAACCTTGCGATAACGATCACACCTTGAATAAACAATGCTGCAGCACTGTAGCTCACCTTCCTATGTACTGAACAAATGGAATAATCTGCAAAAGCAGTCACTCAAGAAACAATTGATTCGGGATATCCATGATGATGTATTTTATGAAATAATTATAAACCCTTTGTTAATAAGAAATTAGAGATGACACAACTTTATGGATTATCAACTTCTTTATTTTAACAATAGCGACATTTCGGTAGATAATGCATTATCTTGTCTTGTATTTAAACTGGTGTACCCCATCATTCCCTCATATGCTTGAAAACGGTATTAACCTATACCGAAACGTCGCTATTGTTAAAATAAAGAAGTTGATCATCCATAAAGTTGTGTCATCTCTAATCTTAGAAGGTCTGCAGTCTACAGAAGGTATCGGTATTGACCACACCCAAGAGATCCCAAAGTGAAAGTATCAAGTAAAATATTGAAACGGACTGAATTTCAACACCAATGTGTGTCCTGTACAATTGCAAAGATAAACCTGCAGACACACATTTTATGTTGAAGTGATGATCCAAATAATAGCATCTTGTGCATGCACAATGAATTCAACTTCAGACAAATGTAAAATATTGAATTATCAAAAACATATCTATTTTGAAAATAGAATAGAATCTGCAAAGATTAGAATCTGTACTTCTCTAAGAAAGTGTAATCCCAAATATAACATATGTTAGAGATATCTATTTTGTAAAGAAATCCCGGAACCATTAATAATCTCAATTGTCCAGCTTTTTAACCGTGACGTTGACAAGTGATTATTTCCTAACGCCCTATGCCCCATCTTGCTATTGATGTATAATGTCTGACGGGGTTATATTCAAGATCAGCTCTATGTTGTTTGACACGAAAATAATCAAACGGACACAACCCTTTCCAGCACCCCGCAAAACAATTACCCTTACAATTAGCCTCTTATATTTTCATTTCTCAAGGATCCGACAAGCAAGCTGTTCTCTGATACGCGCTACTAATACGACATTAATGACGTTGTTATTGGTAGTCAGATTGCTTTATCAGGTTCGTACGAAGGGTGATGTTAAAAGAAAATCAATGTTACTAAGACCTTTAGAAAACATATTGATTCTAAACAACCGATATCGATTTCAGAATCATTGCAAGCTGAATCGATGTTTTTGAATTGACATGAAGAATGGTCAAGGTGTGATGCGCAATTAATAAGTCCTGCTGATGGATACATTTCTAATAATCCAGAGGAGGTCAATAACGAGGTTATTATGGAGCATGAGCGAAACAACCGATATCGTCCGAATGATGTCACGATTTAGACATGGGTATGATTCTTTAATGGAACTGGAAGAAGCTTTTTGAGCTTTTAAAGAGACTGGCACGATTTAAACGGGAAATTCGATTAATGGGCATGACTGTTATTGGTTTCTGTTGAGGGTTGATGGCAGCAACTAATTGATCGATGAATGTATGAACCGGGATTTCAGATCGAGTGAGTGAGTGCAATAATGTCACATTTTATGGATAACTTCTTTCATTTCATGAGTGCGACGTTTTGATAGAGATTCTTGTACAGAATCGTGAATGCTTTACAACTGTACAAGAATGTGTGTCGAAACGTCGCTCTTACGAAACAAAAGCAAATCTGACATTATTGCACTTCCCAATATAAAATATCACTCCAAGAAATGGGGTTTTGAGTGAGTGAGCGAGTGAGGTGGTTGGGTGAGTGAGTGAGGTGGTTGGGTTAGTGAGTGAGGTGGTTGGGTGAGTGAGTGAGGTAGTTGGGTGAGTAATCTGGGCTTGTTTCTGTTACATCAGGGGCAGTGAAGTAGCCTAGTAGTTAAAGCGTTCGCTTGTCATGCCGAAGACCCGGGTTCGATTCCCCACATGGGTACAATTTGTGAAGCTTATTTCTGGCGTCCCCAGCCATGATATTGCTGATAGCGGCGTAAAACTAAGCTCACTTGGTTCTGGCAAACCAAGACACATAACAAAGGCTATTCTGGCATTCGAATCAGGACCATACGTTTTGCACATCCAAGGGAAGCAACTTTGCACAGCTAATTGACGAGCCTTGGCTACCTGTCACCACCCGATGGAATGACCACGTGAATAGATTTAAAAATAGAATCTAGCATGTTAGGTGTAAAGACATAGAAATCTGGACAACGCTTGATAATTGAACAAAACATTAATACATGACGTATCTTTGTGAAAAAAAGAAAGAACCATCGGTACTTTGTGAAAAGTCTTTGAGACTACAAGCCACTGAGTGAAGCACATTTCTGGTGTTCAAGGCCTTGATATTGCTGGAATATATAGAAGGGATAAAAACTAAACCCACTCACTCACACGTTTTATCACAGGTTCAAATACCCGATTCCGCTTGAATGTGTTCCCAAAGCTTGACCATAGTCAATACTTCAGTCCTACCTCCCGCAATGTTTTTTTGTTTGTTTAACTCTGCGTTCAGCAATATTCCAGCTATATGACGGCGACAATGGGGATCTTCACCAGATAATCCAGTGGTTGACACCATGAGCATCAATCTACGCAGTAAGTGACATATGATGACGCGCATCATCCACGTCAGTCATCCTGACCACCCGATCCCGTAAGTCGCCTTTTACAAGCACAGATGACTGAAGACCAATTCCAACTAGGAGAGTCTCGGGGGACATTCCTTTTACACAGGCACGTTTTGATACAGCGGAAAAAACACAACCCCGTAGTCACGCAGAAAAAGAGATCGATAAATTATAGATCCATTTGACATGAGTGAACGGTAAAACATAATCATATCTTAACTGTCATCTCCTAATTGATATACAGCATTTTCGTTGTCCAAACAGAAATACTACAGGCGATGAATACACCTTTCAAGACACGATCGAATGTTCTGCCTAGATTCGCATCAAAAGTACAAAGTGGAAGTGACGAAAGAGGACGATCTTCTATTACAGACCCCATGAATCCCCAAATCTGACTAGCACTCAGGTTACCGGAAGTTCATTGTTGGGTGTATGACACAGGACCC